TAATATAGATAAAGATTTCCATAGAGGAATTGGGTTTTATTCTTCATTTTTGCTCCTTGAACATTGAGCTGCTTTGACCAAACTTTCCAGCACTGTTTACCTTCAGATAGTGACTACAGCTGGAGCACTTCAGCTCCAAAAGTTTCAGAAAATTGCAAAAAGCACCAAATAGGGAATTTAATGTTGCATAATTGTTTCCATTCTATGAGAGAGATTGTAAATGGTTGATCAGAGACCTCTTTGTCAATCACTTCTGGAAAACACTCTCTTTCCTCTCTCTCAGAACAAAATATAGTTTATGGAGGTTGAATTCAGAGTCTGATTCTATTATAGATCATAAATTTCCTTCATTGATCATTCAGGTTATTTTTTTGTTTTTCCAACAAATTAGTCTTACAAGCTCCTCTTACACAACAAATATTTATTTTAAAGCAAGCCTCTTTTAAGGCAGAAACACAGGACCAGTTAGACACCAGGTGAGTTATTATTGGGTCAGAATCCACTTGTGGGGGGGGTGTGTGTGTGTGTGTGTAGGGGGAAGGGATGGGTAGAACTTAACAGAGGTGGGGTGGCATCGTATCCCTCATGGCAGCCCCTGGATCCCATGTGGGACAGCCCCAGCATAGCTGCTGGTCAAGCAGCCCAGGAAAACTAGAACACACCACACCTCCTGGAGCCCAACCCAGCCTCAGACTGGCGGGGACAGTGAGAACACTGTTTCTCACTCTGACCTGGAACACCAGAGTGGCTGGAGGGGTTGGCCATAGAGACCAGAGCAAATAAAACAAGGGCATGTGTCCGGCTCTATTGTGGCACTGCCACTTGGTCTTGTGAGAGCTGGTCTTCTACAAGCCTTCTGTGGTAGCTCTAAAATCTGTCTCTCCCTCTTTTTCCTTCTCTTTTCTCGATCCCTCTGTTCCTCTTTCTCTGCTCCTTTCTTGATGCTTCAGGTGGTTTGGGGGTGGAGGGATTGGATCTTGATTTAAGTGTTATTGGCTTCCTGGACCTTGACTTCAGTGTTGTTGGATTAATAGTATATGCTGCATCAGTACTGTGGTGGAACATTTTGTCTAGCTTGTGTGGTGTCCTTTTGAACTTTGGCCAAGCCCCCTTATTTACTCCTCTAAATTAATAAGGTAATTCCTTGGAAACAAGTCAGTATCTTATTCTCTTGATGTTATTTTGAGGTATTAAAGAACCCAATATCTATATGTTAAAGTAAAGCTCTTAGCCAATCCTGTGAGCCAGCAGCTCCCAGGGCTGGAGTTTTACACCAGTCCTAAAGCTATTCTGTTTGGGGGAATCTGTTGGAATCACTGGTGCAAATTCTCAAATTCCTTGTTGTACAGTTGTTCAGTTGAGTGTCTCTTGTCCAGCAGCCTGATTCCTGACTAAATGCAGAAATAAGGCTTTGTATGTCTTTTCTGACAGAAGAGGATCTGTAAACTGGCTGAGATCACAGTCAGGGTCAGGAAGTGAGACAGCAGATACTGCAAAATAGAGCAGCTCTCAGCACATCAAAGCACAGAGATTTGTCTCAGAAGACTGTTGGCAATTTGTAAAATGTCAGGTTATTTCAAGTGCCTCACTGAAATGTGTAGCTATGTTGACAAGTCAATGCAGTTAAGACATTGGGAGAAAAATCCTTAAAAGTGAGCAATTTCAGCCAGGGGAAAAAAAAAAGTGATTTGGTAATCTAAATTGATGCAAACACAAAATACAAGGGTGCCTTGTGCCAAGGAGCAGGGAAGAAGGAGACCAGGAAAAAACATAGCAACACAAGTTACCTTAATTGGGTAAAGGATTCCTAAATCTTCTTTTTCCTTTTTTCTTTTTTTTTTTTTTTCCATTTTGCTGTATAAAAAAATGTTGATGCTTAACACACTGGTATAAACACTGCCTGCTACGAGTTTTATTGACTGTTCTGGGTTATATTTATTGTAGGCCCCATGGAAAATGTGAGAATCCTAGAAGAGAGACATGGTATTGCTTAATGGATAGATTATGGTGACAAGAGTGGTCAGATGGTCTGGAGAACACTGGTTGAATGGGCTGTATGGGGAACTCCAGCTATAAGGAGTGGTACCACTGATTTTTAACAGTTAAGACATGAAGTTTCTGCCTTGAGTAGATATTATTCCTTTGGTTCTAAACAAATAGCACAGAAAGAGAGCTGACTTCCAGATTGTCATGGTTTAACCCCAGCTGGCAACTAAGCACCACACAACCACTTGCTCACTTCCCCACCAGCAGGATCTGGGAAAGAATCAGAAGGGTAAAATCTAGAAAACATATGGGTTGAGATATAGATAGTTTAATAGGGAAAGCAAAAGCTGTGCATGCAAGCAAAGCAAAAACAAGGAATTAATTCTCTGCTTCCCAGTGGCAGGCAGGTATTCAGCCATCTCCAGGAGAGCAGGGCTCCATCATGAGTAACAGTTATTCAGGAAGGCAAACACCATAATTCCAAATGCCCCTGGCTTCTTCCTTCTTCCCCCAACTTTATGTACTGAGTACAGTGTCATATGGCATGGAATATCTCTTTGGTCAGTTCGGGTCACTTGTCCCAGCTGTGTCTTCTCCCAACCTCCCCAGCCTCCTCACCAGCATGGCAGTACAGAAAGCAGAAAAGGTCTTGACTCTGCTGTAAGTGTTGCTCAGCAATAACAAATACATCTTTATATTACCAACACTGCTTTCAGCACAAATCCAAAACATAGCCCCGTACAAGCCACCATGAAGAAAATTAACTCTACACCAGACAAAACCAGCACGCAGACCAAAATCCAAGTTCTGCTTATCAGGGCACTGGTAGGATTCTCAGGAAACTAAATATCTATTTTTCTACTTGTTCTCTGTTTAAGCTATCTTAAACTTAACTTAAACTCTTGAACTCCACAGGGGACAACTCTTCTTTCATCCTAATGTGTCCCAGTTCAAATTCTTATCACTCCCAATCCCAACTGACACCAGGAAGTTGTATCCTATATAAACCATATCCATTACCCCTATGCTAACTGTGGGCTGAGCTTAGCCAAAGACTCCAAATCACACCTAAGACAGCAAAGCTCTAAGGGGAGTTCTATAGGATGCCCAAATCTGCCCACAGAAGGCCTTTTGCAACCCCCCCCCCCCCCAACAGAACCCTTCAGCTTTGTCTCTCTTCTAATTTTAACCAGGTATCCTTTAAGGTAGACCTTAAACATGGAAAACCCAAACTGTGGCATGGATGAAAAAGATCCAGGACAGAACTGATTTGACAGCCCAAACCTTCCCTCGGCAACCTGCCTGCAGCCCTGCTTCACCTAGATCTCTAGGCTTAGTCTCTCTTTGAACCTTAGTGCTAGAAGACCTTTAACACCAGACAGACTGAAATGTGGCTCAGATAAAAAGGCTCCCAAAGAATTCCTTCTGCAGCCCAGATCTTCTCTCAGCAGCCCCACTTCAGCTAAACCCTTAGGAACTGTCCTTTCCTTGCCCTAAAAGTGCCCAAGGCCTTAGCCCCAGGCAAACCTAAAACATGGCCCTGACTCAAGTCTTTGAGAGTAATTCTTCTGCAGAACTATCCCTAGGCAGTCCCTCTGCAGATCCACTACAACTAGAGCCCCAGGAACTGTCTCTCTTCTAAGTCTAAAATTGCCCAGAGCACACCTTCTGCAGTCCAAACTCTCCCTTGTCTGCAGTGCCGTGTCACCTAGACCTACAGATTTTGTCTCTCTCTGAACTCTAAACCTACCCTTAACTCCTGCCATGTGCTTTGGCTAATAAATAGTCAAAATGGCCAAAATAAAAAATTCACAGGGAAGTTTCTTTGTGGCTGAACTTTGTCTTGCAGCCTTATTCCATATACAACCCTAGCATTTGTCTCTCATAAATGTAATGATAACCATAGCCATGGGGTGACCCTTAAGCAAAGGTCCCATGCCACAGCCGAGGTTATTAAGTCCTTTTGCGCCCCAAAACTTCCCTTCCCAGTCCATTTGCTCATAGCAAGATCCCACTTCCAGTAATTGTCCTTCTCAAGAAGGAATCATGTTAAAAAGGACTTTATGGTGCTGGAGCATATCCAGAGAAGGGCAATAAGGCTTGTGAAAGGTCTGGACAACATATCTAATGGGTAATGGCTGAGAGAGCTCAGTCTCAAGAAGAGGAGGTTCAGGGGGGACCCTCTCACTCTCTGCAACCACAGGAAAGGAGCTTGTGGTGAGGTGGGGGGCAAGTCTCTGCCTGCAGTGAGAAGAGGAAATGGCCTTAAACTGAGGCAGAGGAGATTCAGAGGAGGTATTAGAAAATTTTTTTCACTGTTAGGGTGGTCAGGCACTGAGCCAAGGACCCATACATTGCCCAAGGAAGTCATGGAGACACTATCCATGGAGATGTTCAAGAGATGATTGGTTCTGATGCTTAGTGGTTATGGAGACAGCGCTGGTGGGTGGCTGTGCTGAATGAACTTTAAAGTCTATTCCAGCCTTGATGATTCTGTGATTCTGCTTCTGTCTTCCGAACTTTTCACTCTTCTGGGTGCAGGCATTTCAGCCCGTCCGTGATCTCGGGTTTATCCCAGCACACCTATAATCTTAACTGGTTCAGCCAGAGACTATACTTTTGACACGCTCCTGAACAACAGCTCAATTACAGTCGGTCAGCTACTGTAGAAAGCAACTCAGCCACGGCCACTCCTCTCTCAGCCTCGGCCGTGCCTACCCGTCCCCGCTACCCCGCCCGCCTCTCCTCCTGAAGGCGGAGATGGCCCGCGGTGTCCCCGCCCGCACAGCCCGCACAGCCCGCACAGCCCGCACAGCCCGCACAGCCCGCACAGCCCGCACAGCCCGCACAGCCCTCACATGCGCCCCCCGCTCCGCCCGGCCGGGCCTCTAGGGGGCGCGTGCCCGGCAGCCGTGGGGAAGTGCCGCGGGAGCCGCCGGAAGAGGCCCGGCCCTGCCCTGCCCTGCTCTTCCTTTCTCTGCCCTTCCCTTCACTTCTCTTCACTTCACTTCCCATCCCTTCCTGCCGCTCCTCGGCCCTTCCGCCACATCCCGGGCGCTTCCTGTGGCGTCCCTCCATCCGGGGGACAGGGCGACGCTCAGCCGCAGGAGCTGGTCTCCACTGCTGGACCCGCTCAGTGCTGATCGCAGGCCCACCCTGCGTGCCTCCGCCCGGACTTGGCGTGAGTATCCCGTGGGGATCCCGCGTGGATGTGACAGGGAGCGGTGCCGAGGGTCGGTCCCGGGCGGCAGGGGTGGCGGTGGCACCGGGGACTGTGGGGGATCCGTAGGCCGGGTTTCCTGCGTGGGCACTTGGTGGCTCTGCGAGAACGCGCTGCTTTGGAAACGGTGCCCGCTGGGACAAACTTATGAAGCTCTTTCTGGAGAACATGGTAGTTCCTGCCAGTGTAACCTCTGCTGGAAGGCACGGTAATTGTCGCTGTCGCTGCTGTGAGGCAGCGGTGTTGCTGCGCTGTTCTGGTGTGGGGAAGGTAACTCCACTGCTTCTCTTCCTGGTATTTACTGCTTCAAAGGCCAAATGGTGTTTCTTCTGCGCCTTTTTGGATTCTTACGAACGGTCCAATTACTGGCTAATTGTATCCATAAACTGCTTATGTATCCTGTGTGAGCTGTGGAGAGTGCCTGGTCTGCTCAGAGAGACGAGGCGTTTGTTTTGTCTCCTAGAAATGGAAAAGTTTAGACGGCACATAAATAATCACTCAGATTAAATGTAAATGTCAAGTGACTTTGTTCTCATGAAGTTTAGTTGGTTCGTTCAGCAGAATTGAAAGTGAACATCCAAATAATAACTTACATTAGTACATAATGCTTTCCCTCACCCACCCCTCCAAAGGCGAGGGAGGGGGGAAAGAGGAAGAACTATGAGAGCATTAATCCTGATACTTTTTTTCTTGGAGCTATTGCAGCAATGCCCATGTATGTACTACTGGGTTTTCACTGGTGTGGGTTGTCATCACAGGAAGTAAGGAACAAAGTCAAGCCTAACCACATAAACTCCTTGTTACTCATTTTCCTATGCTCTGTGCTAATGCTGCCTGCAGTGACAGTCAAAGCTGTCCCAGGAGGTTGAACATGGCCAGTTTTGGCAGAATCAGTTCTAAGTTTAAAAGGGAGTGAACCTATATTTTCTATCACAAAGGCCATTCAGTAAAGTATTACTATGTGTATGATATTCTTAAAGCATGAGTAGATTATTTGCAATTCCTGTCATAATTTGGCTGCTTTGTTATGTAGTGTCATGAAAAAAATATAGATTGTGATCAGCTGCATCTTCATGTTCTTAAGATGTAGCTTCCCATATACTGTGAATCTTATTGTGGAATGTTTGATTATGAAACATATTCCACTGTAATACATTGTTTTTCCTTGAGATGAACACTTTTATGCTTTGTGACATGTTATTTTTCAAAAATTAAATTTAAAATGGAGGGGAGCAAATAAAAATCCACTTTTAAACATAAATAAAGTAAGTAGTAATTGTGAAACTTTACAGTGTACAGTATTTTTATTTAGTTTCTTGTCTTGATAAGCAATAAAAGCTAGCCTGCAATTACAATTCTCTGAAGCAATTCCTGGAAGTGTATTCTAGATTACATGAATTTTTAAACCGAGAGTATAAATGGTAACTAGTATTTCTTTTTGCCTAATTTTAATGCCTTTTTTTTTTTTCTCTAATGTAGGTGAGAGGATACATGTTCGCTTCAAGTAGAAAGGAGCATGTTCCCAAATTTTTCCAACTTGGGTCATCCACCCTTCCCTTCAAAGCATCAGCAACAGAGTAATTTGTCCAATATACTTCCCATAAATATACCTCCTACTCTTCTTTCTCACCAGCAAACTGTTGTTCCTCCGTTGAATTTTCGCACTGCAGTGTAAGTACAGTAAGATTTGATAGGCAAGTTTGGGGTTGAGAGAAGTATTTCTGTTTATGGAGGATGGTTTTGAACATTAAACTGCATTGAACTTCAAAATTAGGAAGATGTCACCAGTAAAATAGAGCTGTATAATTTCTGTTGGTGACGTGCAAGTCTTAACACTATGCATAGTGCATGAAATGCTGTTGCACTGACTTAATCCACAGTTCAGTTTTAAAGGGCTTCAATTGTATTTGTTTGTTGGGATGAACAGGGAGGAGATGCGAAGGGGAAGAAACATCTATTCTTGGGTCTGTATTTATAGATGCTGTAGTGTTCTTTAGGCTTTTGAATTTAACAGTGTCTTAGGTTAATTTCTTTGCTAACTCCTTTGTACAAATGTGCTGTCAAGAATGATAATTTTTTGGTTTTTAATGAAATACATATCATATACTGAAATATGTTTTCATTTTGAACAGAAAAGAAAGACTTGTTGCTTCTAAGAGATAAAAGGACAGGACTTGTAGAGTTTAGTATTCATTTAACAAGAACTACCAACTGATAAAAAACATCTTATGAATAATAGTTATGGACTGTAGTCTTTCTAGAGCTCTTTTGAGTGGGAACCTTGCAGCTACTCCAACTGTTACTTCAACGGCTACACTGCAACCAATGACTTATGGAAATGTCAGTCCAGTGTCTATATCAGGTGCCCTCACATCATTTCAAGGAAGAAAGTAAGTTCTTTGTATGTGTATGACTAACAGTGGTTTTAATATACCCATGGTGAAACTCATCTAGTATCAATTACTTAGGCAACTTTAGTTATGGGAGAAATTGCAATACTGAATACTTTTTTTTATGAAACAGGTCATGTGAAGCATTCATGTTTTTGAGAGTCTTGGTACTCATAAGTGACTTCCTCTACCTAGGTTTTCTCTTCCAGTAGCTGTAGCCTTACAGAACTGTGATTTAAGTGGTTTTTTTAATGCTACAAAAAATTGTAATCTGTGTGTAGTTGACTTTAAGCAGATGTGTGTCAGCAAATGTTCTTTTCCTGTTGAAGAGTGCACCCTAAAGGTTTTATGAGAATTGTCATGTTTTTCATGACACATTACGTGTTTTTCCTGATTTTCTTAATTATGTGATGCTTTATTTTTCAAATACAAAATGTTAAATTCAAACATATATAAGGATTCAGGTGTAGTAGTTGATATGTGTTTGTAATAATTCTGTGAATCAGCTGAGAGGGAAGAAAGTTTATGTTACCTGTCTTAAGAACTATTTCCTGTATGCTATTTCTCTTTCAGATCTAACAGATGAAAAAGAAGTACAATATGTTATTAAGTTATAGCTGAGTATGTTACTATCCTATGAACTAAGGAAGTTTCTGGTTTCATACTGCATACATCTTTTCCTCTGGAACAGTCTGTTTTATGCAAGGCTGTGCCATATTGGGAGATTTGCAGCCAACTTAACCAAACCTGCCATTTGGGTTTAAGTTGGTTAGTGCAGACACTTGCCTTAAAGCTTAATCAGTTCAGTTCTAGGGTAACTGCACTTCTGCAATTGGGTGGTCTCTTTTCCCATTGCAGGTTTGTTTCACTTAATATCCAAGATGGGCATGCCTGTGCTGCCTGTTCTGTAGAATACTTGCTTTTAGTGAAGTAGGTACGTCATTAAATGTTGGTATTTCAACTTTGTAGAAACTGTCTTTTAATCATACGTTGGAATTTGCGAACTAGTGGATTTACACACTCTCTCTCTCTCTCTCTCTCTCTCTTTCTCTCTCTCTCTCTCTCTCTCCCCCCCCTCCCCGCCTCCCTCTAGGAGACAAAATGAACAAAGTGTTTCATATAATGTCAAACGGCAGCGGATTAATTCACAGAATTCTGACACAACTGTAGTTAACCAACCAGTGCCTTTAGCAGAAGAACGTAGACACTCCTTCCCAGGACCAATTTCAATTCAGTCACCACCGTTCCTTGCACGTGGCTCACCAGCTTTAGCTAGATGTGTCCCTCCGCTGCAAGATACTTTGTTTCTAGACCCTACAGAAGCCAGGCTCCCTCTGGCCAAAGATGAGGTAGTAACTTTCTGTGCTTATGCTTACTTCTGCCTTCTTAGTAGGCAGAATCCAGAGGTGCTGTGGGAGACCGCAAAAATTTGTGCAAGAGTTTTTAACAGTGTTACAGGGTCTCTTATTGCTGAGCTGTCTTTAGAAGAAATATCAATAAATGTGGCTGCTGCTATAGCTCTGTGTAACCTCTTATATGGGCTTGGGTTTGGAACATTTTTTTGGGGGGTAGGGAGAGTTAGGGTGTTGTTTGCTTGTGTTGTTTGGTTTCCATACTAATGTCAGGAAACTTATATGTCTGCTCCAGGAAGTAAAAATTGGAGGAATGGTCCATTTCTCACATGATATGAGGGGATGGAGAATCCTGATTTAAAAAAAGACAAACCCCGTGGTAATATGAGAGACATGCATTCTGAATAAATACAGTTTTGGGCCTGTAAAGATGTCCTCTACCTCTTTTAAAGAGGACGTAAAAGTTATGGTTGTAGCTTTTCTGTAATAATAAAAGAGAATGCCTTCTTTAGATGGACAATGTAGCTTCAAACTGCTTCTTGTTTTAAATAAATACAAAAAACCTATGTCGCTAATCAGTCTTGATACTTTATTTACATCCACATAAGAGAGGCTTTTTTTTTTTTTTTTAGTATAAACATGCCTGCTTAATATAGCATGTAACAGTATTGTGAAAGGAAAACAGTTAATATCTCCTTGCAGCAAAGATCTGACTACTTCTTTGATAGTTTGTGTGGGATAAAAAAAGAAAACTAATTTAAATTGGGTTTTTTAATAATTTTTCACCCTATTACTGGTAGGCAAACTGTTGACATTAAAGTCAGCTGAAGGAGTCTCCAGTTTTCACTTCTAATTTCTTGAGAGGCTGCTAATACTGATGACGCAAAAATTCTTTTCCATTGGTAGATGTTTTGTAACAAATTGAATGAATTGTAATTTAAGAACTTCGCAGAAGTTTCTTTGAGGGTGGTAATATGAAATTCAAGTGCTGTAAAACTCTAGACAATAGAGAAGGTAATGTGAAATGATGCTGGTTTTTGCATTAAAAAAAAAAAATACCTTCAGTGTTTGTTTCATGTAATTGCATCTCTGATGGGAAAGAATGTTCACTTCTCTGTATCTTTACTTTTTGGATGTGTGTGTCCAGTTAAGTCAACAGGTTTTGGAGTTGTTTCAGGCATGTCGGCAACAGGCCTCTGATTTGGACAGGAAAGAGCTCTGCAGAACAGAACTCCAGAGAGAAATTCAGCTAATTTTTCCGCGTAAGTTTTGAATTTGATTATTTAATACTAGCTCGAATGTTCTTCAAGTTCATGGTTTTTCCTTCCTCTCGAACTGTTATATGTCACATCACGGTTATTTTCTGTTATTCTTCTATTATAGAGAGCAGACTTTATTTGGTTGGGTCCTCTCTGAATGGATTTGGCACTCGTAGCAGTGATGCTGATTTGTGCCTGGTGGTTCAAGAAGAACCAGTAAGTTATTTAAAACTATAGAGGTAAAACAAAGTCTGGCTTTATATGTGTGCTGTTAAAAGGCTGGATTCTGAAGTGATAAACAGATGGTCAAATCCTTCTGATTTACTAATATATTTATACATTCATAATAGCTATGAACTGTGGGCCCAGTAATGTTGCAGATGTAAATTCAACCCTATAAGCCTAACAAAACTTTAAAAAATTAGCTTTGCCTTCAATTTGTGAGTGAAAAAAAATACAGCAAAATAGAAATAACTGTGTAGAATGAGGAAGAAAAAAGAAAATTGTTTAGAGAACTCTAACTTATTCTAGATGCAGAAACAACTTTTAGTAAGTTATTTTTTTTATACCATTATTTAGATTCATAGCTACCTATTTTAATGAAGAGGTGTAAGAAGGAATTTGATAGGCTAAAGTATCTTAAATATTTTTAGTGATAGAAAATGTTATGAGCGGAATTTTGCTTGAGAGAAAGGATGTAACAGAAAAGAAATCTAAATAGACCATAATCTTGAAAGAATTGAAGCATCATTTAAACAGAAGGAGAGCACATTTTTGTATAAGTGGGGCTAGATTTTCACCTAGTTTATGAATTTTGAATGTCTGGTAATTATTTTGAATAATAAATATAGATTGTTCTGTCTGGCATTTGCCATGGTAAATGTATATCTAGGCTGTAGAATGTCTTGTAAATTTACATCTAGGCTGTTGATGTAAATGTTCATATCTTATTCAGAGAATTAATCTCATTTTAAAAGCAAAACATGCTTACTTGGAACACTTAGATGAGAGATACCAACCTTTTTTTTAATTTTAATATCATATTTCAGGTGAATCAGAAGACTGAAGCAAGACGTATACTCAGCTTAGTCCAAAAACTCTTCAGTACTAAACTTTGTAAGTTCCTGGCTACAGTGAGGTGGTAAGATTATTGGTAATTCTGGAAGAAGTATTGATGCACAATTGCAACTATTGTATGTGATTGCATGTTGTCTAGCTTCTAATCACAGTACTGTTTGAAGCAAAGCTATGAGTATTTAGTGATGTTACTTGGTGCTGGCGATGGTGCTTAGGAAAACATAATGGTTTTCTTGAAAACTATGAACTTCAGTAATAGGAAATATCTCAAATGACTTTTTAATTGTGGAACACAATGAGAAGGGAGTAGATTTATGTTTGGGAAACCTCTGTTAGCTAACCCTTACTCCTCTTTTAGATTGCAGTGCTTTCCTGGAAAAAGGCTCTTTAAGAATTTGTAAAATAAGATGTTACTCACAGTAGATTGTATGGAATTGATTTTCTGAGGGGTCAAGGAGGCCTTGATAGGTGTGAAAAAATTACCTTAGGTGCCTAATGAAGCAATCACTAAGTGTTGATAGTACCAGCACATACAGATAGAACAGATCAATTCGTTGTTTTTCTAAGCTGTTATTTAGACTCCCTTCAGATGAAAAATTCACACGGGTAGTTCTTAATTTATCTGTGAAAGCCTCCTACTTTAGAGAGGCTTTTGTATCATCCTTTGAATTGTAAAAGATCCAGACATTTACTGACTTTATCACTCTGCTTCTCAAACTTGTGGTACATTCTTTGATGCCGACTTGTACTGATGTTCTGAACAATACTGCAGTGCTAAAAGGAACAAACCATAAATTTAAGTGCAGTCCTCAAAATTTCTTCATTGCCAAGTGAGCACATGCAGATTTTAACAGATCATTTGGAAGAGATATTTGATAGATCCTTTGCAGAATAGGCATCTGATATTTAATGCTTATTGCTGTTGTATATTGACATTTGCATAAGGAGTCCAAAACTTAATCTGGGTTTCCCTGGAATGCAAGACTCTCCAGTGCTTCACACAAGAGAACGGAAATAAACATAGTTTGGTCCAAACATCAAAGCTAACAAATTATGTGCCAAGATGTAAGAGAAGCAACAAGAGGAAGAGAGATAAGATGTTACTTAATTTTAAGTTCTTGTTCTGGTTTTATGAAAGAGTTAAAGGACAAAAACAAATAAGGAGGAGATTTGGGACATAGGTAAAGTTCAAGAGCATTTTTAACCTTTTTCCAGATCATTTCAGTTTTCTTTACCTGTGCCTCTCATAGCATCTTCCTCTTTGTTGTGCGATGTTCCTGTATATACGAAAATAAGGGCAGCTAGAGATGTGATTCTTTGCTTAATTCCCTTTAATTCCATGATTGCCAAATGAAAAAGTGCTGATTAGATTAGCCTCTTTCACCATTTGTATTAGGTAAATCAACATCTTTAAACCACCATCAACTTTAAGGCCTATCTCTTATCCTTTATATACAGTTAAATGGGGTTGTTAGATTAGTATTTTCTTCTAGGAGGTTTGGGAAGTGGATTCAAAATTTGGATAAGCTCCATCTTATTTCAGTTTCAGGCTTGCAAAAGGTAACAAGTTTGAGCAAGGCATTTTAGCCCATCAGAGCAGAGTCTCTTAGAGGAGAGGCTTTTCTGTGTTGTCATTCTGCATCTAGAATAACAAGTGAAATGAAAATGTGTTCTGTTTTTGAATAGTCTAATCACAGAGAAAAGTAGGAAAAAGCTTTTGGTGTTTATTCACTCTTTTTGTGGGACTTGTTATGTATTGTGTTTCTCCTAAGGCAGAGACGTGGGGATAGTAGATAGGTCATCCATTTCTAAGATTAGCTAAGTGCATGTAAATTCTTGATTTATTTGTTCAGATACCTGCACATACATTTTTTTACAGTATTGGCTAACATTCCCAGAAATGTACGCTCAAGTCAGTGTCTTTAGAGATATGAAACATTTATTTGGAGTGATAACTGAAGAGATTATAATCCAAACCACTGAGAGTAAATCTCCGACTGAGTACTCTCTTCAGATTCATCTGTGCAGGATTCATTTGAAAAACAACTTGGCGGTATTGGGTTGACTGGTGTTTACTATCTGCATAAATAACGATGAGCTCTTTTTCTCTTGGATTTACAAAGAGGGCTAGTGGTGTTGAGACTGGGTAATCAGAGTTGAATCTGCCTAATGGTTGTCTAGTAGGAAATGTGCAACAGCTGAGATAAGCAGGGGAATTTGAACTCGAATAACTTTGAAAGACTATGCAGTTGGGTGAGTGAATTCCAAAAAATCAGCAGTTAATTCATCCTGTGCTGGGTTGTACCTTCCTAGATTCATCATGAATATGATCAGACTTTTGTGTTGCCCAGTTTCTCCTTCAGTAGTATAACTCAGTGAATGAGGCCAGACTACATGTCCAGGATGTCAAAGATCTTTTTGGTATATACTGTGTTTGGGCTTAATGTTTTGTCTAATTCCTAATCTTCTATTCTGTAAAAGAAAAGAGAGAATTTAGCTGTTTAATCTGAAGTTGTGCATGAATAAGTTATTTATGAATCAATGCTTAGGCTTCTTTGAAGCCATGTATTTTTTTTTTGCTAAGCTGAAGTGGTGTTCATGACTTTTTCACAGACATACCCAAAACTGCGGAGCAGCCATGTAGATTTCTTTACATGTATTTTGGTGTAGCCTCTCTGGTCAAAGCTTTCACGGTCACCTAGAGAGTTTGCTTAGGTACTTATTCAACCTGTATGTATTTCAGAATTCCACATTCTGTATTTGTAACTGTTTCTTCCCTTTTATGTGTAACAATCTAAGATACAATACAGACTCTGCTAACAGTGTCATTGTTCTGAGCCAAGAAAGAGGATACCAGCAGGAAGTTACTGCCTTCTGACTTCCTCCTTGAAATAGATTGGGAGTACGCTTTGGGATGTATCTTTTCTTCTTAGCCAACTAATTTGGCACAAGCATCCATCAAATGTTGTGGGGCATTTGAGACAGGAGTGTGTTTGGGAGTGGATTGCACTAAAAATGAGTTCAGTTAACCTCTGAAGAGCACTTGGAAAGGGTCGTAGTAAAGAAAGTTGAATTGCTATGGCATGCAGACAGATATGCACCCTTGTGTCCCCTGTGCAAATGCATTGGGAATCTTTGTCCTAAGTTTGGTAGTGAAAGGGAAGGAGGCAGAGAGCTCTGCGTGCTTTAGAATGTCACTTTAAGAATGTTCTGGGATGCTGGAGGAGGGATGCTTGGATGTGTCTGAAGGCAAAGCTGGAAAGAGGGGATGCTTGTGTGAATTCTACTGAATTTTACATTTAGTGAACGTGAACTGAAGTTCTTAAAGATTCTTCCTTTAACATTAATAAGTTACTAAGATTATGTTTTACTCTGAATGCCAGTCTGTATGTTACTTAGGCATGTACAATGCATTAAAATCTAGACAAAGGATTTCCTCAGGTCAAGTGTGTCTTGAACATATGTATCCATAAAACAGTTTCAGAAATCTCAAGAAAAAGAAGTGATACTTGTTTTTCTTGAGTATTGCTCAGCAGTATTTTACCAAATCTGAATTTGTCATCCAAAAGCAGTGGAGATGATGCTGGTTAATCAAGGTGGCTTTCCAAACTAACAGAAATACCATTTCACCTTTTTTGGGAGGGAAAAATATCAGATTTTATTCAGGGTTACGTTTAAGCTGTGTTACTTCTAGCTATGTCATACTTATTTATACTAATTTTAGGTTAATTTGTAGAACCAATGGGAAAATGTATGATGTTAGATATGGACAAATTCAAGTAGTCCTAGACTTTGCAACAGAAGAAATTACTAAAATTGTTCCTTTTGCCAAAATTTGTATCATGTAACCTACAGGCTCTACTTTTCTTTCTTCTCCATTACTTTCTTGGGTGCATTTTTCATTCGATGTCCTATCACTATTAAAGAAAAAGGCAGTTACAGCTTATGCCATCTTTGATAGAAAGTGTTGTCCTGTTCTACAGGACAGCATTCTTGGTATGTAGCTTATTGTTGAAATGAACAGTTTTCAAAGTAAGTTTTAAGTCTGTGGGTAAATAGTAGTAAATGAATAGTAAAGACAGTTATATTAATTTTTTGATCATTAAAATACATAATTCCAACTGTAAGCAAACTAGGCACAATTAAAAAGAATGCAGCTGATCAGTTGCTGGGTATAGTGTTTCTACACTCTAGTGTTGAGCTTAAGTGTCTACCCATCCTGGTTGGATATATGTTCTTACTACATTATTTCTGAACATTTATTATAACTATTCAAGATTTCTATTGCAAGTGCTGTTCCATGAAAGCATTGTAGAACTGTATTCCTTATGTTCAAATTTTTGGAATATATTTCCCACAGCAAAATCTTCTACTCTAATGTTCTGCTTCCTTCTCTAATGTTTAGAGTGGTTTTCTTTTCACCCACTCTCCTATATTTTTGCTGCAGTTGCTAAGGGTTACTTAGTTCAGCACAACCCTTCTGAGAATATATTTGCTAAATTTAATAAGTTACTATTTATGATAAATCAGTCAATATGACTCCACTTTGGAATACTTTATTAAGATCAGCATCTTTTATTAAGATCAGCATCTACACGAAACTTAATTGCATATTTTTCTCCCTTTCAGCAAGCTACATCGAGCGACCTCAGCTGATCAGAGCAAAAGTGCCAATAGTGAAATTCAGGGATAAAGTCAGGCAAGTATTCTGTTCAAAACAATTTTTTAGACTTTGGTATGGGAAAGTACTCCATATTTGTACTGTCCTTAGAAGTAATCCCACTGTCATGCCTGGTGCCTTAGTTGTATTGCAGATTCGTTCAGCTAGCATGCAGTGGCAATCAGCTTACTTCCTTGATTATCTGAAACACCTCTTGTGGTTGAAATGCTTTTTGGTTTCTGTGATGTGAATTAGAAGCAGTACATCACGTATTTCTGTGAGTTATTTGTACATAGTGGACTCCAGTTGACAGATGGTTTATGACAGAAAAACAGTGGTGGGAAGAAAACTGCTGTGAAAGATAATTTTGCTTCTTGTGCAAACATAACTACTAAGCTATTTAAGGACTAATTCACACTATTTACACTGTACAAACAATGCTAAAATGAACTTCAGTTTATTGTGATGTTTTCTTGATTAAAAAGTTCTTATTCATTTTAGAGAGATATTCTGTGTTTACCATTATAGTATTGCATGTTGTATTCACACTATTAGGTAGTAATTTTATGGCTTTATTTAGAAGTGGGAAGTAATTAGACAGAAGTGGATATGTTACATGTTGTAGTATTCATTGTATCTTCATTATAAAGACATGAGAGGGATGTACTAGGACAGAGAATGATGCATTTTTTATTATGTGTGATAGAAGTATCTGATAGAGAAAAAAGTCATGCAAAGCACTGAAATGTGTTAACAGTCTGAGTAATGTTTAAATCTTCTGTGTTTATTGGCTTAGCTTTGTAAGATTGATGTGTATCAGCTTCATATAGTAACATAGTTTCACTGGTTTTGTAAATCGGAACAACTGTCTTGTATCTAACTGTCTTACCCTGTCTATATGCATCTAAAATTTTGCAACCGTGTATCTGTCTCGTGAAAACAAATGAGCCCACTTCTCTGGTGTCTCCTTCTAAAAGTGTATCGCTTTTTTTAATCACCATATGCCTTTATCAGAGCAGAAACCTTGCCATGGTAAAACTAAATCTGGTCGTGTTTACAGTTTGAACTAATCTATATTGTCCATTTAAGCTTTTCTTTCATCTGAGATTATATAACACTTGTAGGGATTCTCACTTTATACTATTTTTCTTCATTTACACCTAGTCCCATATTTACTCTTGTATAGTTGTCTACCTTATAAAAATTTGAATATTTTTTTTCTAGTAACTTTCTTCCCTAACAGTACAGAAGGTTATTTCTCCCATGCTTTCTGAAAGTGTTATACTTATCAAGCTAAAATATGGGTTCTGTGGCTTAGCTACATACAGCAATGCTAGTCTTTCCATAATACATGAAATGGTAAAATCTTTTGGTAAATGCTGAATAAGTTATGGGATTATAGCAAGAATTTTTTTCCACTTTAAAATCAGAAAATAAACTTTAAAAAGGAACCTTAAGTATGGAAGTGATTGTATGAGAAGATTGAAGGCATTTATAATCCATACTGCAGTCACTTTCAAAAAATAGTAAGTAATGATAATTATATGCCTTACAGACATGATTTAAAGAACTCTTTATTTCCTACTAAAGCAAAATATAATCTTCTTATGATGGAAGCTGCACGTTATATTTTTGCAGAGTAAAAACCAATGCTGTTTGCCATCTGGTTTCCTGTGTTGCTTTTTTGAAAGAGGGGAGCAGCAGGAAATGGCATGACTTTGAGTTGGGTGGTTTTTGTTTTGTTTTTTTGTTTTGTTTTTGTTTGTGTTTTTGTGGTTTTGGTTTTGTGTTTTTGTGTTTTTGTTTTGGTTTTGTTTTGGTTATGTTTTTGGTTTTTTGTTTTGTTTTTGATTTTGGTTTTTTATTTTTGTTTTGTTTGGTGTTTGGTTTTGTTTAATTTCTGTCTTTACAGTTACCTTTCTCTTATATAACCTGTCTTCTCCATCCATGTGTTGTCATTTTATTTAAATATCTGTCTCTTTCCAATCACTTATCGACTTCTGTTTTTTGTAGACTCATACATACACGTACACCCATAGTCATTCATTTTTTCACAGAGATCTTGAGAAATGCATTGGATATTCTGTACCCAGGGCACTAGTCTTTTTTTTTACCAAAACTGGAAACTAAACATAACAAGCTCCCTCTGAAAACCGGTTTTCTTGATGCCCAGCTGCTGGGAAAGGATGGTGAAATTTGGTGGGTTGTATTTCTGTATCTGGAGATGCACATTCTGATGTGTTACCAGTGCTCCACATATACCTGAAAATTATTTTAAGTTTGCCACTTACTTTGATTTAGTGAATAAGAAAGATATAGAGGATACAAAAACTTTCCCTTCTGCTATATTTGATGTGCACTTGACTCTTTTCCTGTCCTTTAGTGCTTTTACTAGAACTTGAGCCCAATAATGAAACCTTTTTCAATTGCCATAACTTCAGCAGCTATTAAATGTGCATAGTAAAGTACAAAATAACTGCCATAGAACTTGCTTCTGTCGGCATCTGGTAAATAGTAATCTTGTCAACTTGTAATAACTGGAATTACACATGCCACCTGACATAATTTTTTTATTGTATTTGCACATGCAATTAATATTCTTACTGGTATTTATGCTTAAATTTGCAACTGTCAAGTGGTAGTTCAAGCTTGTTTATTTCCTATACTGATATGTACTATATTCTTAAAACATGTAAAAAGTCATGCTTGATGTTAATTCATGTTTAAAATTAGTATTTTTTATGCAAATAATGTTTTCATGTAGTTAAAGGTGAAAAAAACCCTTGTCAGCATCAAAGTAATGTGTTTTACCCAGTTTAGTGAATTTCATGTCCATGTTCCCCTCATGTAAGAAAAGCTGAATGAATATTTGGGCAAACAAGTAGTGACTGATACATAGATATATAAAAGCTGTACATAGCAGATAGCTACTTCTTTGTCAACAGTAGTAGGCTCTTGGTGTTGCAAATTAGTGTTGCTATGGCTTATTGACCTTGAGTTTAATGTTTTTCTTGAGTCTTGTGAGTAGTTAAGCTCCTTATGCAGTATGAAATTCAAACTTGGGGATGGGATGTGCTGTAAGTAAAGCTTGTTAGTGCTTGTTTACCTTGTTCTTATTTTCTCTTAAGAGAATTGAAGTTATCAAAAGTTTTTTATTGCAAAACGTGCAATGTTAACTATAACTGGTTTTTATTTCAAAGTGCTGATTATCTCTCACCATCATTAGACTCTTACCTTTCAACCTCTTCTTAATTCATATTATGTCATGTAGTTCAAATCTAGTTGGGAGGAAGAGTCTTAATGTGGATCTACATGTATTCTTTGTGTAAAACAACAATTATATTTTTATAACAATGGAATTCCAGTCTGTAAGCAATTCAGGTACTATAAACAAAACTGTAGAAAAGACAGCATTTAAAGCTCTGTTGAAGGTTTCTAGGATATATCTGTCACTAAGTAGGTAATAAACGTGCAGAAACTGAATACCATGATGCTTGATGTTTTTTTCTTCTTCCCAATAGCTATGTGGAGTTCGACTTGAATGTAAACAATGTTGTAGGGATAAGAAATACATTCCTTCTGAGAACCTATGCATTCAGTAAGTTTTTATTGTATTTTCTTATTTCTATAAATTTTTCTTTTTGAATTTTTATTTTGGCATTGGTATACTATTCAAATTCAGTTTAATATCTTACTATATATATCATTACCTATTTAAATGCATTAGTTAACTCTAAGATAAGTTCTTGTTGCTTGTTCTAAATATATGAGAAAATATATCAGCTAGGTATGTTTGTAATTTAATATTACAATATTCAGAAGATAACAAAGATTCTTCATATTAAGGTCCATGTATCTACTACTATGGCTGCTTCAAGTATTCTGGGAATAACAAGGTCATTATACTAATGGCTATCTAGTAATGTAATCTCCAGTTTCTTTTATTTCCTTACAGCCACTGACAGGCTGTGTGGCTGATAGCTAGTTGTGTCTGTATGCTGTTAGAGTCTTTTCTTGGAAAATTCAAAATACTGCTTCAGTGTTTATACTAAGCCCAAATCAAAACTGGTAATATGAGGTAATATGAACAGCATTCTCAGTGCTATTTCAAAGTTTTTTTTACTCAGCATCATAATGTCATTTGGCAGATAAGTACATAAAGAGTGTACCTCAGGCTATTTCTTCCAGAGCATTTGTGTTTGTTCCTTTACCACATTCTTCAGTTCTTGCATAAAGGAATTCCTTTCTATTTAGGGTACGAGTGTGTCAATAGAAGCTACCTTTACTAGTTAATTTTTAGTAATATTTTAGTCAGAGTAGTTTGTGTTCTATATTTATGTTACTAGGAGAGTCTGCAACTTGTCCTGGATCAGTTGGTTAACTGTGACACTTTCATGTGTACAGGAGGATGTATGACTGGAGAAGGATCCCTTCCAAGCTTAAAAAGATTGGGAAATAATTGTCATTCATGCCTATGGGTGAGGGATCAGTTCACCAAGTCTAATCTGGATATATTTGTTCCTACCTTCTGCCACAGATCTCCCTTATTTCTCTCAGGAAATCACTGCAAGGCAGATGAGTCCAGATGTGAAAAGAGCTGAGGAGGAGTCCTAGTATTCCACCTTGGTGCCCACTTTTGTAAAGTCAACAAAACTAACTTCATGCCTTGTAATGAAGGATAAAAACTGTTATTTTCTTGAGGTCAAGGAGTGAGTTAATAGCTAAGGGAGACTTGATGTGCTGGACCTTCCTAAATAGACAAACTGTATCAAGCATACAGCTTATCTGTCTTGTCCTCCTTGGACCAGAAAACTCTCAGGTGACATAAGGCAAACAAAACTAAATGGAAACTTATACCAAACCGTCTCTTTTGCATACTTTTATAAGTCATATCAGCAAGAGTGGATAGCGTTAGAAGTGTTATCCTGATCACATAAGTGTGTGGTTGAAGGGCTTTACCCTGCATTGTAGAAAAAAAAAGATAAAATTACCTCTAATGTGGAAGAGGTTTTGGTCTCTCTGTTCCATTAGAATGAAATAGGTGCTCAGGTAAAAAGAGGATTAGTTAATGAACATAATGAAAAAGCCAAGACTCTGAAATATTTCTGTGGGTGTTCTTCTGACTTTTTTAAAGTTAGCCTTTCTCTGAAGGTGCATGGGTGCTGTAGAAAACATCAGAGATGATGGGGAGAGATGGGTGAAGCAGAATGTCCACAGAAAATTTAAGTAGATTAGGCAGAGCTAGAAACTGAAGTCTGTGCTCTTGTGTCACCAGTGGTTTGCCAAAGGAGATGTGTCTGCGATCAAGTCAGCAATTGTTGCTAGGTATTTTTCAATTGGTGGAAGCTAGACTTTTTAGCTTTGAGCAAATGACATTACTGAGCATTGTCTTGAGGAGGTACCTAGTACAGAGTATCAGAGAAAGTTTACTGGCCATATTGCACACTTACTTAGTTATATACTAATTACAGACATTAGCAGACAGAAAACCATATCTCAGAATGAGGTCAGCTGAAAAGAAATCTCTTATACTGTGACACACACACTAAAGAATCATGTTTGGAATTGGAGCTTATTTGCATTTTTCTCTCATGGAAAAATCCTCTTCCTGTTAATGCATGTTCATAAGGTGTTTGTAAAGTAATTCTTTGCATCTCACAGTAGTGTGCTAATAGTTACATTTTTTTATTTCAATCACGAATGAACAATGTTGGGAATAAGGTCACTGGTGCTAAGGAGTTTTGCTGTTTCCAAGAGGTCTTCCAGACCTAGGATGTTGATTCTGAAAAGAAGAGTAGCACTTACATGGGCCTAGGTGCTGAACTGACTGGTGTGGCTTTAGGATGTCTTTTGTCCTCAAGTCCTGATGTACATAGTACAAAACCTTGCATAATGATGTCAGATTATAAAAGATACTCCAGAACATGTAAGTATTCAAGGCCATTGTAAGGCACTTGACTGAGTTGATGATATGCTTCCATGTATCTGCAAATAATAAATTAAGTAGGCTGCTGGATCCCTAGAACTTTGTGGTGAGTGATACGTCCCTACAACAGATATACTACCTTAATTAGAAGATATCAAATTCCCCACAAATTCAGAAGATCATACCTGGAATATTTACTGTATTTATGTCATTCCCCATGAAATACATATGTCTTGATTTAAAGAGATATTTTATCTAACATCTTATCTACATGAAAAGCTACCGAGGACAAGGCAAAATTAAAATTTATATTTGTATTCATGGGTTACTGCCTTCATGGATCCTGAGGTAAACTTAAGAATGAAATCTGTGTCTTCCAACAAGAATTCTTTTCCCTGCCTTCAATAAAAAATAACTTGGGGTCTGTCCTGACAGCAAGTTAATTCAGGGAAAATTAGTACAAGGAACTGGAGACAGCTTTGAAGTCAAATCTGACACTACTGTATTGACTGATGTATCCAGTTTTGTCTTGCGTGCAGATTTCCTGACATGCCCATTTATCATGTTTCTGTGGATCTTATTACTCAAAAGATTGTTTTTAAATGCAACTATTTGGTTCTGATTTTTATAGGATGGTTAGCAGTTGTAGAATAACTAAGTAAATTCTATAAAATGCTTGCAAAGGTAACCTTAGTATATAAGAAATATGTTGATCAAGTAGGAACAAATGTTGATTAATTGCTGTGTAGTTAAATGTACTTTTTTTTGAGATGTAGTTATTTTACTTGCAGTTGAGAATCGAGTTCGTCCATTAGTACTGGTTATTAAGAAGTGGGCAAGTTTTCATGAGATAAATGATGCCAGTCGTGGTACTTTAAGCAGCTACAGTCTTGTGCTGATGGTTTTGCATTATTTACAGAGTAAGTATTTTTTTTCATGTCGGAACTCCCTCTTTTAAGTTCATATTTTTGTAGTTTTCCTGTTTAATAAAATCAAATAGTAATCATCTTCCACACAGAAAGATTTGAAAGTAAAGTGCATTTACTCTATTTCCTTAGTACTGCATTTGTCTTTAACAAGTGGACCTCTTCTCTGGAAACATGGTTACCAGCTTTAAAAGGTTTAAAAAAAATTAAATAAATGTAGCTGCAGAACACTATGTAACTATAAAATAAACTCAAGCAGTCGTTAACAAAAATGCATGAGGACAATAGCTATAATCATGCGTGGAGGCTGGCATAACTCTTCTAGAGAAGGAGAAAAAAGGCTCAGATAATCCTTTTCATGCAAAACTGTGATCAGTCAGCTGTCTGGGGAGGATCAGAAGTCTACGAAGAGGAGCCTTTTACCTGTGCTTCATCAGCCTTTTCTGCAAAAAACCCCTGCCTGAGATGTGGGTCTGTACATGTATCTAGCACCATCTGTTTAGGTTCTGGTGTTTTACTCATGGAGATTTTAAAGGGTCTTTTTTTCCTGCTACATGCATGCAATTCTCTTGAAAGCAGCCTGTATCCTCGAACTTCTAATAGTGTTTTTGTTCATGTTACTGGAGAGGGAACAAACCAAAGGCTTTCATTTGCAATAAATGGTGACCCTGTCTTCACTAGGCAAATTTCTGTCCCGTATTACTTAATTAATTTCCATATTCTTATACTCCTGTGGATGTCCTCATACACAAGTTTAGTGTGGCTTCAGTTTATTTTATAGATACCTCAGTATCTTGTACATGAACTTTCTGCCAGGTAACAGGTCTAACTAACTTATACAGTAAGAAAAGGGAACTCATATGTTAGTGATAAGTGGTAACTTTTCCCCTAAAGTCTGTCCTCTTAGTAAAGCATGCAGGCCCAGATACAATATCCTGATTGCTTGTATTGGTTAGATTTTGTTGTGTTTTGTTTTAGTGGAGCAGAGAACTGGAAATTATCCAAGATATTGCAGAACTATGAGCTCTTGCATATTTCTAAAAACCTGCAAATAAAATAAAAATATAATTAAAGAAGCTGTGATCATTGTCTTAGCAGACCTGGTAGGTAGTATATTATACTCTGAAGATACTCCAAGCATATTCTAAGAATTCTGCTGTTCTGATTCTTAGTCCCTGTAACATCTCATCACCTGTGAGACCCTGTTGAAGTGTGAACTAAGTCCCAAGTCCTGTGTACTGAATTTAATTATTATTCTCCCTAATGAATGATATAGACCAGTTGTTTTAAAAAAACATGCTAAAGAGATCATGTTAAAGCTTTAGTCTGAGGAGTGCTCTAGCAATTTGGTAGCTGCTCTAAGGCGTGAGTGGCGTGTCAGTGCTTTGGATTTTTGTCTGTCATCTAACCTGGGTGATAAGTTTTCTCTTTATTTTTTATGTTGTACAAGAGATGCTCTCCCAATCCATGATTTTCGTGAAAATGACAAACGTTTAATTCATTTTAGGTTTGTATTGTTAATGACTGCATGATCATTATAACGTTTGCCATTTAGTAGGCCATCTAACAATATTAGACTGTATTTATGTATTTTGTGGAGATTTTGCTAGCAATGCCTAGTAAGTGTGTTGGACATTTTTCCTTTAGGTGACTTTTTGGATGTTCAGTATGTATTATTTTGCAGCTGAAAAACGCATACTTTTGCAGTATCTGTAGACTTATGCTGTGATGGAATCGTATTAAAAGTAGGAGGGGAAAAAAAGGGTGACTCTAATTTTTTTCTTTAGGAATCTAGGTGATTTTCTTATAGCCATGAATTAATATAAATTAATATAAATTTGAGAAATGAATTTGTACCCAGCTACTGTAGAATTTTTGATGCCTTCTACATATAGTAATATCTTAATAACAGCCTCCTTTAGCTGAATAAACTTCTTATAGTATTATATAGTGGGAAATACACTAATAGAAATGTCTGCTGAATAACTTCTATTTTAAAAAATGCCTGAAAGTGAAGTTCTTGATAGATGTTTTTAAGACAAAATTTCAACCTAACCCTGTGGTGTAGTTGATATGATAATGCTTCCTATGAATTACATGAATCACAGCAACTTTAAACTTTTCTTTTTTATAGCCCTACCTGAACCCATCCTTCCATCCCTCCAGAAAAATTACCCAGTAAGTGTTTCTTATGGTTTTACTAATATGTGTATGATCCTGCTTATCTGAATGTATCAATTCTTAACTATTTCTAATGGATTAAGTTGAGCACAGTCTGTAAATCTGGTCATTGATCTGTTAAACATAAGTGTGAAAGAGGTTATTTGCTGCCTTTGACAATTTCTGTAGGGAAAATTCTGTTATGTATGAGAATATGTATGAATAAACTGTATGAATATCATATACAGTTAGAAACAAGTGCTAATGAAAACTGCTGGCCTAATTCCCTTTATGCTGGCCAGAAAATATCCCTATGTCAGTTGTAACTTTCTGATTCCTATTTTTAATATGTTAAGTAGTGTTTTTTCAGCCAACTGTGGTGTTTCAGAATTCCATACCCTCCCACAGCTGTTGAGTTGCCTGATATTTTTATGTGCAGAGTGAGTGATAAACGTCTACTATGTAAACTTTTGTGACATCACAAAATTTGACTTCAAGAAAACACCTTTTTGGGACTTCACTATTGTATCCAGTTCACTTCCAGTGAACTCTGTGAATTAGCATGCTTTGATCCCTCCAGAATTAGGACTGCTATTAATGAGATTTAGTCTAAGGAAGATGATCTAGAACTAAGATCTACCCTCCTAAATATTTCTCAGCTCTACTGATGAATAGTTCTATGCTATAACTTATTTACAGAAATTCCTCGGTTCCTTCCTCCTTACTTTTCCTCTCATGTGTCACTTTTTAATTTTGTTTTTTTAATTCATAGTTCACATAGTTTGGTGTCCCTGTCCCTGTACGTTTCTGTAATCTTTGCTGACAGTTGTGCTGAGGTAGTGTCAGAAAGCCATTCTATCTTTTGCATATATTTCCTATAATGCTGAAATGGGAATATTTACTGATGCTGTACATCAGGGAGAAAATACTGTGGTGTCAGCCATTTTGGGTAATTAGGGTAATCAAGATGCAGAAGATAGCATTGAGTGATAATACCCTGCAGTTTTATTTCTGTATTGTGAATCTACTTAGGCATACCTGTGCTACATTTTGTGGTCTTTATCTTTTCCTCTGTTTTTTTTATGGCACTATATACCTTCTAATTTCTTCACTGGGAGGGCTGAAAAGCATTTGAAGTTGTCTTTCATTTCTTGTACACTGAGCTTTATCTAGTAGGGTTTGAGTTGCTAAATTTGTTAATTATGTTTTCCTAAAGATCATATGCTGTAGTGTTCTAAGTTTTGTGTAGCATGTTATTTAAATAAAACTGTTAAGAATTTGTAAATTTTTATTCCTCTATAATTACAATGCAAAATTATTGTTTACATTTACAAATTAAATTTATATTTGTAGTGTTTGAACTGTGTAAAGGCCTTCAGAGTACTATGCAAACATTAACGCCTTATTAAAGCAAAAGTGTACAGTACCAAAACCTGAAAAATCTGAAAAATTTGTACTAAATTCAAGGTTTTATCTTGTGTTATGTCAAAATGGTAAATCACCTGCAGGTACCTGTGTTTTGAGAACACAACTGGAAGAATTGAATTTTTACCCAGTTCTGATGTCGATTTTTTTTGTTTTGTTTTGTTTTTTTTGTTTTTGTCAGTTATCTTACCTTTGGAGAATGGACTAAGTATTTTAGGATTGCTAACAGAATTAAAAGAATATTTTATACTTGTTTACTATAAACCCAGATTTGCAAATGTATTTTTGGTCTACTGTTTCCATTAGGAATATAATTATAGTTAAGTGTTTAAAAATTGAAAGTTAAAATTTCTGAATACTGATATTTCAAAGAAATTTAATATGAAAAATACAGCAACACAAATTTGGTCTTGTACCTTGCAGTAATAATTTCAAAGCATAGGCAAATGTCAGTATCGAAAGAAACTGTATGTTTTTCTTGTGGTTGTAGCTGGTCAAAGCTCTGTCTCCATGCTAATGCTACACATAAATGCTACATCTCCCCTATATACTTCTGCCTACAGATTTTCAAAATTGAATCTACAGCCTGAAAATACTTTTGTGCTCTGTTTTAAATTGTTGGTACCACATGAGAGAGACATGCTTTCATTGAGGAGGAGACAAAAGGCAAATTCTGTATCTTATTATGTCCCTACTGCAGATGTGAAGAGGTGAGAAGTCCTGGAAGGCTATCAGGTTTGCCCACTGGTACATGCTGTTGCCGTGGGTGAGTCTCCAGCTGGCACCAAGCTGACATGTTTTGCAACCTCTAGTTTAAAGTGGGTATTGGACCACATCAGATGTAGGGTTGTATTCTGGGGCTTCCTGCCCCCACTGTCCAGATAAGGTAGATGACAGTAGCCCACAAAATGTGCTGATCACTTCTGAAGTCTATGTAGAACTTGCCTCCAAGTCAGGACTTTATAGATGAGCTCTAGAGAGCCTGTAATGGCTCAGGCCATTGCAGCTGGTGCTCATTGCTGCCACTGGCAGTCTGAAGGAAACCTGTGCCTGAGCTTCCAGTGTTCAAGCAGCCTCAAGTGTATTACCTTAAGTCAAGAAGGTAGTGGGTCTCCATGAGTGCTCTGCATAGTGAATTTTGTGGACTTTGCACAAGTACATTTTTGTATCTGCTGCCTCATCTTCATGTCATGTCTTAAAACGGTGGAGCAGAAGGTGGGATGGTGCTCAATGCAGAAGTCAGTCCTTGGACAGACACAATTTGCTTGACATGTTGAGTTGCACTTTTAAAAAGTAAAAACATGAGCTAAATATTAATTTGTAAGACTGGTGAAGGGTATTTTATGTGTGTGAATATAAAAAATGGCAAGATGCTATGCTGATGCTACAACGGTAAACTTTTTTGAACAAAGAATCTTGTACATTCAGAGTTAAACTTGCTATGCATTAAGATACTCAAATATAGGGTTTTTTTTGATGTATGCTTGTCTTCCTTTCCAGTGTGTAAGGTGGAATGAGTGTACTTGTAAATATGTAGCTTAAACATGAAACATGTTGCTGAATACTGGTGTTTCTTGAGAAATGAGCCAACCAAGGGAAAGATTAGAGATCTAGCAAAACAAGGAAAAGGACTTTGGATTCCCTTTTTCTAAAGTACCTTGAGATAATGGATAGCTCATTTATAGTTACTCCATCAGATCCTGAAATTCCTTTCCAACTCTTAAGGTGGCTTGAGGCAAAGACAGTTGAATTTGTCTAAATTAGGGAGTAATTTTAATAAAAGTTGGATCTTTTGCCTTTTAGTGCAAGTTAAGAAGGGAAAACTTACAGGGATTACCTACTTGAAAGTAAGCTAATTTGAATGATGCTTTGTAAATCTGTTTTTTTAACCAACATCCTTTATGTGCAGAATCTGCCTTGTTATGTTTATCTAGTTATTCCCTGAATCCCTCTAACAGGAATGAACATACTGTTATCCCTGTTTTACTCCAAGTAAATGGAGGGGAGTTGAGGCGGTTTTTCATGGGTTGTCTGTGGCAAGGCAGAAAAATGGGTCTTTGTATCCTGTGGCTGGTCTGACTTCTTGTTCACTGGACACTGAGTTATTGCTTTGTTAAGAAATTATATTAAACAAATTACATTGTGGGTTATTGATATATTGAGTGTTGGTGTATCTTGACAGAAGTTTTCATTACATCTTCCATATACTGACTTTTAAGTAATAACTAATTTGGTTTTACATGTAAAACTTTCTAATGTGGTAATAGCTACTTCTTCCATTAAAAAAATTCTGTATTTCAGAAAGATGAAATACTGTTTTTTGCCTTTATATGTGGTGATCAGCAACTGACAGTGCTTAAAAAATAATTTTACTAACAGTATCACAAGGATGTGATTAATACTTTGCTTTAGTTAGTGTTAAAAGATCTTGTTTTCTTCCAGAAAAGTACTTTCAGTCATACCTTCTCTTTTGCAATACTTAATTGCTTTTTTAAGAAAAATTTTCATAGAGATATTACCACTAAACCAAGTGGAAATGGGAATTATTTATAGCATTAGGTGGTTGGGTTTTTTAATGATTAGCTGCTATATACTGTAACCTGCGTTTTTACAAGGGTACTTATATAGTATAATGCACATGTGTTTTTTTGAAGGCAAATGCCTTTTTGAGTGTGGAAAACTTTGATTTGTCTGAAATCTTATTGCCAACTTTTTAGCTGCTCAGGATGCCAGCCTCACTGTGCTGGCAGAATTTTCCTGCAATTTAGAAGTTCTCAGGCATTTAAATATTCAAATCTCTAAAAAATTAATCTTGTTCTCATTTTCAAAGATGTCTGCTGCCTCCAAACATTTACTTACAGGTTTTAGTAGACATCTGTTGTAGTTGTTTCATTGCATTTCTGTTTTATATTGTTTGGAGATCAGCATCCCTTGTTCTTCCTTTCACCTCCTCCCTCGTATGTTCTTTTTGAGTTGGTATACTGCCAATTCTGAATTCAACTGTTGTGACTCTTCTTACAGCTTTCTGTAGGAAGGGGCAAGGAGTAATTTTCACTCTACTGCCTTTCTGATTAACTTTAGGGTTAAAACTGTTTACACTGTATGGCATAGGAATGGCTGTTCCCTTTGTACATCTTTGTGCGCTGCTTATCTGCCTTGTATGTCTTTCTGTCTCCATTGTTTTGGTGTCTTATGATGAATTATAAGCTGTTAAATTCTGAGCTCTGCTAACTATGTAAAGTTATATCATGTGAGATCATCACTTGAAATTTTTTCATTACTAGAAGATACTGCACGAGGTTCCAGCAAGTTTTGCTAGAATTGGCAGAAGAGGACAGAAGTCCTAGACTTTTCAGTCCTACTGGTTTTGATCACTAACTGTGCTTTTCTCAGAGGAAAAGCTGCCAGCTGTGGACATGGAAATAGCATTACAGTGTGTAGTGCTTCTAGTGCTGTTCTAGTACTATAAAGTTTGAGTCATGCCTGATACTACTGTTTAAAATAACGAATGAAAGGGAGGAGAGGGGAGGTATAGTAATGAGTGAATAGGTCTCTAAATTTACATCAATGTGTTCCTTTATTTGAATGTAAAGCTTTCTCTTTTGTATCTTGGGTTAATTTTCAGTGAAATACACAACATTGTTGTAAAGTGGTGTTAAAACCTGATATTACTAGGTTATAAAAATTGTTTCTCTAATAAGGGAAGATGTGTTTTCCTCCATATACTCCAGTTTATCATGAGAACTTAAAGGATGCAGTGGACACTGAAACAGTAGAGCAGATCTAAAACCATCCTAATTTAGCCTTGTATAGATTTATTTTTAAGCTGGCAATAGTGATTTCTTTTCACAGCAAATCTGACCTTTTCTTACCCCCATCACGGCCACGCCCTTCCCTCTGAAAAAAAATCATACTTCAGCTAAAATGCTGCATTCTGTGTATTCAGGTGTTTTGTATAACTTCACTGTTGGGGTTTTTTTTATTCCTTCAGATAGCTTGGCTAGAGGACTGCAGTCTTTGAACTTAGTATGTGGGAGGATGCAGATTCATTTTATTGCCAGTGGGATTCATATAATTTGAACTCTATGCTGTGGGAGAAAAGTCAGGCCTTCCTTTGGGATTGTTTCTGTACCACAGGTATTCGAAATTGGTAATGGGTGCATTAGTTTTACCTTATCTCAGTTCAGCTGCAGCCAGCTCAGTGTAGTTCAAAGATCCTCCCATGTTAAAGTTCTTAAGTAAACAGAAGTCAAGGGGTGGTCACACACTCCTGTGCAAGATGATTCTACCTGAGTTCGGAGAGAGTAACTAGTATTCAAGAGAGAAGCAGAAGAGAAATACTTGTTGTCTTGCAAATGTCCTTGAACTTCTAATAAGCAAATGGTAGGCAGCTTTCTTACTGGGAAAAATAAATGCATCTTTTTTAAGGCTTTCTGTGTGTGTGTATATATATACATTCTGATTTTTTTTTTTGACAGGAATGTTTTGATCCTACTATGCAGTTGCATCTTGTTCATCAAGCTCCATGTACCATCCCTCCTTACATCTCAAAAAATGGATCAAGCCTTGGAGATTTGCTAATAGGCTTCTTCAAATATTATGCCACAGAATTTGAGTAAGTAATAAGCTCGTCTTTGTGGTTTGGAACACGCAAAACTTTGATTCCTTCGATTCAATATAGCAATGCTTTCTAATGCTTGAAGAGAAAGAATTGCTGTAATGAAGGAATGGTAATTGACAGAGAGGAGAGGGGTGAAAAGGCTAAATGACAACAGGAATGCTGATAAAGTATCTGACATCTTCTACTTAGCCAGGCATTCTGTCCTGTAAAATAGCTGCTGAACGCTAGAGAGCTTTGTCCTTTACAAATTGCTAGGGTTTGTTATACTATAATATATTGTTTCTCCTGAGTACCTGTCTTTTCAGCTGGCAAGGTGATGTTTGGTAATGAGGTAAATGAGAAGACACTGCTGAAGGGTTACTTCAGGTTCCTGATTTATGTTGAGCACTAGATGAATCCTCTACTACTTATCTGAACAACAAGCTGTTAATCTTCTCATATATGAAAGTAAATATATTTTCCAATAAGGAAGAATTTTCTGGTTTGCCTGGGCAACGTAGTAGAGATGATCTTGTCTAAATGCAGGAAAAATGCCTAATTTGACTTTTCTGGTTTGAGTGCTTGTAAACATAGTCAGGACCAGATTTCTACCTTGTTGGTGATTGGTCCAGAAAGACTTTGTTTTTGTCTGCTGTTAGACAGATATATGTTAAGATATATGAGGACTTCTGCAATATCAGTACTTGAAGTGATGGTAATCCCTAAATATAATTTCTTTGTGATTTTCATAAATCAGGAAAAAATGTTACCTAAATTTAATCACACAAGTTAAATTCTGGTTAAAACAAGCCTTGAAAAAGTAACATTGAAGATAGGATAGTTGCTGATGTTAAAGGAAGAAAATGTTTTTAAAAAACAACTGAAAAAACGATGATGTGGCTGTTTTTTCCAGCGTCCAGTATCTATTAAGTATTTAAACATTTCATTCATGATATTCTGTTCAAACAAACAAACAAACAAAAAACCCACCAAAAAAACTCTGTAAAAAATAGCCATTAGAATTTCTGTGTTGAAAATGCTACATAACTGAGAAATCATTTGAGGAAATGATACACCTAATGCAGCAGCCTATTTTTTTTTAACTCTTTCTGCTACAGAAATAAAACTTAGTCAGGTGTACTGTTTAATTGACCATCTGTGTATCCCTAACAACTATAAATCATGTTTGAAAGGAATAGGGTTCGTGTCTTGAAGGTAGTAAATTTCCGTATAGTTTCTTAAAACATGGTAATTGCCTGGAGAAGACGAGTTAGTGCCCATATGGAGCAACATGATCATGTCTTTAAAGTTTTTTTTGTGTGAGAGAGCAGGCCATTGAGAACCAAAGAACAGTGTCTCTCTAGGCACAAATGTGTTATCTTTGCTTTGAAGTTGCTGATGGAAACAACAGTACTAGTCAGAATGAGGAGAGTTAAATAGGTAGAATCACAGAATATGCTGAGTTTCCTCATATCTAAACTAAACCTCTACTGACTCAGCTTCGTGCCATTACCTCAAGTCCTGTCAGTGGTTGTGAGAGGCAGGAGATCAGTACCTGCCCATCTGCTGCCCCCTGTGAGGATGCTGAAGACCCTGATGGGTCTCCCTTAAGTCTTCTCCAGACTGAACAGACCAAGTGACCAGAGCCACTCTTCATAGGACTTCCCCTCCAGACCCTTCACCATCCTCATGGCCCTCTTTTGGACACTCTCTGATGGCTTAGTATCTTTCCTATATTGTGGTGCCCAAAACTGCACACAATATTCAAGGTGAGGCCACCCCAGTGCAGAGCAGAGCAGGACAACCTCTCCCTCGACCGGCTGGCAATGCTTTACCTGATGCCCCCCAGGACACGGTTGGCCCCCCTGGCTGCCAGGGCACTGCTGACTCATTCAGCTTGTAAATACACACAACACAGTGCTCTCTTAGTTCTGCCTTTCATGGAAGAACTCGTATCTTACTCTAGAATGTGTTGAGTATTTTCATTGGTGTAGTTAGTAATTTCTAAAGGGTTTGCTTTCCCCGTGAAACATTTATTAATGTTTTTATGCACTGAAATGTTGAGATATATATCAGATACTGCAACTGTTAAACTGGGCTATATTTCAATGACCTAGCCAGTGAACTTTCACTATTGGACTGTAATGTGCTTGATGAAAAGATTAATAAAGAGACTGCTATTTCAATTTTCATAAAAGTGGTTGTTGTAGGTTTCTGTCTTTTTTAGGAGTAAAATGCACTATCAGGTTTGATACACAGGAACTGTTTTGCTTAATGAATAGGATGCAATCGAGAATGATCAGATCACGTGAGAAGATCCTAATTTTGAACAGAATGAGTCATTGAAGCGACCTGCCTAGAATACTTAACAACTCATTTATTTTAAATGTATTGGTCAGGAGTGTAGGAGAAGATGGGGATGTATTGTTTTAAACTTGTCCTTCATTCTAGCAAAGGCCATCAGATATTTCATTTAAAATCTGTGGTTTATTTTACTTTAGGTAGTGCATAATATTTAAAGGCAGGATGGGCCCAAAGAGTATGGCAAAGGAAGAAACAAAGGCACCTTGCATGGTGTGCAGCCATGAATAAGTTCATCTCCTTGTGCTGTCTTTTTTTCCCTTATCCTTTTCACCTGTTTGATTTATTTAGACTGAAAGATGTTTCAGAAAACTGCTTATTGCCATATATTTATACCATGCCCTTTCCACAGTTCTCCTTTGGGGCTTTCAATGTGTCCATAAGAAGTAACTTTTACACTCCTTCATCCCTATCCCTGAAGAAATTTGATTTGGAAATTGATACATACATTGGACTAACACACTACATATGGCAGAGCTTGTTTTGCCTTTGTGGTTGTATAATTATCTTGCCATAAGAGCTCAAGTCTGCATAATGTTTCTTATGATGAAACTGGATAAAAGCATGCTTATGACTCCATTTTAAGTATTTAAAATTGTCAAAGGTCTGCTGATTATGCAGTGAATGTGATGAGTGAAAAATGCATTTAGATGTTGTCCAAAGAAAGTATTTGTAAACTAGTCCATGTTTACCAGTCCCTTCAAAGCAGGTGTCTGATTTCATTTCTGAAGCTATGAGTGAAGGCAGCAGGTTTTCACTTGGCTGTCTCTTTCCAAAGTGAGACCTTGAAGCAAGGCCTTGTTTCCCTGAATATGCTGCCAGGGAACCTAGAGATTGTCCTTTATGAGTACTTCTCTTAAATTTATTGTTGCAAGTTATGTAGCAGTTGTTTAAGATCATTCATTAAGTTGTATTTGATGTGAAAAAAGATTGATTACATTTTAATGACAAAATATAAAATTACAGTGAGCAGGTGCTGGCAATGCTTTTCACAGTGGAATTGGTCAAGTAATAAAGGGATCATTTTTAATATCATTGAATTATATATGCTTGCAATTTGTGTGTTTATACAAGTGGCTTTGATTTGTAAGTTTGCTCTGGAAAAGATAAGCTTTCTATTTTATTTTATTTGTATTATACACACACCTGGAATTGCCTAATCTTTCTTTCAAATACTTGTCTTCCTGGTGAAGATCCTGTATCTAATGAAGGCAGTGACAACAGAAATAACTGATAATTGAAATAGCTGTTTAAAGAGCCATTGTTAAGTTATGGATTGGAAAACTGTATGTGGAGAATGTTTGCTTTGTGTTGGTATCAGTGAAGTTCTTGTATGCAAGCCGTAATGGTTAAAACTGATACACAAATAATTTGCTGTTGGTAATTAACTTCTAATTCAGTATGATTTTGGTACCAAGACAGGTTTAGTGAGACTATCAGATAAAACAGTTATTTTCAAGTTTAAATAGTTAGAAATGTCACTTTTTTGTTGTGTTTTTGCTTAACCAGTGTTTCATAAATGGATTTATTTTTTCTGAGGAATTGAGTATAACCTAGAAAAAAGAGAATTCAAGAGAAGAATTACTGTTTCAAGTGAAACAGTACTGCCTGCTTAAACTAAATGCAGATCAAATACTTTGGTTCATGACTTTTTTTTTTAGCTTTTAGAAAAAGCAGATGAGTTGAACAGTCATCTTCTGCTCACAACCAGTGTCCTCAGGCTCCTGTTAAAACTTGAGGTGTTTTTGGTTTTTAATTTATTTGTTTATTAATGTTGTTGTTTCTTTTTGTTTGGATGGTTTTTGTTTGGTTTTGGCTTTGTTTTTGTTTTGTTTGGTTTGGGGGGTTTTGTTTGTTTGGTTTTTGGTTTTGTTTGGATTTTGTTTGTTTTCCTTTTTTATATATGTTCATGTTTTTCTTTTTTGAACAGTTCATATGAATTAAGTCTCTGTTGATGGTCATTTATTAAAAGACATGATAGGAAAGTATTTGATCCTTCACAATATCTGTAATTCTTGCAGAAGTAGCCTACTATGTGAATTAAGGAGAGGAAGGGTGATGGGTTAGAATAAAAGGTTTAGTTTGCATTGAGTGCTAGGAATCATCATCATCTATACTAATTTTCTAAAGAATGTATCAGGAGAAGTCTAAATATATGCACTGAGGTATCCTAAACCTACTTCATGTGCTACATCCTGCGCTTTTTGGAAATAAGCCCTATTCATATTTTTAAATAAAAGAATAATGCACATTTTCTGTGTATGTACAGTTATTCAAACAACTGACTTTCATAAGTGGTTTTAATTATGAGCTGTATCCAAGACAATTTGTGGAATTACAGTCATAGATTTTTAGCTGTCTTAGCAGCAGTGACTTAATGGAGTTACAGCAGCTGGTCTGTGGCCTAGGGAACAAGGATTTCTTCCAAATGATGAAACTGATGAATTATAGATGATATTTTAATTTCCATTTGATATTTACAGATTTACTACAACTAGTTGATGTACCCAGCCCAGCTCCTCTGTCTTTGCATTATGTCAAATGATTCAGTCAGGAGATCACGTCAGGTGTACATAACACCAGTACAATTGGCAGCTCATTAACCACCTACTTCTTAGGCCAATTTAGTCAGGATATATGGTGATACATTGTTGGTGATCCAGGCATTTTGTTGATAGAGTAGTTCCCTGCTTTACAGAATCTTCAAGGTTGGAAGAGACCTTCAAGATCAGTCCAACTACCAACCTGGCATCACCATAAACACTCTTAAACTGTACTTCCAAGTGCCTCATCGAGATACCTCTTGAATACTTCCAGAGACAGTGACTCCACCGCTTCCCTGGACAACACATTCCAATGTCTGACCACTCTTTCAGTGAAATTTATTTTTTCTAATACCTAATTTAATGCCTCCCTCCCCTGCTTCCCATGCTGTTTAAGGCCATTTCCTCTTTTCCTTGAGACGTGGCAGGAGAGACCAACTCCCAGCCAACTGCAACCTTCTTCCAGGTAGTTGTGGACAGCAATGAGGTCCCCCAAGCCTTCTTTTCTCCAGAATAAAAAAAAACCCCAAACATTTCCATCAGCTGCTTTTTACAGAATGTGTTGTCTAAACCCTTCACCAGCTCCATTGCCCTTGTTTGCACACACCTCAGCACCTCAATGTCTTTCTTGTAATGAGGAGCTCAAAACTGATCACAGAACTTAAGCTGCAACCTCGCTAGTGCTGAGTACAGAGGGACAATCACTGCCCTGGTTCTTCTGGTCACACTATTTCTGATACAAGCCACGATGCCATTGACTTTCTTAGCCACCTGGGCACACTGCTGGCTGTGTTCAGCCGCTGTCAACCAGCACTCCCAGGTCCTTTTTAATCTGGGCAGCTTTCCAGTCACTCCTCCCAGTCTGTGGTGCTGCCTGGGGTTATTGTGACCTAAGGGCACTTTGCTTTATACTGTATGCCTTGGCCCATTGTTGGTCTATCCAGCTTGTCCAGATCCCTCTGCAGAGCCTTCTTACCCTTCAGCAAATCAACATTCCTTCCCAACTTGGTGTTGCCTGTGAACTGTGTAAAGGTACACTCGATCCCCTCATCCAGATCATGCCCCAGTACTGAGTCCTGGGGAACACCACCTTGTGACTGGCTGCCAGCTGGAGGTAACCCCTCTCTGAGCCCATCCATCCAGCTTTTTTTTTAACCATCCTTTTTAACCCAGTGAACAGTGCACCTATCCAAGCCATGAGCAGCTGGTTTCTCCGGAACGCTGTGGGAAACAATGTGAAAGGCTTTACTAAAGTCTAGATAGACAGCTACCACAGCCCTTCCCTCCTCCGCTAAGTAGGTCACCCTGTCATAGCAAGAGATCTGGTTGGTTGAGCAGGAACTGCCTTTCACAAACCCAATCCCCTAGTTGCCCTGCATGTGCCTCATGATGGCACTGGGCATGAGCTGCTCTGTTTAGTTAAGAGCAGCTGAAAACTGGCTGGGTCGATAAGAACATGAAACTGAAACTGGTTGTTTTGGCTTCCATTAGGTTTGGCATGTTGTTGTGCCAAGCATCATAAAGATGTTGGCACATGATAAATATTGCCCTGTAGGTTGCCTGCTGTTCCTGTTTCAGTATGATAATTTCCTATTGTTTTGTTACCATAAAGTTATGCACAGGTAATGGTAGGGAATTGTTGCACTTGTAGATCTAAAATTCAGCATAGACAAAGTGTTGGTGCTTTTTAATGATAGGTTCCTTGCACCAGGAATGCTAGCCTGTAAGCAAGCTGTCTCTTGATACTTTTATACAAGTATCTTGATACTTTTGAGTATATTTTTATGGAATGCAGTATGTGACTTCATCTGCACTTACTCCTTGCCTTTCTTTTCTCCCCATAGCAAATTCTAAAAGTTTTGAGTTTATAATTTCTTTTGAACTTAGAAATAAATGTAGATGTCAATATTCAGTTTGACATTGTTGGTTGAAAAAGTTATTCTGTTCTGAATATATGTTACTCATGAATACCCATGATGCTCTATTTTGGAGACGCTTTTGTAATTAAACTTCTGTTTGTGGAAAAATTTTCTTGTTTCCTACACGGTTTCATATTCTTATATACTGAATTGTGAAGATTAGACTGTTAAAGTAAATTTTTCAATATTATAAAGTACAGCATTAACCAGGATTGTGACATAGCAGTTTAGCAATTTTTTAAAATGTAAACTGATACTGTCAATTTGGAATTAAGTTAAAAATGTTTGCAAATTGTTTTCTTTTTTTCTAGTTGGAGCCATCAAATGATTTCAGTTCGTGAAGCCAAAGCTATTCCAAGACCTGATGGTATTGAATGGAGAAACAAATTTATTTGTGTAGAAGGTAAAATGTGAAGCTGCGTTATAGTTTTTAACTGTTAGACATTAAATACATAAATCTATCAATTAGACTTTACCCTGGTTGTGTTTTGAGAAATATATTATGTTTGTGCGTTATGTAGAAAATGAAGTTTAACCAATGTAAATAGTTTGGAAACAGTCCTGTCAAAAACATTTGAGAAGGAAGTTTTAAGTTCTGTAGTGTTTAAAAATAGTACTCCTGACCTTTTCTTCAAGAGCACTCATTGCCCTGTTACTTTTGGAACAGGGATTAGGACTTTGATAAGGAACGGCCTTTATGCCAGCCGTGTGTTTTTCTGTTCCACAAAAATAGTCATCCGCTTTGCCAAGTTTGAACTTTTGAAAAAACACACCCAGCACATATTCAGATTACTCTCGAGGAATATTCTTTGTTCTAGAAATGCTCTGGCATTGCAAGTCCTATCAGTGATGTGTATGTTGATCTTGTGGATACTCGTTTTGGCCAGCTTGTGTATGTAGACTTTGTACAGAACAGGAGGGTACAGCCAGGCTACTTGATGGAGTTGCAGGTCTCAGCCAGGTCTCATGGCAGACATGGGCAGCAGCACTGTCCAAGTAACCTGATCCATGTGCTTGTGATGCCTTACAACTGCTGTGGGGAGTGTACATGGAGAAGACGAGTAGTTAAGTGTACATAGGAGATGAAGGTTGCGCTAGGGAAAGAGGAGCTGATAGACCAAGAGAAGGATTGAGATGTTAGGAGAATGAAAAGAAAAGCAGGGAAGGGACTGAGAGGTGCTCTGTAACTGGAAACAGTTACCATATAGGGAGAGGTGGCCTGGGCCCCGGAGGGGCTGTTAATGGAGGCTGTTAAGATCAGGATATCAAGGGCTAAAGTTTGAGGATAAAAGAGGAATAGAAATTAAACAGGAGCCAAATGCTACGGAAGGAGTTGTTAGACACTGGGAAAATTTTGCTGGGGGAGGAGGGGAATAAGGCAGAAGTCCTGTGGCTGGACAGGCATTCCTCAAGATCGCTGAGGGTAGGCATGCACCCATGTGTGTTTGTTTGTAATTTCCTGCATTTGTGCTACTCTCTGCAGAGAATAATTACCTGCTGGTGAAAGGGGTTATTCTGTTGCCTAGAGCTCACCCACTTGGCTGTAATCGTATGAATGTCAGTGTGAATCCCCCATGATGGAATTCCTGTTCTTTGTTTGACTTTTTGGGAAAAACCAACTAACAGTCATTGGAGAAAAACCCCACACTGAAATATGATTGCCCACTCAACTTTGTAGTCTCAGAGTTGACAAATATGAGAATTAGAGTATCTGCACAGCTGAAATAATTCAGGATAGCAGTGATAGTGAGGCATTGCCAAGGCTCTGGTCTGAATGTGGGAGGTGGGAATGCTGGGCAGCTGTGTCTACTGCTGTCCCATGATGTTGATCCACTGTGTTGCAGGGGACTGTGTATTTCAAGCTCTCAAATTTTTTATGCCATTACAAAGTGGTTGAATAGTTAGGTTATCTTTCTGTCAGTTTGGAAAATAGAATATCAGCATACAAAAACACCACTCTAGATTTTGCATTTAACGGTCTTGATTGCATGCAACTTTTCCTTAAGAATGCATTTTCCATTTGAACTATGAAAAAAAAGCAGAATTATCTATAGGTGGCATATCTGATTCCTTCCTGTTACAATGTAGTTCAAGGCTTAGTGAGGTTTATCCTCAGATAGCAAAGTTTTACTTCTAAATCAGAAGGGAAAAATAAAATTTCCTATTTCAACTCAAAGTAAGCTTTATGTTTATAACACCTGTTAAGCTGAACTACTTTCAAAAAGTATGTGTACCTTGAGAAGATTTCAAAAGCTAGCTAAACATATCAACATATTCTGGTTTCCAAATCTTGTCAAATTTTCCAGTTAGTGGACTAAAATTTCAGTAATGGTTATTATGGCATATATTTTTAAGATATCTAAAATATATTTGTTTATAGATTACACAAGTCCATGTCTGCAAGTTTCCATAGTTCTGCATGTAGCACTGTATTTAGACTTGCTCAGGAAAAATTATGGGTTTTTTTAATTGTTATTGACCTTAAGGCTAATTCTCACATGTATTTCTACTGATAGAGAAACCAATACAGTAGAGACACTCTCTGCAGACAGTTTAAAATCTGTCAGACTTTTATCATTATGGGGATACAGAGATACAGAGAACGCTGCTTTTAGATAATATTTTGAACATTCCATCTCAGAAATTCTAAATTGCTAGCAACTATTCTAGTTTCAGTTTAAATCTTGTCTATATCAGGTAATATTATACACTCATATTGAAAAAGATACAGTTTGGAAAAGTTAGAAACGTGACAGTTTTGTGAGATAATTAAATGGATAGTCATTTAGGGAAGTTGAATTGGAAGCCATCAAAGCTGCACCTGATACATGCTTTCAAATCTTTCAGATCTACATGTTAAAAATAATTCAAAAAAGAATTCCTCAGGGCTTGATTGGCAGCAGTTTTGAAGTTGTGTGATTTCCTGTATTTTCATTTGGAAAGGTGATCCACTTTAGCCTTTCCCTCAAGCATCAGTGTTAAAGCTGTGTTACTTTATTCTTTTAATATTCTCATGTCTCTGTGTGAACAGAATAACTTACAGTGAACTCTCTCTGTCTTAATGGTTAGCAAATTTAGTGGTGTAAAGCATAGCTGGTTGCGAAACTATTCTTGCTGTGCTCCAGGGAATGAGTTTGTCTTTTGACAATCAGTAAATATGCAGGAAGAAGAAAGGAAAGTCTGCTTTTTTCCCACTGATGGTTTCAGAAGATTGTACAGTTCTGCTCTTGTTAAAGCAACATCTTGTTTCAATATAAAGTATATAAAGGTCACAGCATTAAAAATGCAGTTACCATCATGTTTAAGACACAAAAGAAATTCTGTACTGCTTCATTTAGTAAGGAACATGGAATTCTTGATGGCACTAGATCACTGTGAGATTGTGTTACTGATATTAGAGGATTATGTACTTTTTTATTTCATTGCGGGTTCTTGTTTGAACCTAAAGGTATGATGCATCCTAAAATAAAATAAATCTGCCTGTGAATGTCCACTGAACACCAGGTAGTTTGAAGAGAAGCCTTTTAGAAAACTGCCAAATATACAACATTTATTGCATGAAAAAAATGCTTTCTGAATTTAAATAGCTAGCAGAAATAAAAACCTAATGCCATGGAACATGTTCCAAATTTGAAATTCCAGTCTCCATAATGGCATAAGCCTTCTGGCATATAGTTAATGCTTTATTTTACTATGTGTCCCTGCCTAAAAAAAAAAGGAATTCATAATCAACTAAACAAAAAAGCTGCCTGATCTAGCAAGTACTTGTGTGGTTCTGTGGCCCTTAAGGTCTGTCATATATTTTGCCAGTGTGAAATATACAATGTTACTTAAGCAGTTTTCTATTAAGACAGAAAAGACTATAAAATAAGTTTTGTAGCACAATGTGATGTGTAGTCTCTGCATCATCATTTTTTTAGTATCTGTTGCTTTAATGTTGGCAACCCTATTAGTAACAAGGAGTACTTTTTTAATCTTGCAATTAAAAAAAAGTTCCAAACTATTACAAAAGGAAAATTACTAGGAAAAAGGGGATAAAAACATCACATAGATTTTTGGCCAGTTAGAAGGTAAAAGCCCCAAATTAACTTATGAACAGATTCTGCAGATTAGGTATGAAGTGATAAAATATATTTTTACAGCAGTTGATATGTCTTATATAAAAAGTCATAGTAAATATTTTGCTATATTCTCAGTATTTCACTGAGAGGCTGTTGAATGAGATGAACCTAAAGTGAATAGTTCCAGAAGGCTCATGTGTAGTAGTTTCGAAGTAATATCCTGATATGAATGTAATATTCTGATATGTTATATTCTGATATGTTAGACTGTTGAGCAGTAACAAGTAATTATTGGTGCATAAATTCAGAACAATCATAGTATGCTTCAACAGATAATAGTAACCTGACTTCATTATGGATTACATATCATTAGAGCATTCATACAGTCATAGAACGGTTTAGGTTTGAAGGTCATCTTTTTCTAACCCCCTACCATGGGCGAGGATATTTTGGTCTAGGCTGGGTTGCTCAGAGCCACATTCAACCAGACCTTGAACACTTCCAGGGGTGGGGTAGCTACACCATCCATGGGCAACCTGTGCCAGTGTCTCATCACCTTCATAGTAAAGAATTTCTTCCCAATATCTAATCTAAGGTTGGCCTTTTTCAGTTTGAAGTCATTCCCACTTGTTCTATCACTACACACCCTGTCCAGTTCTCTTGTTGGTGTTATAAGGCCTCCTTGCAAGGTGTTATAAGGTGTTAACTCTTCTCCAGGTTGAACAGCCCTAACTCCCTGAGCCTTTCCTCATAGGAGAGGTGCTCCAGTCCTCCAGTCATTTTTCTGTCCCTCCTCTGGACCTGCTCCAACACTCCATGTCTTTGGTGTGCTGAGGATCCCAGAGCTGAATGCAGTTCTTCAGCTGGGGTCTCATGAGGGCAGAGCAGAGGGGCAGAATCACAGAATCCCCTCCCTTAACCTGCTGGCCCCACTGCTTTTGATGCAGTTCAGGACACAGCTGGCTTTTGGGGCTGCAAGCGCATGTTGCCAGTTCATGTCCAGCCTCTCAACCACAACAATCCCCAAAGTCCTTCTTAGCAGGGCTGCTCTCGATCACTTCTTCTCCCAGTCTGTACTCATGTCTGGGATTGCCCTGACCCAGGTGCAGCATCTTGCAGTTGCACTTGTTGAACTTGCTGAGGTCCTCATGGCCCCGCTTCTCAGGTTTGTCCAGGTCCCTCTGAATGGCATCCTGTCCCTCTGTTGTGTCAACTGCATCACTCAGCTTTGTCATCTCTGCAAACTCTCTGAGGGTGCACTCCATTTGGGACATTGAGAGCATCCAGGGTTTGGGACTTTTTTTCGCTTCTCTGTTTGTTTGTTTTTGTGTTTTGTTTTGATAAATGTTATGTAGAAAGAAAGCTTGAGAACCAAAGTGGCATTGGCTATTCAAAACACTCTTGGAAAGCAAGGATATGTTGACCCTACTGGTTTTTGTCTGATTACTTGCTTAGGGGAGACAGCCTAAGTCTAGGTATTTTTATCAATGTTTATGTTTGATCTTGCAGAGCCTTTTGATGGGACAAATACTGCTAGAGCTGTACATGAGAAACAGAAGTTCGATATGATCAGAGGTGAATTTACACAGGTAAAAAGTACACCTCATTTAACTTTTCCAGTCACTTTGTTTTTCAGTTTAATATACAAATTCTAGTCATTAAACCTGCCTGTTTCTGATAGTTTATGCTTTGCACTATATAAATAATAGAAATGTGAATTTAAAAAAAAAAAATTGGGAAATTATTTTGTAAGAGTAATAATGTCTGCCATTAAGCATCATGCTTCAGGTGAAATGGGTACTTGAAATAATAAACCCTTTGTCTTAGATTGTCTTGTGTGTATAAAATTCTAATGATTAGTGGTTAATAGCTTTAGGATTACAACTTTGTCTTCATTAATTATTTATTCCTACATGAACTTGACTGGTAATAGACAATGTTTTATACTTCTTAGTATCCCATTTTTAATAAATATCACCCCCAAATGATAGGGTTTTTCCTATTTTTGACAATTTAATGAAATTGATACTTTTCTTTAGGGAGACCACACTCATAATTTTTTAGAACATGAGTATTTTGAACTGGAGCTTTCACTGTCCCAGGCAGGGGAGGAAAAGATATTTCGAAGTAAGAATAAATTTAGACTTTGGCTAAACATCCTTTTTCTGAAAATCTTTGCTACCAGTTTTTGTTCCTGTCTCCTATCATAGAATTGAGTCATAGGCATTGAATTTGGAATCACAATTCTGAGATCTCAGAAATACCAGTTTTCTGAGATCTCTCACTATTGAAAATTTAGTTATGACTAGGAACTAGTGCACAGAACTGACTTCCAGCTTTAACCAGTTAAGATTCCCCTATTATGCTGTCCTTGGAGACTCCTGTTTACTTCAGTTATTAAGTCCTTAAATACATTGAATACTTCCCCAGCAAAAAGTAATTCAATGCCAGATACTTGTAGTAGAACAAATATTATAAGAGATTACCTTAGTCAGAAAACGATAACCTTTTCTTTGTAAATCTGTTCAGAAATGTCCATTAGTTTTCTTCTATTTAACCATGTTAGCATAAAAAATACTGGTTCACATATTTGTACATAAAAGAGTTGATTTTGTGAATCTGCTATAAGTCATGTTTACAAAGTAGTTTGGGCTCTGTCACTGTTCTGTGGAATCAGAGTGAAACTTCTCTTTTCAAGTTTTCAGTGAACAAAATTTGTTCAAACCTGTGTGGTTTTCTGAAAAATGTAAAAGGAGCTATTTGTTTGTAGCTGTTGGGAAGCCACATACTAGAGTAATAAGCCCTGAAAAAATCTCCTCTTTATTAGGTACCATAAGAATCACTGTTGTTCTAAAAGTGCAAGTACTTTTTAATATCTTGCACTATTTTTTAAAAAGCTTAAGGAATCTATATTGTCCTTGAGAGATTATTCCTTCTCTGGTTTTCACTACACTTCGGGGTTTAAAGGAATTCTATGTAAAGACAGGAGGACTGCTACAGTTCTTTGCAGGCTCATGGCTTGATAGATTTCTTGGAATTCACACTAGAATACAGAAGAAAGTTGAAATAACCTATTTTAAAGACACAACTACATCCAGGAAATGACAACAGATAATACTGTTTATCAGGAACTTTGATATGTGTATTTGAGACAATTATTTTGCAGCAAGAATATCCGTGTAATACTTAAATATTGCTAACATCTTTTTGTCCCACAAATCCACTCACTTCTTGAAAGTCTCTGCCTTCCTCATTAGTTCATTGTGTTTTATGCATCTTTTAGATTTTGCTTCCCTGAAAAAACACCAAAAAACAGCCAACCAAGAAAAAACAATCCACAAACTGTCTTTTCAAGAAGGGAAAAATTTCAACCTTGTTTTTTTGGATCTGTGATGCTTATTGCTTATAATGGTATTTAAGTTTTAACAGCAAAGATTATTTAGTATTTTTTAAAAAACTTGTGCTTTTTTTTCCCCAGGCTTGGCGGGTATTACGAGATAAGAAAGACCTGAAATGTATATTACCTTTAAGAGCAGACGAAATGAAAAGATAACCAACTTCTTTCACTTTTTTTTTTTTTTTTTTTTTTTTTTTTTTTTTTTTTTTTTTTTTTTTTTTTTTTTTTTTTTTTTTTTTTTTTTTTTTTTTTTTTTTTTTGGATCCTGCTGAAACAAAGAACAGTATCAAAATCAGAAGGCATCTACCCAATGGTTCTTTACAACCTGTTTTTCTCTATAAACTTTTGTTAAGGAAATGTTTGTTATAAGGATGTGGCATATTTTATTACCGACATTTGTAATACAGATGCTCATTCAAGATATGTTTTCTGAAAATGCTTGTGTTGCTGGCTTCTAGAAGAAACTCACAGCAAACAACAAGAATAAATCTATTTCAGGGAAAGTATGGGGATATATTGACTTGTTGTTTGCGTAATCTGTGTAGCCATTAATTCAGACAGATTTAACGATGAAACACAGACATTCAAAGTTAATCAGTGTGCGAATCTGACTACATCCTTAAGGCACTGTGCACAGTACCCACTTCTTGATGAACAGAGAGCCTATGCTTTACGTCTGCTTAATTTTAGTAAGCACTTTGGTTCAACTTGGCACTTTCCAGTTTTATTTCACTTGGAATAAGAAGTGACTGTTTATGAAAATGAAGCTAGATTATGGTTGGTAGTGTCTTGGATATTAAGAACTGTAATCTAAACTGGAAGTTTCAAGCAACATTTCTACTACAAAGAAGTTGAAATAAAAAAGCTCAATTCAATATACATAAATGTTTCATATTCATACAAGAGTAAGTGAGAAAAAATTTTGTACTTCCTTTTACATATTTGAAGTAGTAGTGATGCCTGCTGGGATAAAAAAAAAAAAAAAAAAAAGACCAAATCAAAACACCTCACAACCCTACCAGTGCTACAATACGCTGGGCTTCTCTTTTGATTTTGTGTAAATATTTGTAAATTGGTCAGTCACTGTAAATTGAATTTAAATAAGTAATATTGACAATTTGAGCTCTTCCAAAAAAATTGCACACCCTCTCTTAGACCTCCTCTAGCACAATTTCTGCCTCTCTTATATTTGCTATTGAAGACCAATTAGTTGTTAACACTGTACTTACCACTGATGTCAAATTCATACTTCCATTTTTTTAAGTTAATATTTTATATGCTGTCCAGTGAAATAAAAATTTATATATGGAAGGTACAGGGTATTTTTCCACTTTCTGTTATTTTCTACTGCACATTTAAAATATTTCCCATAATTAAGTAGAATAGGAAATGCCTAATAAGGTAGGGCCCATGTTGCAAATCGTAAACATCTATAATGGCTATTTTGCAGTGCATCTGTGAAGAGGTAAAAGTTTGATTAATTGCATTCCCTAACAATAGTGCAAAAATCCTTATAACTGTAAAATAACAAGCATTATCACTTCTTGTGCAAATTTTAAAGTTCTAGTTTATTTCAGAGTTGTAGGAACTGTAAACTATTTGCCTGATGTATGATTACTTCTACACACTTCATCATGGTCTAGTCTATATACGATTTGGCTTGCTTTTTAAAACACTTCTTTCTGTAATTTGAACAGCCTTTCACTTTTAATCTGACTCTATCAGTCCACTGAACAATTTTCCCTCCATGTGTATGTTCCCCCTGACAACCCTTCCTCTAAAAGACAGTGGACTTGGATCTCAGTGAAACCTTCACTCTGATCTGCTTTGTGTAAAATTGAAACACAAGATTTTAGGACAGGCTGATGTCTGGAATCAAAGATGCTCTACAAGCCCTAGGTGGATTTGGGGGAAAGGAGAGGGCTGCTTCTTTTTTAAAAAAGGTGTTGGCTGTACCTTTGTCTAGAAAATTTAAAACTCTCTTAACTTAGGATAAGTAGAAGAACATACATGTTCAAACTTGGCAAAAATGTATTTTAAGTGAGCTGGATGTCAGGTACAAAATTGTAAGTTTGCATTATTAATTATTAATGCTCTATGTTTGAAACCACTTCTCCCTGTTTTTAAAAAGTTAGTTAAAAAAATTGTAATACCTACATGCAACTCTGTAAAAATTTATAAGTCAAGGTCTGTAGCCACAATGGTCTGGGTCTTTCAAAAGAATCCTTTTGTGTCTTTTTCTGAAGTTGATGTACTTCTGATAAACTGCATCTGTAATCAGAAGTATAAATTCTAGATGGTCGGTTTCCCCAGTTGTTTAAAGACAAGCCTGTTTATAGCATATTTGTTAAATGGTGGGCTGCAACTCTTGTCTGAAAACTTCAGATATAATATCACAAAATAAATGGTTTGAGGGGAGTGAGTAGGAACTGAACTTTAACTTTGATTCAGTTCTGCTTAGTCTGAAGTTGTTCAGAAGTTTAATGACCCAGATTTTCATCTACTCTGGGCTAGTATCCAGAGGAAGAAACTGGCTAATGGCTATCATAATTTTTTGCGTTAATGTGAAGTTTTCCCTTCTCATCTTCAAAATAAAAACCTTCACCCACTTACCTCTTGGCATACACCCTAGCAGGAATAGTTGTTTCTGAGAGATCTTTGGTAAAAGGTGTTTTTCATGGCTGACCAAGGTTTCAATGTGTGTGCAAGATGCTGTCTTTGAGGTTTGTTACTGCCTCAAAGTAAAAATGATTTAGTTCAGCTCTTTGTTATTTTAGGACTGCTCTTGCCTACTCATTTTGGCATTGGGTTTGCTTGTCTTTTCTCACCTTATGTATCAGAAACCACTAGTGTCTTCTGTGGGAATTTAGGAACTCTCTTTAGTCCTCTAGGAGTGCGTTTAATGAGCAGGCTTAGAGGTGCATGGGAGGACCAGACGTTAACAAGAGCTTCCATTTTGGTGACAGAAATGCAGAACTGGCATAGGCTGTGAACTGTGAAACTTCAAGTTTCTCTTCTAGCTCTTGTTCTCACCTTTCTTAAAATGTGAATGTATGTGTACTCTCAGTATCTTAAGGTATTCTGACAGTATAAGGGGTTATTTAAAAAAATAAATCAATATAAATCAATTTTAAGACTCACATTACAGGGTGACATGATAATTTGGGAGAAACAGGCAGCCATGATAAAAGGATGTAAGATGATTTGTAGAAAACCTGAAGTTAGCAATTGTGAATGCTTCTTTGGAACCAGTGCTTTACTTATACTTGGATCACTGGACTGAATTCACAGTATATTTGGTGTTAAATTTAAGTCTATCAGTGAATGTCACTCTTGATATATTGGTCTCTACTTGCACTGGGTTGTCTTGTATTTTGTAGTTTATTTATGTTTGTCTTGTTCTCTGTAATCCTTGTGTGTTTTGATACAAATCTTTCCCTCATTGATTTTACAGAGTATGATGCTTGTAGGAAGAGCATGAAAAAATATGCTATTTTTTGTCAATTTACAGATGAAATTAACTTGTGAGAAGTACAGAAGAGAGAGCACTAGGTCTGGAAATAATTTGAAGGGGTTCTGGTAAAAGGGTACTCACCTTTCTCTTAACTGTGCTGACCACTGAATCAAAACTTGTGCAATATATGTATGCTTAATATATAAGCATTTCTAGAAAATTTGTGATGCTGTTGCCTTCCATGTGTAAAGAATGTGAAGTACTCTACCTTAAATTTCATTGTGCTGTGTACACTGTCTCTGCTCATGATAAAATGTAGAGTTTAATTTAGCTTAATATTACTTTCAAATACACTTTTCCAAAAAATTACATTCTCACCTTGTAAATTGTGTATATCGATGGGTAGGTCAAGAGAGCAGAAGGATTTTGCCTGTATGTACTGTTTTGAAATGTCAGGGGGATTTTAATTTACCTTCACAGAGATAGTTTGTCCTCAGAAATACCTGGTTGGGTGTCTCTATACTTATAAGTAAGAGTTTGCTGACTGATTTATAACCACCTATTTATTTGAAGAACAATAAAAATAATGGGGATGTTAGGGTTATGCTGTGTATACAGTGGTTTATACCTGAATTACCTTGGAAGTTTGTTATTTAGAATCAGAGGTGCTTTTCCTCCTCTTCTGAAAATGTTTTTGTTTAATTTGTCATTAATTAATTTGGCTGGTACATATTGGAAATATTTCCATTTTGTCTGTGAAAAGCACTGCATTTTGTGTAAAATGCAGAATAATAAAGGGTAATCATGGTTTAATCTAAATTCTGCATGGTAGCAAAGTTAGTCTTTGGTTTAAGTTAAAATTGGTCCAAGTCCACTCAAAGAGGAAATTTTAAATGTCCTGTGATGAAAAACAGCAACAAATTTGGGTTTTAAATACATTCCCTTTTTTATGGTTAAATACCACAGTGTGTCTGATGCCTCTTACAGTACGATACTAATTACTAAATGCGTTTGTCTGAGGCTTATCCACTAGTTATTGTATTGGACCTTTCTAGGTCAAATTTGAGGCATTCTGTGTGTGCTCAAGGGTGGAACTTGCTAAATGCACCTTTTACTGAGGCCACAGGAGAACTCTCCATTTGCCTCAAATGTGCTGTCCACCTCAAATTTGCTAGAGGTGGCTTTGGAAGGTCTGCTGGGGCCCCAGCCCCTGCTTCCCTCCTGCTGCCTGGCTGCCCTGTCTGCTGTAGAAACAGCTCTGGCAGCGGTGGGAGGGCAAGGGGGGTGAGCTGCTGGAGGGGTGGCCATTTGGTTTGGACACGTGTCCTGGCACCCGGTTGGTGCTACAGCCCAGGGTAGGAACAGCAGCCACTCTGTGCTGTAACTTGACTGCCTTCTATTTAAGGACTGCCCTGAGTCAGGACAAGTGAGTGCCACTGGGGATGACAGTTGCTTCAGGCAACCCTGGGGAGGACAGGGTTGGGGGTAAAAATCACTGGAGAAGGCCTGAGCTGGGAAGGAAATGGAGGGCTCCCGTGGCACCGAGTGTGATAGGGCATCTGAGACCTCGTCCTTCATAGGAGATGGAGAAGAAGAGGAAGAAGAGGAGGAGGAGGAAGAAGAAGAAGAAGAGGAGGAGGAGGAGGAGACTGTGGACCCAGAAGAAGCAGAGGAACTGACTAACAGGTACTGTCTCCCTAGAGATTCACAGCCTCAGGGAGAGCTGGCAGCTCCACCCCAGAAGCACCAGCCCCGGAGGATGACAGGATTGGGGTCTTACACTGTCTTCAGTGGTTTTCCCCCTTCCCTTACCCAATTGCTGCAGATTTAAAAAAAAAAAAAGGGGGGAGGTAGGAGGCTGTAATATTTCTTTTTTTTCAAATGAGTATGGCTCAATTAAGTTTTGTGCAGTAAGCGCCTACCCCGAGTTCCCTGAAAGCTTTTCTATTTAAAGATTCTCTGATGTGCCAGCTCAAGTGGCATCTCCTTTCACTCCTCCCTCTTTGGCTGGCTCTTTGTCACATACAGATCTTAAATGCTCTGCAGATATGCTTGTCAGGGAGAAAATGCTCAAAGATTATAATGGTGCATTACAATTTGTTCCTTTTTATGGTCCTTTCTTCCTTCCCACTTCTCCCTCCCTCTTCAGTCTCATGTTTCCTAAAAAAGGAAAAATTTGTACATGCTTGCCATTGCTGGTCATGATTTGTGTGTGCGTGGCTCATTTTTGTGGTGGAATAGGAAATATTCTACAACTTTGACTTTTTTCTTTTTTAAAATACTTCTGTTTTGTTAATAACTCTTGTACTGATACAGTTTGTTGTCCTGATATTGCTGTCCTACCATCCAGAAAATAACGAGCAAGGCAGTGGCCCAGTGCCCTGCCCAATGTTCCTGTGCAGGATGTGTAGGTGTCTGCAACCCGACCCATGCAGACAGACTCCTTTGGCTGTGCCATCACAGTTGGTTTCATAAAGAGACCGTGAGGCTTGAGAGTCCCCTTGTTCTTCCTTCTCTCAGGCAGAGTCCATCAGTTTTGAGTAGGTACTGTAGAAAGAACCCATATTTTAAGAAATGGGTGTCATATAGTTCCTCAGTGCTGTGAAACCGTCCTGCGTTTTCCACCACTCTGTGTGTATCACAGTTCAAAATACTTTCTGATATTGGTGATGGTCACTGGGAGCAAAAAGATGGCAGAAGTGGGGTGGGGAACTCTGTACAGCCTAACCCAACTGAAGCGCTGCAGCAATGAAAAACCAAATGGGGAAATGTAGTCCAGGACTGTAGGAAAACCTCCTTGAATGGGGAACAGAGAGCTAGTTTTCCACAGTGGAGGGACACCCAGTGACAGCAGTGTAATGCTGCTTTATTGCCAAGGGTGGAGTTCACTTTTCAGTCCCATACTGGCAGAGGGGTTATGTGCCAATAAACACTGCTTGCACTTGTCTGTAACTCTACAAGAAAATCAGACAAAGTTAATGGAGCAGAGCTAGTCACTGCAGACAGGTAAAACAACAGTCTAGATAATTTTTAATGCAATCTGCAATGAAATGGCTAATAATAAAACTGTAATTGTAAAACATAAGTAGGAACAGCTAAAAAGGGAGGGAGCCTTGCAGATATTTACTACTTGTAGCTTGGAGGTTGACTTCTCCACAAGTGCCTGTTAGCAGCTTCTCTTAGCTGACTCTTGCTTCTGTCTGGAAGCCTCTGCAACGCAAACTTGAGCAGTGAGTCTCACCACTTATTTAAATTTCAGCAAACATTCCCTTTAGCTCTGTTGTTTAAATCAGCTGAGTTTATCTCTATCCTTAAGTGTCTTACTAATAAGAAAGTTCAGACTCTACCAGAGCAGATTTTAGCAGCTTTGCTATGTGGTAATTGAACATATTTCAATCTATTTGATTAGTTTAACTAAGTTCAAGAAGATGTAAAATTTTGAGGCACAGATGTGGTAACTGCACCAACTGCTCAGCAATAGCTTAGAGAAGTTAAATCAAACGGACTTTTTATATGCTTGGGTGTTGTCACAAATATCAGCAGGGCTGTTGAGCTTCAGGCCTCCTCTTGTGCTCAGTGCCTGGGAGAGTTCCTGGCAAGAACAGCCAGGTCGAGCCCCTATGACATACTTAGGCTGAACACTAATTATTTGTTGACAAACAGGTTTTCAAGCCCCCATTGCAGAACGGCTTTTTTTGTGTGCATGCGCTATGAAGACATAGCTTAGAGGAGGTGTAACTAATATGCAAACTTGGCTGAAGACAGACCATTCTGGGCTCTGCTGTCATCAGTTTATTTTTGACAACACCAAGCTCTCTCTTGTTTCTGCCTTCCTCCTCTGTGTGCATCTGAAGAGCACCTGTTGTGCAATGTCGCAGTCAGCAGGAAAGTCCCTACTGGTCCTATTTCCACCTTTCCAACTTGTTAAATAGCCTTATACCCATTTTATATGAGTCATGCAGCAAGATGGCTGGCACAAGGTCAGGAAGCACCCATGTGAAAGAAGCAGAAGAGCCCTGGTGTTCCTCTGGGACACCAGCCCCTGAGCCCTGACTAAACAGCTGCACTTCCACACTGTGCAGCAGCTGCAGCAAATAAAATCCCAGAAGCTGCAGCAGAACTTATGACTTGTCCCAAAATTATGATGCATGCACATAAAAGGCGGAAGAGTTTGGGTTTCACATCTTTATTATCCTTTTTAATGTAATGTTTAAATAATTTGGTTTCCTGGCACAGATTTTTATACAAGTTATGAGAGTAACATGCAGCATCACAACCTACTAAAAAGATGGGATAAGGGCTTCATATCCTTGTCAGCATAAACAACTCACTGATCTGCACAGGGTTCTTGCAATATTTTCTTGCCTTTGGTTATTTTATTATCTGAGATAGATGAATCCTGGCAGATGACTTCTGTTTCTATCTCTGTGTATCTAGTTAATCATCTTAACAGGGAAAATATTTTGAAAGTGTGTATTGCTTTAAGGCAAGCATGAGTATGAAGTTAATAGGTTTTCATTTTTGTGTTGGTAATGGTGAGATTTAAGTCTATGAAAATTGTTTACTGTTTAACTGGTTTACATACCTGTTGGAGTGTCTGTGTCTCTAACAACTACACGGTGGGTGAGCTGTTCTGGCACAGTTCTGTCTCTCAGACTATTCCCAGCTGATTTCCTTTTGCAGTGTGAAGGCCTCTGGTCTCTGGATGAATCTGTGCACAGGGTTTACATAAAAATGGCTCTACAGCCAATTTAGTGTTTCCAAATAGCTCATTTGCCTGGAATAGGTATGGGGTTCATTTTATCTGCTCATTTAGTGGTGACCTATAACCAGTAGATGGAGAGAAATCCCAGAGTTCTGGAATTGTTTTTTATTTCTTTCTTTGTTTTGTTTTGTTTATTTTGTTGGTGGTTGGTTGGTTGTTTTTTTGTTGGTTCTGGGTTTTTTGTTTGTTTTGTTTTAAGTGAAGCAGTCCTTCCACAAGATCAGAGGTGTGTAAGCTTTAGAGCTAGGTTTAGTTTGGAATGATTGGTGAAAATGGGTAGAAGAGAAGGCACAATGGAGAAGGGGTTTGCCTGCCTGCCACATGGGGATTGCTGCAGCATCTAGGAGAGCAAACGAGTGGAATGACTGTAAATGGGATGTGGGAAAGAAGGGGTGGGAAGGGGGGTGCTAGGGATTTGTCTTCCCAAGAAAAGGTTTACCATACCCTGTTCAAAGCAGAGAAAGATGTGGGGAAAGGGTGTGAGATTTTAGTTTCCTTGATGAGGCAGTGCCTGCCTTGGCCCTGGGTGGAAGGGGCCAGCAGGGCTGCTTTTCTGCCACATGCAGCAGGCACGTGGGCAGGGAAGGTGAGGGTGCTGGGAAGCAGAGCTGTGCAGGCCATGTCAAGAATGTCGGGGCAGAGGCTTGAGCAAGAGGTTACTGCGAGGATCCAAATGGGGCAAAATGCTGAGGTGGGGGCATAGCAGGTGAGAAGGGTACAGCCAGTGACCCCACCACACACCCTGTGCCCCTGCTGGCTCCTCCAACTGGGCACTCCATGTTTTCTTTCTCTTCAGTGTTTTGGATAATATTAATCTTAATAAAGGTTGGGATCTAAAATAACACTTGGACTTCAAGAAGTTCCCCACTGAGTCTCAACAGAGTGATTAAATTACGGTGTGAAAGAAGCCTCCCATCCAGACTCAAGCGTTTGATTCCTGTGCTGCCTCCACAGCACGTATGGTGGAGAATTCAAACTGCAGGAGCAGGGCAGACCTTTGGGACACAGAGGTGCTGCAGTTTCTCAAGCACCATCTGATCCTGCAACTGGTAATGCCCTAGGACATGCCACGACCTGGTGTCTGGAAAAGTGATCAGCACTGCAGAAAGTTGTGTCCCTTCCCAGACATTCTAAGTGTTGGGGATGGAACAAAATATGTGAGACAGGCTCAGCTCCTGTCTCCCTGCTACTCATAATAAAAATCAGCTTTGTAGCTGGACAAGCAGCTGTCTTTTTTTTTTTTTTAGGATAATTATTTATCTGAATTTGGACAATGCATGAGCTACTCTGTTGCCAGAAGAGGCATCATTTACACTGAAGGAAATCAACAATAGGTTATCAAGTTAAAGACTAGGTTTTAAATGGTGACTTTTTTATAGCTCCTAATTCTCCTAGCCCTAGAAGAAGGGGATGGATGAGCTATAACCCTCAGAGCAATAGGCAGAGACCTTGCTGAGCATACTGGTTTCTGTAGGGGAAAAAGGACAGCATGGTGAAGACTGATACTACAGGAATATTCAGAATAAAAACAAAAGCACAGCAAAATAAGTAGTTCCTTTCTCCTGGGAAGGCAAACTGGCCACTACAAGTTTCCATGACCCCTGCATTGTTCCTTAAGTAGGAGACTTCAGAGAACGAGATATCTTGTCAGTGCAGCCCTAAGCTGACATCTTGGTCATTTTATCTTCATTGTTTTCAGCTTATGAGGTGCTATGCAGCAAACAGCAACCAGTTTTGATGATACCAGTAATAGCAAGGTCTGATGTGAAGATGATAAAGAGAGGCTATGGAGGATTTTAGAAAGATTGTGGGCTGGCTACATCTCTTTGCGATAGTTGTGGTGTGCAAGGATGTGCGCACCCCACTCAGCATGTGTCTAAACACAACTGCTCAGCATCTGGGGAGGTGAAAAGTCTTCCCTGGAATGGTACATGAGGGAACATGTCCCAAGACTGAGAGGCTGGACTAGAAACCTGAAATCTCAGTGGACACAGAATGTGAGAAAAAGAGGGAGGACGTAAGATAAATCTGATTTTGAGCTATTTTGGCAGGAAGCACAAAACTGGTTGTCATTGTCTCCAAGACTTGTAAAAAGTTTAAGTTGATGTCCTAGCAGTGAAATAACAAACTGATAACATATGTGTCAACAGGATTGGGTGTCAAATATGTACATGGGAAAAGACAGCGCTGGCTTTTGTCCCTGGATATCAGTGGCTTCATATCTGCATCTGTGGAGCTGAAACATTGCAAACATCTTTTTGCAACTGCAAACACTTCCTCTTACTAGAGAGAAGGGTCTTTTAACTAATACTGTGCAACATACGAATTGTTCAGCATTTGGAATGTGTTGAGGAAACGCATGAGTTATGTATCTTTCATTCTGATCTTTAAAGTATAAAGCACTGTCTCATCACACTGTAGAGAAATATGAACTGTGACCGGTTTGTGACCATGAAAATGAGATAATGATGTGAATAATTCAAGCTTTTTGCATAGGCAGGTCCAGGGCAACCCATTTGTATTCACTAATATCAGCTAAAGTGGGTGTCCTACTCTGTTCTGCATGAAGTTTTATTTAATAGTACCAGGTACTGCAGAAAAATAAGTTTAAAAATATGAGTGTGATTTAGATGTCGAAATATCTGGGGAAAAAAAAGATTTGTCATCTTTTTAAGCTTTCTTAGTACTATTGCTATTCATTTTTATTTTTTTTTAAATTTATTTTATTTTGCTATCCCCCAGTCAATTTAATGCCAAGCCATGGAAATGGCAAAGGAAAAGCTAGCAGAAAAATAAGTATAGATGTGTTTGCTGCGCCTCTTCCTCCAACCTGTGAGTTTTTGCTTATGGAGCTAGCCTTGATAGAGAGTACTACATCAAGGCAGAGAATCGGCTCCACGTCCTGGGTTTTTATCTGTTCAAGGGCTGGGCTTGGGGGAGGAGGGGTGGGGATTGGTTATAATGTGAGTATTTAATATTGCACTGTCAGACTTGCTTTGAACTGTAGGCTTCAGTCTAACGTGTCCTGCTAGTCACTGTTTCCAGGCCAGCCTCATGACCAGAGTTTGGTATTGTGTTGTCCCACCTCTGGCTGGTCAGACCACTCTAAGTCTTCAGTCTTCAGTTTGCACCAAGGAAATCAGAGAAGAGACAGTCTGTGCCTCAGTTTGCACAGACCTGAGCATGGGCCAGCCCAGGGTAGTCCTTCTTGTTTCATGCTCTGGAAAGCAAATTTATGAAAGGTAAGGTTAGCATTGCTAATAGCAGGATTACCTTTCTGTTTCCATTAGGCACTGAGCAGTTTTGCTGAGTGACCTTTACAAAAACCTTACAGTTCAGAGAGTTTGTTTGATGGAGCAGTTATGGTTCTCCACAGGATTTCTTCTTCTCCTCCTTCAAAGACCTTTGCCTTCTACCTAGTACTCAGCACCCTCTGGAGCAAAGTCGATTGCTCTCTGGGTGTGTCTCTTTGTCTCTGTAGCCTGCAGGAATCTCTGGTACCTGTGTGGTGCTGAGTCACAGCCACATGTCAGTTCTCCTTCTCTGACCCCATGGTCAGGAGCTAGGTAGCTTGAGTTAGCTAGGTAGCACTGTAGCTTGATTACTTTATCCTAATCAACTGGAAAGTGAGCCTTCCCTCTGTTCAGTGGAAGCTGGGTGTTTTATGGGCATAGGTGTGCGTTCTTCCATTGGAACAACAGAGACTTCACCACTTCTGCTCTACTAAAGACTATGCCTTGTCCAGCAGATGCTTTGTCTTTTTTTTTCTGTCGGCTACAAATGTGATGTCCATAAATGAACTACTGTCTACTCCAGAAAATTTGGGGTTGAGTGTTTTGCTTACATTTTCTATGGTTTTTTGGGGAGTATATGTTGTAACTAAAAATACTCCCCCTCCCCTGCTACATTATGTCTTCTGATTGCTTTTGCTAGTCTTTACACTCTTATTTTGAAGACCAATTTCCTTTCTAAAGCTTCCTTGAAAAACATTTCTCCAGCTTTTTCTTTTAACTGAAAAATTTGATTGCAGCATAAGATAGTGTATTGATTATACATCATAAGGTTTAAAGCTAGCTTTATGAAATGTTACTATTTCATCTGGGGAGAGTACAGTAATTTTTTATTGTTGAATGTATTCTAAATTACTTTGTTAAATACTGAGAGTGCTTAGGAGATGAAACATATGAAAAGACAGAATCAAACCAGTGGATAGACTGCCTACTCCTTTGAGCATTGTGTAATCATTCACGCTTGCGCAAAGCAAGTGTGGAGCTATTAAAACACTGACAGTATCTCCTAAGCATTTAATACAAGGTTTAATTTATACTGTGAAATAAATACTTTCTGGAGACCAGCCCCAGAATCAGCTCAATCTCACACTGGCAAAACAAGGTCAGATCAAAGACTGTTTTTCTTGCTTTGTCAAAAGCATTTAAACACCTCCCCTTCACTGAACTAACCCTGCAACATGCAGTTTTACACAAATTCATCTAAAATATATTTGTCAGATGAAATTGGACCTTTTTTATGCTTGTACTTCAAAATTTATGCTTGTGCAATAGTTTTACAACTTTGAAAAGTATTTTTGCTGTAATGAAAAAAATCAGGTTTTACAATACAGCAATAATTTAATTTCTTGTGAGTTTTTACAGCTTTTATTTTTTTTTTCCATTGTGTTCTTTTTTTAATGTAGTTTAAAAGATCTTATCCAAAGCGAAGATGTGAAACCCAAGCTTCAGTACATCATGACTAACCCCTCCTTTTCTATGGTAACATGTCAAAGTGAAGATAGTGGAATAACCTGGGAAACAAGCTCGAGCAGATGTTCTACTCCCTGGACCTCAGAAACTAGTACAACTTCTGATCTTTACAGTATGGAAAGTTCACCAGTAGGTTCTCCTCCAGGAAAAGTTATCTTTATTATGGATGAAGGTAAGATTGTTCGGAAAAGGACACGAAAATCTTCAAATAAGGTGCCAGTGGCTACAAGCCTGAAGGGAGGTCAGAGCAATAAAAAACGTGACTCATCTGTAATGCAGAGGCAAGAACCAAGAACTGTTCTAGGAGATGTGCAGGCCTCTGTGTTGAACATTGAGCAGGTGGAAGCACAAGACACGGATGAAGAAATGTTGGATAACAAAGAGGATCAAGAGAACATCACAGAAGAGCCAGTAAAACGTGCTCCAATAAGATCAATATTTAGGGAGAGCAGACTGAGAAAAGTTGGTCCAATCCTTGGAGGACCAGTACAAGCTAGAATCCAGCTGTTTAACTCAATTTTTGGAGGGACTGGTCCACCCCCTGAAACATCAGAGAAAACCAGAATACGGAGAAGTAGCTCAGTTTCAGGAGACTCTGAACAGTTCCTTGAAATGTCAGTAAAAGAAAGATTGCAGAAGTTCAGTTCACACTTAGAAGCAACACGTCCAAAATCTTTTCAGGGAGCAAGAAGTAGAATTCTTCAAACACCATCAGAGAGAAGAAGGAAGCAAAGAGAACAACTCACAGAACACACAAATCAAAGCTTTTCTTCACCAACACTTGAAAAACAGCTTACTAAGAAAAACAATGTTTCATCTGAAAATATTCAACATGAGGAAAGAAAAGACAGACAACCTCTTCTGGAGACTCCAAATCAGGTATCAGGTCATTCCCTGGAGTCCTGCCCTCCTAAAGAAGCCAGGAAGCAGCTAAGTCATTCACCTGTGGCCAAAACATCAGTAACAGAGCCAACAACCTCCACATTGTTAGAGTCTGATGAGAAGCAGATGCAGATTCCTTCAGCTGAAAATACAGACCAGTTTGTGCTGACACCATCAGGTCATCTGGATGAAGCAAAAAAGCAGGAATTTCAGCCCAATTCTGCATATAGAAATACTCAGCATATTTTGCCTATGGCATCCGTGTCAGAACACCCTGAGAGGGAAGCGCAGAAGTCTTACTTGGCTAGTGCTCCATCAGCTAAATCCAAATATTCTGCTCTAACTGAAACAAGACAGGAAGATACTATTCCTCAGCCGTCAGAAACTGCACAATCTGAGTCTGAAAATGTGCTTTTACCACATTCTGGAGGTGAAATGGAGAAGCAAGAGACCAAGTGTCCCTTATCAACAACTGCACTGTCAGAATCTGAGACTTCAGGTCTAACACATTCTGCTGAAACAAAAGAGGGTCAAGAGACCCCTCTCTCAGAAACTCAAAATATTCATCTGGAGAACCAAACAAAGTCAGAACAAGGCTTTTCCTCCTACCTTCAGGAAACAGATGAGCAAGCAATAAATCCACCAATTCTACAAAATATAGATTCTAAATATTTTGGCATTTCATATCCTATTGATACAGGAACAGAAGAAACTCAGAAAACTTCAGCTATAGATAAAGCAGTAGATTTGGATCAGTCTGATTTTTCCATTGAAAAAACCAAACAAGCAGAAAGTGCACAAATGGAGATGGAACACCTAGACTTCTCATATTCCAGCAAAGAAATTGGGGAATCAGAGACAACACAGATGGAGACAGAGCATCTGGACTTCTCTTCTTCCAAGGAAGAAATAGAGGAGTTGGAGGGTGCACAGCTGGAGATGGAGCATCCAGACTTTTCTTTTTCCAGGGAAGAAATGGAGGAACCAGCAAGTGCACAGCTGGAGACAGATCATCCAGATTTCTCATATTCCAGGGAAGAAACAGAGGAATCAGAGAGTGCGGTACTGGAGACAGAATATCCAGAACTGCTTTTTTCCACAAAAGAAACAAAGAAATCAAAGAGTTCACAACTGGAGAGAGAACATCAAGATTTTTTTTCCAAGGAAGAAATAAAAAAATCAGAGAGTGCACAGCTGGACATGGAGCATCCAGACTTTTCTTTTTCCAGGGAAGAAATTGAGAAACCAGCAAGTGCACAGCTGGAGACAGAGTGTCCAGATTTATCATATTTCATAGAAGAAATGGAGGAATCAGAGAGTGCACAGCTGGAGGGGAATCATCCAGACTCTTCTTTGTCCAGGGAAAAAATGGAGAAATTGGAGAGTGCACAGCTTGACATGGGTCATCCAGACTCCGCTGCTACTGAGAAAGTAGTGGAGGAATCAGAAAGTATACAGCTGGAAATGGAACATCAGGAATTTTTAATTTCCAGGCAAGAAACAGAAAAACAAACATCTGATAATTTTGAACTGCAACAGCCAGAATCTTATTTCCCCAAAGAGAGAGAACATGAAGAAAAAGAAGAGCTTGCACTGTTACCTTCAGATTTATCATGTTTGAGGAAGGAAGTGGAGAAAGAAAACACTACAGGACTCCAGTTGGTACATGCAGACAAAATTGATTCCACTGGAAGAGCTGAGAAAGAGCAAACTGAGTATCTGGAAACAGCACTTTCAGATTTAGCATGTCCCATGAATAAAACAAAGCAGAAAGAATTGTTGCAAGCAGATCCAGAAAATTCTCTTGACGCATATTTTAGTGACAAAGGAGAACAGCCACAGCCTGTGCAGCAGGATTCACAACATGGAGGTAAGCTGGATTCCAGTGACAAGGGAGTGCAAGGAGAAACTACTCAATTTCAGCCAGAGCATCCAATTTGGTCATATACTACTGGCAAAGAACAGCAACATAAAACCTCACAACTGAGGGCAGAACAGACAGAGACAATGTACTCTCCTGGCAAAACAGAACAGCATCAAGTATTACAAACAAAGCTGGAGCAAACAGATTCCTCTTATTCCCAGGGAGAAACAGCACAGGAAGCTGTAAAAAGAAACTTAGAAGGTCCAGAGCCAACGTGTTTCATTAGTGAAGCAGAACAACATGAAAATGTAGAACTAGTTTTGGAAAACAGGGATTTCTCATTTATCACTGGAGAAGTAATGCAAAAAGGAGTAGAGTCCGGCTCTCTGGGGTCACATTTGACTGACAAAGCAAAGCCCTGGGAAATGACACAAATGGAGCAGGAACAGTCTTTTCCCTCCTTTTCCACTGCTAGCACTCAACAAGAAACACCACCACTGAATGTGTCAAAGCCAGGTGTATCACGTTCCACTGGCAGAATGGAAGAAGAAGATACAGTACAAAGAGAGCTGAAGCAACAGGAAACGGATGAACAAAAACCTGTGCCAATGGAAACAGAGTATTCAGATTTGTCAGAAAGCTTGGGTAAAGAGATGACACAGGTCGTAGACCAAATTAATTTGGCACAGCAAGAAATGGCTCAACCAGGCTTAGTGCATCCATCTTTGCCATATTCTTTCAGTAAACAAATGCAAAAAGAAATGCAAACAGAGCCAGCATATCCAGAAAAAACATCTTATGTAAGTATAGAAACACAGGAGGAAACAATGCAACAAAAATCAGAACAACCATTTCTTTCCTGTTTTACTGGAAAAGCAGAGCAACAAGAAATAGTACATCCAGAGTTGGAGCAAATGTTTTTGCCACCTTCCAGTGGAAAAGAAGCTCCACTGGAAATGGAAATGAGTTCAGAATGCCTAGATTTGTCATATTCCTTTTATGAAACTGAACAAGAACAAAAATTGAAAAATCCAACCTTACCACTTCATTCAAAGCAACAAGAAACTGAACGTCCAGATTTTTCAGATGACAGTGGTGAGCCGAAACCAGGCAGCACTGTAGAGCAAGACCCAGGACATTCAGAGCTCTCATATTCCATGGGAGAAATACAGCAACAATCAGAACATATGCATTCACCAGGAACCCTGGGCAAAGCAGCACAAGATGCAAGTATGGAAGTAGAATCTCAGTACCCAAATCTGCTGTGTTCTGATATCCAAAGAAATCAGCAAGAAACTTCACAATTGGATTCAAAATATTCAGGCAAAGAACGAACAACTCAGAAGTTTGATTCTAAACATCAAGAATTGCCTAAAGTGGCCAAAAAAAGAGCTTTCCCAGCAACTGCACAAATAGAGTGGAAACATCCAGAAATTGCACCGTGGGAAGTGAAGAGTCCTGATTTGTCACATTCCACTGATGAGACAAAACAGCAAGAAGAAGCACCATTGGATCAGAAACAGAGAAAACTTTCTGTTGGCAGAGAAGAACAACAGCAAGCAACAAAGCAGCAGTTAGAACAAGAAAAGTTATCTCATTCTCCTGGTAAAATGGAGCATTTCAAACATGGCCAGGAGGGCTTGGAACAACCAGATTTATCACTTTCCATTGATAGGCCAGATGATGAAATAATGCCACCAGAGACAGAGCACACTGATGTGATATCTCCTCTGGATAACACAGAGGTGCAACGAAAAGGACGACAAGAAATTGAGCAAACTTACCGCTTTGGAAAAGCAGAACACAAAACGGTTCAGCCAGAAGTGGCAATTTCACATTTGTCCCCTTCTGCAGGTTCAGCAGAAGCAAAAATGGCAGAACCAGGGCAGGGGCAGCCTGACTTGCTTTACTCTGTTTTCAAAGTAGGGGAGGTGCAAACAGCACAGCCGAAACCCGAACACTCTACTCTACCGTGTTCCGTTGATGAAGTGCGAGAAACAATCCAGCTGGGGCTGGAAGAGCCAGGTGTGTTGTACAGTCATGACAAAACGGAGCAACTTCCACCTGCGCAGCTGGGCCACGCAGACTTGGCACCCCCAGCTGCTGCAGTGGGACAAGAAGGGGTGGAACACACAGCTGTGGAATGCCCCAATGAGGGACAGTCCACCAGCAGAGCAGAGCATCCACAAGCTGCCAAAGAGAAACAGGGAACTCTGGATTCATCATCTCATGATGGAAAAGAGCAGCAAAGAGAAATGGCAAAACCAGAGCCAAATAATCCTGATTTATTGTATTCCTTTGCTAAAGCAAAACCTCAAGAAACTACACAATTGGTGTCAGGAAAACCAGTTCTATCATCTTGGCCTGGCAAAACAGAGCAAAGACGAACTGCTCAAGAGGAGAAGCCACACTTCTTGCATTCTTACAAAAAAGCTGCACAAGACAAGAAAGCACAGACAGAATTGAGACATTCAGAGTTATCTTATTCTGTTAGTGAGGCAGAACAAGAAACTTTAAATACAAAATCAAACCACTCAGATTTATCTGCTGGCAGATTAGAAGACCATGAAATCATACTGCCAGAGGGAGAAATAATGAATTTATCATGTTCAATTGGTGGAACACAGCAAACTCAAATTGCTGAAGAAGATTCGAAGTATCCAGATTTATTACATTCCACTGGCACAGTACAGCAAGAGAAGATTCAACCAGAGCAGGAACAAATAGGTGATTTTTCATCATCTCTAAGTAAAGAAGAGCAATTGGAAGATGCAGGAATGCAGGTAGAACACCTTGAGTTTCAGTGCTCTACGAAGAAAAAAGAAGGACTGAAAAATTCCCAAGCAAAATCAGAATATGCAGATTTGTCCTTCTCTGTTGGCACAGCAGAACCTCATGAAACAACACAGCCAGAGTTGAAAGAACAGAGTTTGTTGTATTCTTTTGTAAAAACATCTCAGGCTGGCTTATCAGTGTCTGAACATTCAGATGTCTCGGATGCCATGGGCAAAGTACTGCACACAGATTTGCCCTTGTCTGTTAGTGAAGAAAAACAAAGTGCACAGCTGGAGGTCAAGCAGGAGAGGCAAAGCTATACATTACATCCAGAGGAAACAGTACAACTAAAATTGGAACAACCAATGTTTTCAAGTCCTCATGGCCCAGAAGAGCAACCAAATACGTCCCCACTGGAAAGGGAATTTCCAGACTTCTATTCCTCTGATAAAACAGAAACACAGGACTCTTCACAAGCAGGGTTCATGCCTTCTGATTTTTCACATTACACCAGAGAATCAGAGCAGTTGCAACCAGAACAACTGAAATCAAAACATCAAGATTTGCCATGCTCTCTTGACAAAGCAGAGACTCGTGGAATGAAGCCACCAGATTCATGGTATTCCTACAGTGAGTCAGAGCAACCACAGACTGCCCAGCTGGAGCATCCAGAGATACCATTTGGGAGTGAAATAAAGCAGAGAGATGGGGCCCAACCTGAACTTCCACATATTAATTTGCAGTACTCTGATGTTGAAACAGATCAACCAGAAACACCTGCTGTATCATATACCTTTGTCAGGATGGGGGAGCAAGGAACTTCACAACCAGAGCTCAAACTGTCAGATTCATTAAGTTGTACTGACAAAGCAGAAAAGCGTGAAATGGCCCTGCTAAGGGCAGGACATTCTGAGAAGCGAGGCACTGGGGCTACTTCATCTCTAACTGCTCAGCTGGAAACTGAACAACAAGATTTACCATTTTCCACTGAGGAAGCAGAGAGAGAAAAAATTCAACCATACTCATCTCTTACTGAAAAAAGAGTGTCTGTACCTTTGGGTGCTTCACATGCTGTTTCTGAAACAAACCGAGAAGGAAGCCACAAGTCCTCACCTGTAACTGGAGACCTGTCACCCAAACGTTTAGATTTATCTTACTCCTGCTGTAAAGCAGAGCACTCAGAAACTGCCCAATCTGAGTTAAGGTCCTTTTTTCCAAGAAAAGAAGCAGAGAATTTAAAAAGTCTTCTACAGTTGCCTGTGGCTGCAAAGTCAGAGGCTGAACATGAAATTTTACCTGAAGCAGAGAGAGAACTGACTCCACATTACTTTCACACAGCTACACAATTAGAATCTGAACAATCAAATTTATCATATTCTACAGATAAAGTAGAAACTTTAGAAAGTCAGGATTACCTGACTGTACCTTCAAATTTGGATTCTGGACCTTCAGTCTCATTTTATTCAGCTGATGAAACATGTCAGCAAGAAATTCTACCTTATTCAAAACCAGACTCTGAATATTTGGTTCCCACATGGTCCCTTGCTGAACAAGAGAAGCAAAGCATGCAGCCACTTATTACCCAGCCTGTACAATCAGAATGTAAACATGCAATTCCACCCCATGATGAAAAACAATTGCAAAAAATTCAGCTCAGTTTGGCTGAAACAGCAAGCTCAAAGACAGTGCAATTAGAGAGTCTATCTCCAGTGCACACACAAGATCAAGACAAGCCAGAATCTTGTTTGCTCAACAGAAAATATTTGTCACCAGAGCAGCTAAGAAGTTCCCCTAAATTCACTACTGAGCAAGATGAGCAAGAAATGCAACCTGATGTGCAGACAGTGCCAAGGTCAATGACCACAGAGTCAGAGGTGACTGCTGTAGCAGACCAGCAAGCAGAGTCAGAGTCATTTGTACCTTTTCATATGTTACCTGGAAAGTCAGAACCTGTAAGGTCAGTATCTGTGGCTTTTACTGATGATGAAAAGAAACAAAATATTCCATCACCTGTTTTTGATGTAGCAGGCATGCTTAGAAAGCAATCTAACATAGTTTCAGGTGTTTATACTGAAGGAGAGCGGAAACGTGAAATGCAACTATGTTTTGAAGAACAGAAGCACACAACCTTGGAGCATTTGGAAGCTATTTCATCAGATCTTTTTGAAACTGTGACACACAAAAATCAGCATTATTCTTGTGGACAGGACAGTCTTTCTTCAGCAGAGATTAAGTCTGCTGGCTCTAGTTCTGATGAAAAGCAGAACCTAGATATTTCATCTGTTGGGCTAGCTAGCTGGCTGGTAGAAGAGGTGAAAGCTTGCTCAATTAGTCCAATAAGGGCTGCAGATGTAGACAGGCAAGGAATTCAGTTTTCTCCAAGTGAATTCCCAGCTGGAAGTTGCACAGAACTTACAGTTGATGGGACTGTAGAGAAAAGGGGGCATACATTTAGAGTTTCTGAATCAGTGTCAAATGAATTTGCTCACAGGAAGAGCTCAGACACTGGTCCTGGAACACAAAGGTATGATTTACCACCTTGGGTAGGAGATAATCAAAGTCCAGATAACACTGTGGAGTATGAAACTAGTACTGTAAAACCTGCAAAAATGGAAGTAATGCAACATCTGGAGGTAGGCAAAGTGTCTGAAGTGCCTGAACATTACCTGAGAGGAAAAGAGAAAGAAATGGAACATGTGAGTGCTGTAGAAGACAGTCAATGTGCTCCAGAGACTACTGAACAAAAAGATCTATTTAATATAATTTCAGAAGGTTATGAAATACTCAATATTCATGCTCCTACACATATTTCTTCTGTTGATCAAGAAGAAAGTAAACACATGCCAGATAAATTAGAATACTTGGAAACAAATCCTTCATTTAAAAGAAAATTAGCTGAGGATGGCCACAGAACCCCAGCTTCTGGAAGAACCACAGAAATTTCAGAAGGCTCAGTGTGTGGAAAGACTGCAAGCCATGATATACCAGAATTGGTCAAAAAAGATAATGTTGAGGAAACTGGAGAAACACAACAAGAAAATCCCTTTTTGCCAGAGAACAATAATTATGCAGTGCTGGATCCTAATAATGGTACTGCTGATATGGATTATTTTGAAAAATATACATTGATTGACGACAAATCCCCAATTAAGCCACATTTTGAAAGACCAATTTCATTGTCTCCTGTGACAGAAGATCCCAACGAACCTATTGAAAAAGCCAAATCTTTTAAAGAAAGCACTGAGGGAGATACTTTGGAAGAGTTTTCCTTACTTGAGGATCTGGATGAAGTCTTTTATGGTACCATGAAAGGAGAAAGCAAAATGCAGTCCTATGCAGATGTTTCAAAACCTTTACCTCTGCAGAAATCAGTTGATTCTAGCAGTAAAAGCATTACAAATGTAGAAGATGAAAGGAAGTCACCAGGGACCCCACTCTTTGACTCAGACGAAGGAGTGCTAGAACGATCTCTCTTGTTCCCTACCACAGTTGCTGCAATTAATCCAGAGCTTCTAGAGGAGCCACCTGCTCTATCATTTTTATACAAGGACCTCTATGCAGAAGCAGTAGGAGAAAAGACAAAGGATGAGGCTCCCTCTGATGAGGAAAGTGGTAATTCTAATGCGTCTTTCCCTAGTAGGAATTCAGACACAGATGATGGAACTGGAATATATTTTGAAAAATATATTCTTAAAGATGAAATTCCGAATAAGGCCATAGGGCCTCAAAAAGATCAGACATCAGAGGATAAATCCTTTAGTGGAGGAATTTTGACTTGGAATTCAGAGAACAAGCAGAAGGAGGGATATGGTGATGTTCAGTATGTCAAAACTGAGGTTCTTCCAGAAAGGGGTGTTGTGGAGAGAGACAAAATCCAGGTTGACAGTGACATTCAGGCAACAATTTGTAAACCAATGCATGCCATTCCTTTTGGAAGCAGAACAATCCTTTCGGGTGCAAGAACTGATACCACAGAACAAAGAGAAGAAGTAAATTTATCTCTAGAAACAACTGAGGAGTTGCCAGAGCATTCAAGTCAACAAGCATATAGTCAACTAGTGGATAATCAGGGAGCTGCATATCAGGAAGCTGGTAATAAGCAGGAAGAAAAGGAGGAAGAACAGCACAATACAGCAGCTGTTGCTCAAATGGAAAAATACATTCCATTTGTTGATGATAGTGTAGGTGATCAGTATACTCAGGAACGTCTTTCCTGTGTCCCTACCATTCAGCAAACAGAGAAACCAGATTTTCAAAGAGAGGAGCAGCACCCTGATATTTATGAAGATCTCTCTGAGTCAATGGACTATGATGTGATTACGCAAGAAGAACTTTTGCAAGACGAAATATCGTCTCAGTTTACACATGAGGAGCTATTATTTGAAGACAGGGACTCTTTTGAGCATGTTGTTGATAGTTACGAATTTATTAATGAGCCAGAACAAGGAACACCTGTTGAGCTTGAAGATTCAGGTTTTGTGGTGATGTATCCTGAAAAATCGACAACAAACATTCCTCAGGTTGAGAGCCCCCACAGAGAAATGAAGAAAGCACAAGTAGACACATATTGTTACCACTGCAAATGCCCAATATCTGCTATTGACAAGCTTTTTGGAGAGCATAAAGACCATGAAGTCACAACACTAGATGATGCTTCAGCCAAGATGAAGGTAAGAATTAATTTGGTTAAGAGTTAAGAGCTAAGGAAGTTAATTTCTCCAGTCCTCTTGTGTAGCTAGGGGGAGAGGCTTCAGAGAGCAGTCCAGAAGCTAAGTTGGAGTATCTATGAAATAAAAACTGTCTCCATGGTATGCAGATATCTGAGCATGGTATGATATCTGAGCTGCTTTTTATGTACGGCCGCTCACACTTGACTTAGCAGTGACAATTAGACACTAGTAAGTAATAAAGTCACAGACCCCAGCCATTCCTCAAATGTACCTGCATGACAACGAGTCAGTTGCAAGCTGCAAATAAACATCCCACAATATCACTCCCTGGCTGTGGAGCATGGATACGAAGCCAATATTAAATCTGGCCACAGCACAGCATTAGCTTCACGTGATTTCTAACCCTTAGGGCTTAGGTTACTAAGAAACTGCATTTTTATGTTTCTTGTTACCTCTTTATAATTACTGAGAAAACATTAAATTAGCAACATGTTTTTTGCCTGAATTTTTTGTTGCATGAAAACCATAAAATCATAGCTTCGCAGTAAATGAAATGAGCTATAGATGGCGTCTGTCAGATTTTATAGGTTATCTTGACAAACAGAAGTTAGTCTCCAAATTTTGGTGATTAGCCCTAAATATTTATAAAGTGAGCTTTCAATTTTACTGTCCAATGTGACATTTAAAATTAATGAAAAGCTTGTTTTCTATAGATTTAGCTGTAACATTGTGCCATAATACGAAGCTGTGACAAAAGAAAACTAACATTTTTTTTTTTAGATTTATGCCATTGAATTAAAAGTAAGCATTTTTACAAATTATGAATTGCACCTGAGCAGATGGACAGCTTTCTTTCATAAAAGGTCAAGAAGGACTAAGAAAAAGTTCTGAGTTGTCTCTGATGCCTGTTGTCACTTGAACTGCTTTTGTTTCCACATCTAATTCAACCAGTGATTTTGATATATTCTTGTTTATGAGAAATATCTTTCAAATTCTAATTTAAAAAAAAAACCATGATAGTGCATAATTTATTACCCTCATCATTACCTTTCTTATATCCCTTTTAATGCACTTGTTCCTGTAATGTCTCAAGGACCCTCATGAGAGTCTAAGTACCTTCACTGCCAGCAAAGTTGCATTGAAATTCATAATTTTCAAAAACTGGTATAGACATTCAGCATCTTGTCTAACTGAGCTCCCTTTTTTTGGTTTGGAAACGGTTCTGTGACTGTTCCAGTTGCTTTTTTGGTGCTTATCTTTGTAGCCAAAGTGATACTTGAACTTATTTATCAATTGTTGCAATGGTGACTCAGGGCTAAAGGAAAATATTCACCTAAAATAAGTTCTGTGCAAAAGCTTTGTAAAATAACCTGCTTAAGTTTAGATTTTAAATTTCAGGATCAATTAAGTGAATTGCTGATAGCACTGGAAGAAAAGTCAATAAAGATCGAGGAGTTTGTGAGTGATATTGAATTGCGATTTAACTCAGTTGAGGTAAGTCCAGTGTTTTACCACACTTTCTCTCCTTGTACTTCTAAGATATGTTTGCCCTATTTTATAACATCATTGCTTTCACCAAAATGGGCTGTTTCTCCAGTCCTCAAATTGGCTTCTTCCACTTGAAGGTGTTAACTTTAGTGGAAGAAAAAGACTGCTTTTTCTTGCACATCAGTGCAAAGTGAAATATGTAACTGTCAAGCACTGAAAGAAAAAGTTCCCTTAATTTTGCTTAAGCCTATGAAAAGCTCATAATGTGTCTCTATTTAGAATCTTGTGTGAAGCATATAAATTAGTTGCCCAATGTCTTAAGTTCTGATTACCCAAGCTCTTAAGCCTTGAGAACTGTATTAATTTCAGTTGTAAGTATGAATTTTTAGCTATTTTGTAGTCAGATGTCCTGTCTCAGTGCTTAAATATCTAAGTTTAATTTTGAACAGTAAAAAAAAACTTGCCATTGTTTTTAATGCGTTTCTCTAGTGATATTTCTCACAGAGGAGTTTGCTTGCAGAAATAAAATTATCTTATTGTCAGTATGCCAGAATGAATCTGGTGGATGACTCATATGTGGGTCATTCAGAATTTCTGTGTATTTGTTTAATGTTGTAATTTTATTCTGCAGAACAATTTACATCTGTTTTTATTTTGCAGGAAAATTGTAAGAAAAGTGCAGACTTACTGGAAAAGCAGAATGAAGAGATGCTTAAGAAAGTGGTAGCACAGTATGATGAGAAATCAGAGAACTTCGAGGAAGTGAAGAAGATGAAAATGGAGTACCTGTATGAGCAGATGGTTAATTTCCAGCAAACTGTTGATTCAGCAAAGGAAACTTTGGAGACAACAGTTAAAGAAGCAGATGAAGTGGATGGATTTGTTTTCCTAAATGTAAGTAAAAATGGCTTTCATGCTGTAGTTTTTACAATGCTAGTTAGGGAAGGAGTTCTGTATCTAGGCTGGCAATGAGTTATTTACTTTTTTTTTTTTTTTTTAAATTAGCATAATCCTGCTAGCTCAGCTATTCCTCTCTGAAACTGCTGGATCATTTGCATTTGTTGTGGGAATTCTCAGAGAGAAATGCAGAGATGATGCATAGGATGAAAATGTGATATGCTATTAAAATGGTTCTCATTTGTTTTATAAGGAGGAGGTAAAAAGACAGTTGGATAATTTATCTAGAATTAATTGTTCACTGAGGAATGAGAAATATTAGAGGATTTAGGTATTTTACTGTATAAAAATAAAATACATATTTTGTATGATAAAAACAACAAAGTGATTTCTGAAACAAGAAAAGTGTCTGAAGTAGAATTGTTTCTGGGTTGTAGGGTGCTTTTTTTTTTTTTTTTTTTTGTTGCTTTTGGATTTTACAATAAACAGACACAAACAGTATTTACGCGCTTAAATTGCTGGGGCTGTGATAAATATTTACTGCTGAAAGGCAGTGAGAAGCTTTGTGGTAGTTGGATGCTGGCTGGGGTGAAACCACAACAGTGGGGTCGGCTTAGGGACGTGCATTTGATGGTCCTTTCTGGATATGAAAGACATCTCCAGTGAATCTGCGGGACTGGACCTACCTAGCTCATACAGTCTACAGTCATTAATCTTAAACTTTATTCAGAGGGTGTTTGCAGGTCCTGGGTGCTCCAGTACTGTTCTTGTGCTGCAAGACTTGTCCATAAGTGAGCCATACTACTTTCTTCTCTACACAAGTATATATATCTTTACACAAGCAAAAATACTCTACAACTATTAACAGTCTTGAAGTGGATGGATTTTCTGGGATAATAATCTCCTGTTACAGAATGAACATGTAGTTTAGAAGTTGCAGAGAAACTATCCTGGGATGCCAGAAATAAAAAGGTCAAATTACTCTCTAAAGACTGATCGTTGATGCAAAATAAACCAGCTTTCCAAATGCAAGTACCCAGCCCATATATGCCCTATCAATTATAGAAATGATGGAACAATATTTGGCTTTCTTCCCTACTCCAAGCTACACTATGTCTTGTAATCAAGTGAATATTGTGGTAGATTGGCTATTTTGGGATGGACAAAAAAAAATGGATTATTTTCCTGAACTTTGTGAGGTACAGGATCAATGCTTTGGCAAAAAAAAAAGTTTTGTGATCTGTAATTATTTTCTGGGGTGTGAAAATCATTGGATTCCCTTCTCCTTTCTGTTAATGATAAAAGAGAAGAACTTTTTTGTCCACATACTAGGAAGCATTAGCTGAAGATTCATGGAGCATGGGCCAAACTCTCACTCCAAAAGTAAAAATCTCACCCAGCTTCTAGTAATAAGAAGTTATGAGGCAGATTTTAGCCAGTATTAGAATTTAACTATTCTTACTGTGCAAGTGATTTTTTTCTCTAAAAGTCTTGGTTTAAGAGAGTACTTGAATATGTTTCAGTCTTTAAACCTAGATTTTGAATACTGACCCCTCAGGAACTTAAAACCAGATTTATACTCTAATACCCTGCTGAGTCAGAGCTTTGAAACGAAATATTCCTAAGGAAATAAATCCTCTGCTAGTGTGAATGCACAGCATTCCAAACAGCATCAAGTCAGTAAAACCATGTGTATTTTATGTCCAAGGAAAGTAGAAAGACTGTTAGATGATCAGTTTTTCAACATTTTGGGGGTTTTGAAAACTATTAATACTTTTTTTTTTCTTCTTCTAGTCATCTAAAGAGTTGAATAAAAGGTACATGAAGTATGGGTTAAGCGCACTGTAGTGAGTACTAGGCCTAGCATGCTGGATGCTTCATTTAGTATTTTCAAGCTTTGAAAGCACACTTCTAATATTCAGAGGTACTTTTATAAACCTTGCAAATAATGAAATTAAGACAAGAGGTTTTATCCTTGTTGCTGTAACTGACTGATTTTGAAGTATTTTGCACATGTTCTGTAAGACAGCAGTTATACAAATAGCATGCTAAAACATCAGCTCAATTTTAAATCTCTACCCAGACATTTCTAAACAGATGTTCCTCGTAGTTATTATTATACACACATATACTAAAAACCATTTTAACCCTGCTTCCGCCTGTTAGACATCACTGGTATATTCATTTTTTTCACTAGTCTGGTTTGTGTCACTTAGTCTCTGAAAGGTTATAATACAAAGCATCACTTACGTGTTGTTGGACTATGTTTCTGAACATAATTCCAGAAAAAAAATGAGATTAAGTAAATTTCAAAACATTATCAGGGGACTATGGGCTGATGTTTTCCCATGCCTCTTCACTACCAGTGCCTGATTCTGGGTGTGTCAGAGGACTGGTGCCTCATCACGGCTGCATCATGGTCCACCTGCACATACCAGTAAATGCATATAATCACAAACATTTCTCTGCCATGTGGGGTTTTCTCAAGGGAGTCATTTGGGTGAGTCCCATCCTTTATGAGAGAAGTGTTCAACTGTAAGCCCATATTCCCCAAATAAATTTTCCAGGGTGAACTAAAAAGATTCAGAGTGGTTGGCTTGCAGGCTTCTCCTAAGCAAGTCCCCAAAACTGCATTGCCCACCCCCCTGCCGATTTTCCCAAGGGACCTGGGCATTGTGCAGTGCACATCAAACATACCCTTGTCAGGACTTCCTCTGCCATCGCAGTGGTATGTGTGCTGACACAGACTGGAATATAACAGTGACACGAGGTTTTCACTGTCCAGTCAAATTACAACCACAGGAGAGTGGTTTCAAAACAATGTGCCAAACACCCCTTCAGGGTTTCCAATCATCTTCAGAACTAGGACTGTAAATTTGGACTCACTTCTTGCAAGTCAAACTTTTTGGCCACTTATCTGCATTTACTTTATTGCAGGTAAAATGAGACAAAACAATTTTCCTAGTTTTCTCTCCACTTGTTTACTTACACAATAAACTTTAAAATTCTGTTTTGTGCATGGACTGGCTATTACTATATTTTGATAGTACCTGACTACCTAAAAAAGGTTAAGAACAAGTCTATTTAACAATGCATGCTTTTCTAAAGAAAGTATATTTTATATTTATTGTGCTTTGTTAAAATTATGCATAATTAACTACTACTTCAGTGATTAGAAAAAAATGAAGGGGAGAAAGATAAAATTCAATTGAATTAAAAAGAAATCATTTTCTTGAAGCTGCTTCTGTCACAGAATTAAAAATATGTTGGTGTTTTTTTCTATAATGAACTCAGCAAATACAGGCTAGTTAAGTGGAATCTATCTTCCCTGTCATGTCTTTTTGGCTTGCCACAAGCAGCTGCTTTATGTTACATCTTTGGAGTCAGCTGCTGAAGTTAGCTCCAAGGTAACATTTAAAGGCACTGCATTAGCAACCCAAACCCCCGTGCTCTTGGGACTCTTTCTGTGAACTTCAGATCTTCATGTTCTTATGGGTTAAGTGTACACAGACCATGTGGTCTCTCACTGTGCTCCTTATCTAAAATTGCAGTGTGGTCTAAAATTCAAAAGCAGGGAAACAGATTCTCCATGCACGTCATCCTCAAGTTCATGGGAAATATTTACAGAAGATATGTCATATAGTCTTTGCGTCTGGCCTTTGCAAAACTATGCAGTAACCCAAATTATTTAGATGTGTTTTCTTCCTAATAGGTTACTTTCTGCAATGGATACCACCCTCCCTTTAGAGAAGGTGCCCAGTGCTTTTTCACTATTTGAGCACTTTGCAGACAGTCCAGGACAAAGCAACCAGCAGTCCTCACAACACGTGGCTGGTAAGAATCTCTAAATATAATTTTTACAAAAGCTAACAGTTTGGCAATGCTTTGGACATTTTAGGAATCTAAAAACAGAATCTTATTGAGAAGTATAAAGTTGAAAACCATGTAATTAGCAATCAGAGTGGAATGTAAAATGAAGTTTAATTGTGCACAAGTGTTTGGCTTGTAGTAGGGACAGTAGGATGAGCAACAGAGACAGAAGTGCTAAATTGGGGAATTCTTGCATCATTTCAGACATCTGTACCTCAGACTATCTGAAAGTCTTGATCTGTAAATCTCCCAGGGCTAAAGAAGTTGGTTTTCCTTGCAGGCAGGGACAGAAGAAGCAACCTAATGGTTCTCCTGAGCTCTCTTCCTCTAAGGGTGGCAGCCCCAGTATGCCTGGTATGGGGAAGAGAGTATGGGGCTGGTTGATGGCTGAGGTCTCTGAACTTGTGCCAAAGGAATGGAGGCACCTGAAATCCCCAAGGGATGTGAAGAGAAAGTGGTTAACTATAGCTGGAAACAGCCATGGTTTGTCAGGGTAGTAGTGAAAACTGCGCGTGGTATTTCATGTCCTGTAAAAAGCCTTTCTGCTTTCAGGCTTTCTGCTCTGCCTGCACATATAAGTGTATATTATCTAGATCTGGACAGCTGTCAGTGAAGATCTTGTCAGTGCCAATTTGTGAATTAATTTTCTTCATAATGGAACTCACTCAATTTCTTTTTTCAAGAGAACATTGGTTTAGAGCCTTGCATCTCACTGTCGTGTTTTGTGGCCTCCCATTTACCATCCATATGCACCACTGCCATCATAGTCACTCCCTGGCTTTGGAAGTGAAGCCTCTTTCTCATATGTTTGGTTCCTGAGCACTGAAACTAGAGTATCAAATTCCCTAAGGTGCTTTGATTCCTGGGTGAATTTTCAGGTGACTAATGGGACATTGGAGAAATGCCACCTTTTGCAGACACTCCGGTGTCTAAAAAGTGTTGAGTGCACTTAGAAGTGTTCCTATGGAAAGACTGTCTCTCTTCTTCACACCACTACTTAGACCTAGAGGAACTTGAATATGTCCGAGACCTTAAAATCCTCATCAGATTTATATGAATTTGCCTATGGCATTGGAAGCTTCTCAGGTGAAGTTGGACAGGCACTAGTGAATGCATTGTTATCTCAATGTCATTTTTTTGGAAGTGAGATAAAAAGACCTTTTTTGTAACCCACTCTGTCAACTTGCTGGTGAAAATGGCCTATGCGTCTTGGCTAGTTCCTAAACTTCCTCCTGAAATCCCATGGGTGCAACCATTCATTCCTCCTAGGCTGCTACCTACTAGCAAGGTCGTACAGGAGGACAGATCCATTTTGTCATGCTATGTTTCTTTTTCCCACAAGCCACTCCAACATGTATTTCCCTAAACTGCTGAAATGTGCTTTTTGGGTTGGTTTGCATTAGCTATTGTGTTTGCTGACTCCAGACCAGTTTACTTTGACAAAGTGCAAATGAACGACTGTCCATTAGCAAGAGATCTTTGAAGTTCCTCATCCTTTATATTTACTGGGCAGCTGGTTTTTATTCTTCACTTCCACGACCAAGTACTTAAATTGCTATTGTGATTTTTACTTTGACTAGCAGAAGACAAAAAAATTTGGGTGTTTTATCTTCATTTGATTGTTTGTTTTTCAAAGTTACTCTCTTCTTGAAGGACAATGGAGTTATATGCTTACAAGAAACTTGATTTGGAATTGAATAGTTTGAATACCTCATTTGTCACATATTGAAGACCTTTGTCAGACCTTTGTGGTGGTTTACTGAACAATTTCATAGAACCTGATTTTTCCATATTCACTAATGTAAAGCTGTTTTCCCTCAAATTCTTCCTCTTTTCATGTGAGCTATCCCCATTCACAAGTGCATTAGCATAAAAAAACTGTAGCAGCATCCTGTCGAGCATATTGGAACTCAGGTTCTGCCACGAGAAGAGTGGCAGAATAATTTAAAAATTATTATTTGAAAATTAAATTTAAAACAATTAAAAATTTAAAAAATTAAAAATTTAAAAATTTTTATTTCCAAAGCCATCTGGTAAGGCAAGGCCCTTTACTGATTGTAAAAGTCTTCCAATAGAGTCACAGAGGAATGTAACTGTTCTCGTTTTTCAAGTCCACAAAACCAAGGGAGTGTTTTTCTCATTACATTGGAAAATATTTTGGATTATTATTTCTCTTCCAGGGGCAGTGGGGGTTAGGTAGTGAGAAGGAAAACTTCCTTACACCACAGCACTTCAATGAAAAGTGAACTGATGAGAACATTTCCCGCTTTTCTGTTGAAAAATATCATTTATTCAAACTCATGTTGCAAATATCTCATTTTATTAAATAAAATACACTTAAAAAGGGACCAGTACTTTGACAACCCATAAATGTTCTGTTTCTGAGGAGAACAGTTTAACTTCTTGCTTTGAAATTACCTCCTTTCAAATTGTTTAATATTATGCAAAAGGAAATTAGAAATCAAATATTTTTCAGTGTTGCTTTTGATTTATCACTCTTTTTCCTTTTTTTTTTCCCCTCAGAACTTTCATTCAATAAACTGGCTTCTGTTCAGATTTGGCATAATAATAAATCTTGCAACTGTGACCATAAATAGTAGTTTCTAGGCAACTTCATGGGGAAGAAAAATGGTTTCCCTACTATGTCCATTGAAAGGAAGTATTTTCCTAAAGATATTAGATTTTTTAATTGCCAACTCTAGTTACAGTCAAAAGACAAAATGAGGATTGTTTTTAGCAATGAAAAGGATAATTTATTTTTTTTTTCAATGGGCAGCAGATGTAATCCTACTGTACTGGTAGCTCTCTGTGTAAGTCATAAGAAAACAGCCAGCATCTGCATTTGCCTTGTTCATGCCACAGGGGATCATCATCATTACTGTGGAGATAACTGGAAAGAAAGCAAAAGCTTTCTGCTGAGATTTTAAGAGAATTCATGCAGTATGGAAATTTACTGGGTGAAGAAATAGAACCATGTATTTTCGTTCCCTGCAATCATTTTAACAATTAACATCTTTTGGGGCTTTTTGCCTCTTTCTTTCCCCTCTCTCTCTTTTAAGACATAATCACAGAGGAGAACAATATCTCATCTGGGGTGGATCTGTGTCAATCAGGAAACAAAGTTTATGTTAAATCTGGGGAGCCTTGAAAGTCTTCGAAGCATTCTTTGTGAGGAATGATACTGGTTGTACTGTGGGGTTCAGGTACTTTGGCAGAGTTCAGGTTCACCTGCACACCAAGGATTCTCAGTCCCTTGGATCTGTGGAAAAATGACCATGCCAGGAAGGAGTTATGAGTTGTGCATGTGCTGTGGGAGTCCACCTCAGATCCAAGGCTTCAGGGAGCCTTCTGCTCCCCAGTGCTGTTAGAGCCTTCCTCTGCCTAAAGCACATTCCTGCTGCTGTCAATATCTGTAGAATCAACACACTGGAGAAATCCCTTCCTGGTGTGACAGGTCCTTTCCCGTGCCCACATTGCTGGGATCAGTTCATACATCTGTCTCTGGATGAGGGTGTGGGCACACACTTTATACTGGGTTTGGGTGGTCCCAGTACTAGGACTAGATCTTGTTTTGTCCAGATTATGAGGGAAATGGACAGCTTTCAGTGCTGAGCAGACACCTTTTTCTGCTCCTAATTTAGGAGGACCTGATGCTCTAAAACTGTGCCAGTATTTTGTCTTTCCTGCTGTACTTGCTTTGGGGAAATAAGCAATCTGAATGAAAATAAGCAACTGGGTTGCCTCACAAACCTGTAGGTAATGTGCCTGAAAATGCAGGAGCACATATAACAATGGAAGACTTTCCTCTCAGTCCCACAGGCACCAACTGTGGTACCCCAGGAGCCAAACTCAGCCACCAGCACCTCCATTGCTGTCTACTGGTCTGTGAATGACGGGGATGCCATCGACTTCTTCCAGGTCTATTGTATGGAGGAGCTGCAAACCACCAAAGATGCAGGGGGTGTGTAACATCTCGCCTTCTCAATTGCAGGAGTTCCTTCTGCCCTAAACAGAGGGGGTAAACAGAGGGGGATACGAGTTGCAGGGGAGTGACAAGGACACAGAAAGAAAAGTGGCTGTGAAGACATCACATATAGGACTGAGGATGGGCAATGATGTTTCTTCTCCTCCCCTTTGTCCTCCAAAATGCAAGATAAATGTCATAGTCTGTAAAATGAAGGACAGTTGTTTTCACCTGCTGAGTTGCCCTTTTACTAAGTGGCTTGACCTCCAGAGAGGATGTGTCCATGCTGCTCCTGGGTACTCATGGGGACTGCAGATAGATCTCCCAAAAGGACAGCCTTCATTAAGCTTTAGAGTGCTGCAAGTGCTTCTGAAATATGTATCCACTAGAAAAGCAGCAGGAAAAGGTAATCAGTATTTCCACATGTAGATGGAGGTTTAAAAAAAAATGTCATATGTTAAACGTGAAATTGAATAAAAGGAATTGAAATGTTCATTCATTAAAAAGCTCAGACTGATCATAAAGTCACCTTTAGCAACCAGGCTCTGCACAAATCCATGTGTGCATGTGTGTGCAGGCTAAAGGATGCTAAGGGCTTTTTAGGTAATTTATAGCTAAGTCCTATACAGTTTATTATGAGAAATTATTATGTTATAGAGCCTGTTATATTATATATATAATGTTAGAGAGCCCGTGTTGGTAACTGCTGATTGTGCATCCCGAGCTTGCAGTCTAGTCCTCAGTAGGACTGGGGGCCATAATCTCCCCTTGCATCAATGGCATTTGTGTACATTCAGTTCAAGGGCACATCAAAAACTTTCTGTCAGAACCGAGTCGGTGTAAGATATGACAATCTGGGCTACTAATGTTTTCTGAATTTTTTAAATTGAATTTTTTAATATGTTAGTCGAGAGACTGAACTGTAAGCCCTAACAGTGCAACACAAGTGTGATGTTCCAAGCTTGTGTATGTTTCTCTTAGCCCTAGTGGAAGAGTACAGAGTGACGGTGAAAGAGAGCCATTGCATTTTGGAGGACCTGGAGCCAGATCACTGCTACAGTGTGTGGGTCATGGCTGTGAATGGCACAGGCTGTAGCTTACCCAGTGAAAAAGCCATTTTTAAAACAGGTATGTATTCATTTTGGCATTTGATTATTACAAGCCTCAGGTTCAAAAACAAATTCTAGTCCAAAGTGTTATTGAAACAGAAGAAACTGCTTCATTCAGCCCATCTGGCAGATAGCACACAGCTCAGAGTCATTTCCCCATTTGCTAGGAGATAGAGGCGTAATTGCTCCTGAGAGGAAAGTTGAAGGCATTCAGTTTTGAAGACATTTCCAGTTTCAGGCCAAATGGCTGGGGCACTGGGGCAGCACATTATGTATTTCTCTTCCGAGTGTGTTGCAGTGCCCCAGGGAAGCTCTGGGAAAGCCACCTGCCTGCTCCCTGCTGCTGCTTCTTTTCCTGCACACAGCGGAGAAGACAGCTGTGTGTTTTACCTCTCTGCCATCCTCCTGAATACACCTACATTGCATTAAGTTATTAATTTTTTAAAGGAAGGCCTGCTTTACCAAGTTTACATGCTGTGTCTTGCTCAGTGGGACACAAATCTCAGGTGTGGCTGAGAGGCTCTGCTGTTGTTTAAGCAGTATATAAATTAAGATGAGTAATTAGATGAGCATTTCTTATGAGCTTCATCTGACTGATTCACTTTTCTGAGTATTAATTTCTTTAATAATTTGTATTGACAAAACTATTGCTTCTTAAATTACACACAAGGTGAAGCGTCCTTGTGTCTGAGGCCCTCCTGCCAGACAATTTTTTCAGTGCTACAGGATAAAAGCAATTATTCTATTCCTGCAGGCAAGAATACAGGGAAGGATATTTAAAAATTTTATAACGAAAAAATTCTGAGAGTATTGTTGAAATCATTTGACAGCACCGACAGCTTCAAACCTTTTGCCTAATTTAATAGACTTCAAATGTGTTGATAATTCTCTTAATTACTTAATTTGGGATTTGTATTTTAAGAGAGATTAATTTTTGGATAATTCAAAGTGGAAATTCATATTTTATGGCCTCAAAAATGCAATTGTGAACATGGTGCAGACTTTCTGCCTAAATAATGATGAGTTGTTATTATTAGCTAATAAATTATAATTTAAAAAAAAAGGTTTCCACCCCTCTAACGCTATTATTCTTAAGAAATCACTTTGTCTTTTGGCATCAAGATCACCACACTTTTCCTCAAAATGGAAGCCTTCTAAAAAGAAGTTAATTTCCGTGAGTCTCTAATTACTTCCTTTGGCCGACTTCTTTAAGAAAACAAATAAATTAAATAAATATGGTCTTGTTAAACAGTTTTTCTCAAAGCTGAGTTGAACTACTTCTGGAGTGAAACCAGATGGACCTGTGGGGCACTGCGGAGCACTAACTGGTACAAAATTGCTGCATCTCCTCAACACCAAATCCAGAAAGATAAGCACCAGTAATAGAAAAGAGTTCTTCAAAAGGAGTCCAGCTGTTTTGATATAAAGAAAAAATATTTCAATTCTTCAAGTAGCCCAATGAACTCAGAAGCAAGAATTTAGAGTTTATTTTTAGTAGTTCAGGTTAAAACTTAGCACATAGAAGAAAATAATTTGCTGGTATATGCAGGTATGTGAAAACACACACCAATGCTTGAAGAAGCTGTGACTCATCCAGGTGTTGGGAATCCTCACAAAGTTTCTCTGTTGGTATTGTACCCGTGGAGGCGACAGTGGGCTTGGGAAGTTGTGGACAATGCAGGGGGAGTTGCTGAGGCACTCCCCCAGCACCTCCTGACTTGTGCTCCTCACAGCTTGTCTTTCCCCACACAGAGAAACATGCTGTTTCCAAGGAGTATTTTCTGTGAGGGAATGATGCTAAAGGCAGGGAGAATCTGTCAACCCTCCAACCCCTTCCCTACAACTTCTCTCCTCATGAAGGCTCTTTGCAATCCTAAGGACATAGAAGTGAACCCACCTTATGCTGTTGCTCAAAACTCATGTGATTCTCACCCTATTTGGCTCTTTGCCTGTTATAAAAACACTTAAATAAATTCTGAAAGATTATGATTAAATTAGATATGTACTCCAGCTGCAGTTAATTTGTTAGAAAAAAATCTCAGAAGCACAGTAACAGCTTTTTCTGGTATGTTCATTCCAGTTATTCTTTAGGTGGATATTTTCAAATTAAAATTAAAAAAAAAGCTTCATGTCTTGTAATAAGCTGCTTACACATACACAGATGTAGGTATGTGTGTGAGTTGCTGAATGCAGGTGTTAGGGGATTCAGTTAATAATTTTTTGTTCTTTAGGAACAGATGCATTTAGAAACAGATAATAATCAAATATATGTGAGGAGAGTAAAGGAATTATTGCTAAGGGAGCTACAAAGAGGTATTAGCAGATGAGACTCTATCCCACAAATTCATTGTTCTGGGGAATACCTACGTTAGATGTTCCTGTAGTAAAACATCAAGTAAATCTTAATCTGAACTACTACCCGCCAGATTTTCACTATCCAGGAAATTGTTACATATTTCTGGATGGTTTTCTTTCCTTTTCTACTAACAACGAATTATTTTTCTTAAAAGACAGAATGCATGTAGAATGTTTGTTGCAGTTCTATTAGATTATCTTGTCATAAAATCGTCTCATCTCGCCTTTTGACTTAAGCCTCCTATTTGCAACTTTCTGTCTTCAGAAGTTAAATGATTTTTTATGTTGTTTGGGTTTGTTTTGTTTTTTTTTTTTTAAATAGTAACCTTTCTTTTAGAATTGGTATTAAGACAATTTATGTGAGTTTCACAACAGGCCATAAGGTGTTTTAAGTTGCTATTTCCCAGAAAGGGAGAAAGCAAGAAAATACAACTGATCCATTCTCAACTTACAATGGTGAATGTGCAGTTTCACACAATAGCTTTTGATTACTTGCATCTAGTGCATTATTTTACATTCCATTTTCTGTCTTGCAGTTGGCCCTGTAGTTCTTAAACTGAGTCTCTTAAAAGGAGACATTACAGAACCAAATTTTAGCGTTGCAAAAATAACCAGGACATAATTAAACAGAAAGTCAGCATCTCCCTGCAGCACCACATTTTTTTTCTGATGCAATTCATGCAGTCACTGCTGAGGACAGGATTGAGGTGATGCAGGGGGAGCCGTAGGCAGTGCTACCTCTGTGTTCTGCTTCTTGAAGATTGGCAGAAATGAGGAAAATATTCTTGAGGAAAGGCATAAAAATTTACACTGCCATTCTAACGATGTGTAGAAATGCACAGATCTTCACAGTTACCTTCCCAGCATGTTTTTATTTTTTACCTGTAATGTGCCCCTTTGCTATTGAAGCAAAAGCGAAAGATCACTTCTGGAGGGGGGGAAAGTAACTATCCCACGGATTTTCAAGGAGGTGACTCTTGCTTTCCCTTGAAACATTCCCCTCCAGCTGCTGGGACCGTCTTCGGAGTAAAGCTAACGTGTCCTTGTGTCCCCCAGCACCCGCTGTCCCCACCATCAAGGCCGAGGACTGCACAGTGTGTTGGAACACGGCCACTGTCCGCTGGCGTGCCGGCTCTGTGTCAGCGGAGTCCTTCATCCTGGAGTACTGCCGACAGCACTCGCCGGAAGGAGAAGGTCTCAGGTCAGTGCCGCGGTCATAAAAGCCCCTTGGTCAGATTAGGCAGCCGCTAATGACCGTCCCCCAGGCCGTGGTTCGTTACGCAAGAGATTATTCTGCCTTCAGCCACGCGAGGAAGAAATCTGCTTCTGTGTGCTGAGGAATTTAAGGGACAGACACTAGTCCATGAGATTAGGCTGAGACACAAAAGTACTTCCCTTTTATTCCGCTTAACCGGACAATCCTTTTCATTTGGAGCCAAAACCCTGGAGATGTTGTGCTGTCTGCAATCAACCAGAAGTTTCAGGGCTATGTTGGCCGGGGAAGCAATCGCTGACCCGCAGCTGCCGTGGCCCCGGGGCAGGGCAAGGGAGGGCAGCTCAGCTCCATGGAGAGTCATGTGATGGGGTACCTGGACCAGTTTGCTATCTGCTTTGTGGAGTCAGCTCCGGGCTTAGCAAGGGTGTCCCAGTAATGCTGGTGACCCATCTGTGGTGTCTGGATGTGCATGCAGATGCCCCCTCAAAGCACAGATGAGCTCAGTGCTGCCAGGCTGTGCAGGCGTGCCACAGGGGTCTGAGAGTAGCTTTGAAATTTGAGGCGGTGTCTGTTTATGCCAAACCCTCTCTGGTTTCCCCTATACTAAGCCTGTGCTGCATAGAGGAGAGGGCGAGGAGGAATTTAGGCACCACTGAGCCATGAAACAGCACACTGTTGAAATGCAGAGAAAATTATCTTAGAATCATAGAATCCTAGGATAACCTGGGTCGCGGAAGGGACCTTAAAGATCATGAAGTTCCAATCCTGCTGCTGTGGGCAGGGAAATATGTTGTGGTCTGTATGTCCCTGGGGCCTGGGGTTTTTTGTTAGTTTGCTTTTTAAAAACAGTGACAATATTCCAGGAGATTACAGCTGCAAAGGTCTGAGAAATTTTGGGGAGTGGAGAGGGGTGACTGACTACAGGACCCTGTGGAAGAGCTTCAGTTCAGTGAGGCTCTTCACTTCACTTCTTGTCTTCACTTCCTGAGGAGCCTGATAAGGTCTTCACCTAGGGGCTAGTTCACGTGGCCATTATGGAGCTGTGGCAGAGAGGGAAGAGCCCCTCTCCCTGCAGTCAAAATTACTTAACTGGACTGAAGGGTTTACAGGTTTGTAGTAGACCAGTACAACAGTGAAATTGTAATGCTTTGCTCCTTACAAAAGTAGGCTGAAAACTGAAATAAAATTTCTCTGTGAGTGGACGACTTCTTTTCATGCAGTACCAGTGTGCTGTATTAATGCAACCAAGAAGAAGTCTTGTCCAGCTCTCCTGCCTCTCAGAGGACAGCTGTGACCTGCTTTGTTTCGTACATATTTCATGGGACCATCAGGCCCCTGTCAGCCTGCTAAAGTTGCTGTTGGTCAGGGATCACAGAATCACAGAACATGCTGAGTTGGAAGGGACCCACAAGGATCATCAAGTCCAACTCCAGATTCTGCACAGAACCATCCCTAAGAGTCACAACATGCGCCTGACAGTATCATCCAAACACTTCTTGAACTCTGTGAGGCGTGGTGCTGTGACCACTGCCCTGGGGAGCCTGTTCCAGTGCCCGGTCACTCTCTGGGTGAAGAATCTTTTTCTAATGTCTAACCTAAACCTCTCCTGACAAAACTTTAGATCATTCCCTTGGTTTCTGTCACTGGTCACCACAGAGAAGAGATCAGTGCCTGCCCCTCCTGTTCCCCTCATGAGGAAGTTGTAGACTACCATGAGTTCTCCCCTCAGTCTCCTCTTCTCCAGGCTGAACACATCAAGTGACCTCAGCTGCTGCTCACACAGTTTTCCCTCAAGGCCCTGCACCATCTTTGTTGGCCTCCTTTGGACACTCTTCGATGGCTTAATATCTTTCTTACATTGTGGTGCCCAAAACTGCACACAATATTCAAGGTGAAGCTGCCTCAGTGCAGAGCAGAGCAGGACAATCCCCTCCCTCAACCGGCTGGCGATGCTTTGCCTGATGCCCCCAGGACACGGTTGGCCCCCTGGCTGCCAGGGCACTGCTGACTCAGATTCAACTTGCTATTGACCAAGAACCCCAGGTCCCTTTCCATGGCACTGCTTTCCAACATCTCATTCTCCATTCTCTCTGTATATCCAGGGTTGCCCCATTATGTGTACAGAATCCAGTACTTTTGCTGGTTGAACTTCGTAGGGTTGGTGATTGCCCAGTCCCCTGATTTGTCGAGGTCTCTCTGCAGGGCCTCCCTGCATTTGAGGGAGTCAACAGCTCCTCCCAGTTTTGTGTCATCTGAAAACTTGCTTAGTGTCTCTTCCAGTCCTGTGTCCAAGCCACTTATGGAGATGTTGAAGAGAACAGGGAGTAAGAAAATGTAACAGCTCTCAAAAACTCTGCTGTATTTTTGCCCTCAAGTTTCTGTGCTGTTAACTGAAACTGACTCTTTTTCTCAAAGAATCAGGGTGTGTGCTCATTCCTGTAATCCATGAGAAAGGTGTTGATAACACCAAGCAGTTTGTGTGCTGATAACTGTGGCAAAAAGCTTCCAGGACTGACCCATTCATTTCTTAAGTCACCTTATGCAAAATCTAACATGGTTATAATTATACTGAGTCACATTTGACTTTTTGGCCTCCCTGTGGGCAGAAGCTGGCCTTTTACTGTGACAAGTGTGAAAACTTCCCACAGGACAAAATCACAAATTTTCTCAGAATTGCTGTAGTTTAAAATTCTCTGTTTGCATAAGGCCTCTGACCTCTTTTTGCATGTCAAAGCTAATGTTTTGCCACTTATTTTTCCTGAAAAATATTCCTCTCTCCTTTTCCAAAATGAATCCCCTGAGAATAACCTGGAAATTTTCTGTAATGTCACAGCTTGTGTCAGTGATGGAGAAATTTTTTTAAAGATTTCTGTTTAAGATTTTGTATAAAGCTGAGGGAAAAAGAGCTTACTGGTGGATAGAGCACACTGGTGGATGGAGCACACAACGCTCCTATCCAAGGGCCCCAATGTGAAATTAAGGTCTAGAAGTCAATCAGCTTGGCTAGAGGCCAATATCAGGTGAAATAATTCAGTCTCTATGCACATCCAGAATTTTGGCCTTAAATGCTGCCGTTTCTTGTCTTCTTTCCTTGAAATCTTGGAGATAGTCCTTCACAGGTTTCCTGAGTAATGTTCATTTTGGGGATTAGACAAATGTGGTGCCCTTTCACAGACAGCCTGTGGCTTTTTTGCTTGAGACAACCCTGTAGCTAAGCAATTTCCTAGTCCCTGGGTGGAAGTTCAAACACATTTCTCAGCAGCTCTGGAAGGTTCATACAGCTGCTGCTGGAAGCAGAGCTTGAAAGCAGAGGTCAAGGAAGAACACCCAAGAAAGGTCCTGAAGAAAGCAGCATAGCCCCATCTCACAGTGCTGCTTTCACAGGTATCTTTCTGGGAGCTCACCCAAGGTAAAGGACACTGCCAAGGGAGTAGGCAGGAAAAAATGTCCCCACTGAACAGCTGGAGACACGTGTGGAGTCCCTGATCTGAGCTGGCTCCCTGTAACCTTCTGTATGTCACAGAATCACAGGATGCTTGAGGTTGAAAGGGACCTTTGGAGATCACCTGGAGCAACATCCCTAACTAAGCAGGGCCACCCAGAGCCAGTTGTCCAGGAGGCTTTTGAACATCTCAAAAGAGGTCCTTGGAGCAGTCCCAGCTCCCCAGGGAGAGAATTTGATGCACATCTGGAAAGGAAACCTCACTAAAGTTTCCTTTCAAATATTGTAAAAAAAAAAGTACACCCCCCCCCCCCCGAAACACACACACACAAACACTAACCAACAAAAACAAAAACCCAAAGCAAACCAAACCAACCAAACAACCCTCCCACACCAAAAAACCAAAACCTCACCCAAATCTATGTTTTCCCTTCTCCATTCTCTCTCCTTGCTAGCTTCCCACCTGAGGGCCATGCTTTCATATAGAATCATCTTAAGTCTTTGGCAACAATGGCCTGATGCTGTGGTTTTAAAACTCCTTCCCAGGTCGAATCTTTTTTCAGAATCTTTATGAGTGAGGCTTTGAAATCTTTCTTTCAGTTTCCACAGCTCTGCTATTTTCTTATCGTTCATCCTCTTTGTATTGAGAAGTCAATGGAGTTGTGGGTGGAAGATGGAAAGCTGTGAGAAATATAGTCCAGGGATTAGGTGTGTGGGCTGTTCAGATGGAAAGCTTGTATCACATCATGAGAAATCTGTAAGACTCAAGGAGGCAGGAATTAGTGCAGTATGTGGTGGGCTTGTAGAAGTGGAAGTGCCGTGCCTGTCTTCCTCTCCAACAATGCAAGACCGGCATTTCTAGCAGCTGAAAATTTCAGGCTTCTCATGGAGCAGGTCTAATGTCGGAACAAGACGAGCAAGCCTCTCTCCTCTTGCATTGCCCCCATGATTGTCCTGCTAGCTCAGAAAACAGGGTATGGGAAATACAGAATCTTTCTTTCTTCTGGTTCTGCCATCACAGGTAGCAGCAAGTACTGTTGCAGGTGGTCCTGGAACAGAGGAGACAAGAGGAAGCATGTGGCAGAGCTGGGAGCCAACTCAGCTCATCATTTTTACCTTCAAGAGCTTTTTTTCCACTCATGGTGCACAGTTTTTTTTTGCTTCTACATGTATCTTGAGAAGCTTGCGTACTTTCAGCTCTGATTTCACATCAGTGGTACCAGCACAGCTCTGGAGGTATTGTTTCAGTGGGATCTTGGTGGTGGAAATGACAATTATAGCACAGAGGGTGTTGTGAATCACTGCAAGGGATATCGTTTGCTGTGTTCATGCAAAAAAAATCCCCTAGATGTTGTTTCCTTTCAATAAATGAGGATGCTGATGAGAGAAATGTGCATCAAAACACAGCATCAGATTTCCTTAAAATCAGTGAAATCGCAGATTTAACAGACAACTGCTACTAAAATATTCCTTGACAATTTAAAGGTGAAGAAATATGCAATTTTTGTTCTCCTCTGAATAGCACATACCTGAAATTTGGAGATAGTATTTTCAGACTTAAAGATTCCTCTTGTAATGAGAGGGATTGAGAGGAGGTATTTAAAATATTTGACTTCCAATGTTTCTTAAATTTCTCTGCGCTATTTTTTGTGTCATGATACCAAGAAATTGAGAGGACAGTGCAAATAAGATAACATATAATCTAAAGGCCAGGATGCCTCATGGTTTGATTGAATCATTGCATTTCTAATCATCTACAAAGTGGGCAGGTGTAGATAAAGTAGAAAATAGCTGACATTAGAAATGTTGTAGGTGGATTTCTTTTTCTTTCAAAATTACAGTTCAGTACTTAAGGTGAGCTTGAGTAAGATCTAGCTGCAGTGCTTGTTACAAGAATTCAGAAATTAAACAGGCTTCCACCAACACTGTCAGGATGCATTTTCCTTCACTTTCTCCTACACATAACCTGGATGCTGTAAGCTAACCACTAATCATACCTTCTTCTCATCCTCGCTTTTTCAGGGTTAACCTGAAGGATGAGAAACTACAGTCCTCAGTATTCACTCTCCCACTTCACCCTACCCTCTAACAAGGCAATAGATAGCAAGACCTGTTTCTTCTTTGCACACAACTTGTTTTGAGCTTGGACCCGGCTCAGAATGTAGCAAATGAAATTCCTTTTTGTCAGCATATTCTCTTTCATTAGTTGGCAGGAACAGGACTATTTTTAAGCCTTAATCATAGCAAAAATTGATGGGCTCTAATTCTTAGGCAGCTTAAAGCTGGCTGAAATAGATTACCAAGCAGAGAACGCTATGCGAAAGTCTGATCACCGGTTTACAGACCAGATCTACTTAAAGTCATAATTTGTCTGTCTCACTGATTATTACAACAGAAAATAGGCATTCTATTGGTCTCTGATGTAAACATGCATCCAAATTCCTCTTTGAATAATTTCATGTTTGTAAGAGACCCTAGTCTGAACTTTGATGGCTGACCCTATTCTGCAAGTGGCTGGATCCAAAATGTTCTCTAAATACCCAGTCTCTGGGATCCAGTTCCAGAATATGAATACCCCATGTCTATTCATTACACCAGAATGTAACTGTCTAGTTGAATTTAGAATTTTGTGTTTTGTTAGTTAACCCTCAGATAAATAGCAAGTAGTGAAAAAGATCTAATTTCTTTGGAAGGATACTGACTTGTATGTCATTTTTTTAGAAGACAGAAGAAGGAGCCATATACAGGGCATTACTGTGCTGTACTACATGTTGCCACGGAGCCCCCGGTGGTCTAGGGGAAATGACACTGCACTGTCACTGCAGAGACCCGGGTTCGATTCCCGGTCGGGGCCACTCCCCGAGCAGATGGAGCTCGCTAGCCCTGTAAGGCAATCCATCTACGTCCTGAGGACCTCGCTGCCACCGTCCAAGCGTGCTTGGCCCCGGCAGATGAACCTCAGGATTAAAGGGTGGGCTCAGTTCCGCGCACACTGTGTCTCACCTAAAAAATCCAATGCGCAGGCTGGAAGGTGTAAAGACCTTCCCCGGTTCTTCGTTGCGAAGACTGGCCATTACATGTTGCCACAAACAGCTTTTGAGGAATAACTTAGTGCGTTATTAATTCATCTCACTTGTAAGTATTTGCTCAAAAACTCCTTTCTAGTGGTCTGCCTCTCAGATTTACATCCAAGATGTCACTATGGTCCTTTTAAGGATTGGGTGAATCTTGCCTAGGAAGCGTGAGCAAACTTCAAAGCCTAGGTGCCTACTTCTTTTCCCCTACTTCTGTGTCTATCCTCTTTTTCTTTTCTCTCACTTATTTTGTATTTGCGTCTCTTCTCAGTTCCCATCTTGTTGTTCATCTTATCTTCCCTTTTCCTCTTGTTTTCTATACTCAGATGAGTCTTTTTCTTCTCTCAAGTCTAAAGAGCTCAGGTTTCTTATCAGGCAATTTATCAGATTACATCTCTTCCCTAAACCTTCTAGTAAGAACTGACCAGTCTGCTGGACTCCCAGTGCCTTGCTGAAGTGCTCCTGTGGTCGGGGCTTCAGAGAGTCATGAGGGTGAAGCAAAGCATGCAATTTCTACCACTTCTCTCTACTGCATCTGTTCCAGCGTTAATGTAATGCTGTCCCCAAAGGTAGCATAGTCCTGTGCTGATTACACAGGAGCCCTGAACACCCTGTAATTCTTTTAATTTGAAAGAACAGATCACAGGAACACCCAGTGCTTTTCTAGATGCTTTCAATCACTTTTAGTGATTGAATTGTTAGTGTAAAATACATATTATAGACCAATAAGGATGATGCATCAGACTTTTCCCAAGATGGGATCCTCCTAGAAAGAGATCTCTGTGGTGTTAGCAGGAATTTGGTGTGTTAAGAGCCGAGAGATGTTACCTTGACGTGATAAATGCAACAGAGGCAGACATATGAAAAATCACTATGGATGATCATTGATCATACTTCAGTTTGTACTGCCCTCTGGTGGGATATAGGGGGAAAAACAGTCATTCGAAATGAATAGCAGCAGTCTGGGGGTCCGACTGCTGACTCGCCTGCCTTATCTCCTCCGGGGTCACGTAAATTTGTGCTGAGAAAGGTAATTTGTTTAGTCCAGCTTCTGACAGAGGCATTGTCTGCGGGGGGCAGAGCATCGTGGGTTCCACTCTAAAAGCTAACTTGGAAGGGAAAGGGCCTTGCACACTCTCCAAAGGCAGGTCTCCTGTTTGTGAATTTAAATACTTGCCTTGAAAATTCCTGAAAGCATTTTTGGAGGAAATTAGCTACTTTATAAACGGTCTTTACCTGCAGGCATACAATGCAGTACATATATCCTGTTTGTCTTTGATGTTACCATATGAGGCAAATACAAGGAAAATCAAGATCCAGTGCATGAGAATTTGTTAAGCCAATCTTTCATATTTCTGGCAAAACAGAAAATAAAATTGGCATCTTTCTAGCCATCTAAAATCTTTTCACTGGTACTTCAAAGCACCTGTGAAGCAGATTGAGTAGGTGCTGACCTTCGCTTTCCAGCAAAAAGACACCAGTGGTTTAGGATATGAGGTCTGGAGCTTTTGAAGCACCACAATGGGGAGACTTAGTCAAAGCCGGGCACTGTATGAAGGCAGCTCCTCTGCTGCTGCCTCCTGTAAAACTGCCCTGTTGAATGCACAGCAGCATGAGGGAGACAGGGCTCAGACTTAGCTGTTGAAGGATTTGTGAGCAAGGAGTTCATAATAAGAAAGTGAATCAATATTTTATGATAATTCTATAACGAAGTATGTGATTTCTCTGTGGCCTCAGATAAGGGTAGCCATTCTTTTGGACTTGCAGCATGTGTCCAAACAGTAAAAACACATGTGCATTCACTGTCATGCAACTGAATTATTTAAAGGGTGGGTTTTTTCTTCAGAAACTTCTTCGTTTTGTAAAGCAGACTTTTCACAAGAGGCAGATGAGGATTTGCCTCTGTGCTGCTTGAAATTTATGTGGTGATTATAATGCCAAACAAAGTGATCATTAATCCAATTTATCGCACTGAGTGAAAAGGTAGTACAGTAACAAGGGCCTGAAAATTTGTCAGACAAAGTGAGGACAATCCCTCAAGTTCCACAGTGAAGCTCCTACATAACCCAGTTGTTTGCAAAAACAGTAGTCACCTTTCTGATTTGGAATTTCTGTGTGGTGCTTAATGTTTCAGTAGTCAGTAATAATGTTAGGCAGCTTAGCTGTTTTCTTAAATTAGTCTTTCCTAGTTTGGGTAAGTGCATAAATTTCCATGTGTGTTTAAAATTTGCAGATCTTTTGCTGGCATAAAGAAACCTGAACTGAAAGTATCCCTGGAGCCCAATGTGAACTATTTCTTCTATTTGAGGGCTGTCAACCCGTTCGGAACAAGTGAACAAAGTGAAGCAGCTCTCATCTCAACTAAAGGTAGATCATAATTTCTTGATGTCAAAACAATGGGATGGAGGGCCAAAGCAGCCAAACATTTTTCTTTGAAAATCATATCTGAAGTTCCCAATTGGGGAGTAAACAAGTTATTGAAATTTTTATCTCAATAACTCAAATTTATATCTTTTTTTTTTCTGCTTAAAATTAGCATAATCAGGACTACTTTGCTTGAAGTTTGTATATTTATCTCAATGTAAAACTGCTGTGACCTCAGAAACAAAAACACTGAATTCTGTCAGATATGGAGTGATTAAATGTTTTTCAGGCAACCTCATTGTCATGAATCTGGCAGAACACATTCAAATAAAAGCCTGATGGACTTTGAGTTTCAATGGTGAGGAAGTATGCAAAGCAAGCGTCTTAAAATGTAATGGATGATTTAAACTCTAAGATTCCCAGATAAATAATGTATGGTTCTTCCAAATCAGCCTCAAAATTCAAATTTGCTGTTTTCAAAAAACAAATTATTGAAAATTATTCAGCCTTTTTAAATATTGAAGACCTCTTTATCACCCACCTGCATTTCTGAATATTAGACTATGTCCCAGTTTGGCACAGCTTGGAAACCCCCTTGCATTTGTACCCAATTTTCTGTCACTCCTACCTGCCAGTAGACACAACTGTGTCCAGCTAAGATAGTAGTTATTGTTTCTTGACATTTTATGATTTGTCTCATGTTAAAGTAGCTAGGTTCTCAGATTTTGGTCTTTCCTTGTCATCAATTGTACCAGGAACTCGATTTCGCCTGCTGAGTGACACAGCCCATCCAGCTTTGAAAATCTCCTCCAATGCAACGGTGATCCACCTTCCTGAGAAAACTAAACTCACTGGGTGAGTAGAAGCATGATGAGCATAACTACTCAAGGGGGTTTAGGATAGATCCTTCACTTGTATTTTTGCTTATGGACAGCTTTCGCATGATACCATTTGTGAAGAAGAACTGAATCATTGTCATGCAGCCCCTGGACTTTGTGCGATTTACCCTTCCCCCCCTTTCAAGCATTGCAACATCTCAATAAAGACAGTGGTAGCATTGACGTAGGTGCTAGGAAAAGTTCAGTGCTACACTCTAGAATGGCCAGGAAGTCAAAGGCAGTGGTATCTCTGGGACTGCTCGATTTGCTTCAGCCCATGGTCACTGCTTAATCTGTCAGAGCATTTCAGTCTCAAAGCAATTTTTTGCTGCCTTGAAAAGGTCAGATTTGTGGGCTTATTTTTTAATATATTGTGGATAGAAGCAATCCATCTTCCGTACTTTGCTCCTCTCCTGAGGGCATTATTGGTAATGTTTTCCAAAGTATTTGTGGCTTCAGAGAACTAGGAAGTGCTCTTGGGATATGTTTAGCATGGTTGTACTAAGCTGGCTATATACTTTGTGAACCTGGGGGATTTTTTGACATATTGACATCAATCCTATCATAAACACAGGTCCACTTGTAACAATTGTGACATAGTGATATAGCTTCTTAAAGGTGATGAGGATTTAGTGGTTTAAGCACCTTTTTTACTGTTACAACTGAATGTACACAAGATATTTATCACTATGACTACTCAAACAACTACGCTTTCTAGTTTGAATAAGCCTTCAAAATTTGACATCTTTTAGGTGAGACCATCTCAGTGCAAAGATGAAAAGGCTCTCAGTGACAACGTTTAAATCTTTGTTAAAACCCTGCAGTTGGAACAACAGAGTGCAATTCATTAGTAATTTTAGGTGATGCTTCATCATGTGACTTAAAGAAATATCACAATATGGTTTGTCTACCACCACACTTACTTTACTGCATGCTTCTTTCACAAACAGGTTTCCTTCAGTCCTGGGTGAACTGCTGCCTGCTCAAGGATATCATTACTGGGAAATTATTGTCTCTGCCTGCAGAAGCTACAGGATTGGGATTTGCTATGAGACAATAACACAGAGCAGTGTCCTGGGGCTGAGTGATACCTCCTGGTGCATGCGGTGCTGTCCTACACAAACCAGGTGAAGAAAAGTCAGTCTAGCTGCTTGGGAAGCTACTTGTCATTCATGAAAATAAAGCCAGACAGCTTCAAGAATCATAAAAGCAGAAAAGATTCTTCTGCTTTCTTTATGAAAATTTGAATAATAAGAAAAGAACAACTACCAAAGGTCTTCAGACCTCCTTGACAAATACCTTAAAAACACCTCCATGGAAAAATACCTTAAAAAATGAAATTAATCTCAAACAGAGGGTTTATCACCCTTTATTCACTTAGCCAGTGAATAAAACTTAAAGAATTAGTTTGCTCCTGCTTTGTCATTCCAGGTTCATATCCTGAACTGCTTCACTAAACCCCAGCAAGTGTATTTCCATAAGTGCAGTCTTTTTATAATCTACTTCCTTTTGCAAGAGATGTCAAGCCTCAACAGAGAATGCTTTCTCCTACCTTTTCCTTCACCGTGATAGACACTCACCTGCCACTGTGGCAGGACTGCAGTGTGCTGGAAGAGTGTGTGGTAGCACGCCAATATCAGGCTGCTTGGAGGTTTGTAAGGTGTCACCCTGCTAATGGTGTAAAGGTGATCTTGATCTAAACAAGTGTGCTTTTTTCAGTGTGAAATCATATAGATGTATGAACACAACTAGCTAAATGAAACATCCAATATGCTTTTATTCTGAGAGTCCAGAGATGCCAAGTGAAAAGGCTCATCAGCATGCCAGGCAGGGCTTTGAAGTGATGCCACATTTGCTTTGCCTACATACTGAGCAAAATGCTGTTGCCATGTGGTAAGCTGATGTATGCAGCCACCTGTTAATAGATTGGAATTAAGCCGCAGGTTATTTCTGGTAAATTATCATGAGGAGGCTCACTGTGTTCTGGTTTCCATTTTCCCACAGCTTTCTTTACAGATTTCTTCACACTGGTGTGATGAGTGATGTCCATGTGACAGAACACCTGGCCAAGATTGGCATCCTGTTGGATTACAGTAGTGGGAGACTGTTGTTCTTCAATGCAGAGAAAGGACTAGTGCTGTTTGCCATGAGGCACAAATTCACTGATGCTGCTCACCCAGCCTTTGCCCTGGAGAAGGCAGGAGTGCTTACCCTGTGCACAGGAATGGAGCTGCCCGAGTTCGTGAAGCAATGCTGATATCCTTCTTCACACTTTCCGTAAAATTGACAATTATAGTATCAGGGGATAGAGAGGAGAAGAGGGGTGCCAGGAAGGGATGTCTAGTCTTCACTGATGAACGCTATGTGCACGGCTCTTCCTCACATCATCAGTAATTGTAGCTAGTGCTCAGACACGTAATCACCTGGAGCCTGGAAAGAAAATCAACTTCTTCAGATGGAGATGCAATGCACTCAGTGATACACACAGCAATACTTCTAAGGGGATAAAGAAGTTTTGTTAGGTATGATAGTGCTAGCTGTCTTTTTAAAGTTAATTATGAACCTGTGTATGAAATAAATGCATTTCTCACTGCAATATGTGAAAGTCATCATTTCATCGTTTGCCATAGCAGTCAGAGCCTGAATCCAAGACGACTGACTTAGAAAATGTGTAAAAATTTCAACAACTGAAACATTCTGCAGGTTAATGTATCTTGTGTTAGTGTCTGCCAACTCTTTAAATGCATCAATTAAGAAAACTTGGAGACTTAAAAACCTGCATGTTTGCAAAAAGAGTGCGTCCCAAACTAGTTTTTGTATCAGCTGTGTAAAGTTTGAGTATAGCACACCCACCTAAGGTGCTCACAGCAGACTAACATCTACCTGACTGTGTCAGTAAATATCTGTTCCTGTGAATAGCTACTCATGAAACACATGTGTAAGGAAACTTGATAGTAGTGATAAAAGTCTTCCCTTATGTTTTTCATCCTCAGTTTGTTGGTTAAGTGGTTTTAATGGTGAAAGGAATGTTTCTGCTCAGGACCTTGTGGATCACCATTTTTCCATCACTGCTTTTTACCTCTGGTCTTACAAAAATGATGCTCCTAATTTCAGGGTTGTGTATATTTTCCTACATCTGCCCTGCTCTCTTGTTGCCTGCACTAGCACCAGCATCATGACAGTGACGTGCAGCGTTTCAGGGCCATCAAAACAGGCAGGCTAAAATTGGTTGATATTAGCAAAGGAATAGGATGCTGATTTTGACTGTTGGCTTTTTCAAAGCATTTTTCCAAGCACTTCACACATCAGTAGTATGGCTGTCTTTCCGCCTGTCCCAAGGGCTGAAGGCACGAATGCCAGGGGTGCTGAACTCCAGTGAGTGTTGAGGGTAAATTAATCTTAAACAGGCAGGCAATGCTTCTTGTGCTGTGCCTTCTTTGGAGATCTCTGCCTCAAGGGGCTGTGCTGCCAGACGCATTTCTGAGCTCAGCTGAACTCCCTGAAGTAAAACAGATTTCAGGAGTCTAATAGAGAGAGTTTGAGTCTGAAAAGAGAAGCTAAATGAGTTACAATGAAGCTTCTGGTTTTTATTGTCAGAGAAGGTGCCTGCTGCTGCTGGTTTATGTATGATTTAACACCATCAAGGCATATGCTTGCTGTTCCAGCCTGCTGTATGATTGGTGTCCCAGGGGAGCCACAGTCCACACTGTCATAGCAGGCTCAGGCAAGCCTGACCCTGTTTAAGTCAACACGAAGAAGATCCTGTTGTCATTTATTTTAAGCCAGAGCTCTTGCTGGCATTTCAATTAAAGGGTGCCAGTTCTGAGTCCCTGCCCGGGAGAGTGGGGAGTGAAAAAGCAGGATTGTGCCCTGCTGGCTCAAGTGAGGGTTTTGTAGAGGTGTGGAGGATGGTGAGAAAAGGTTCAGGATTAATTGAGAAAGAAATACAGAAAGGGTGTTTGGTGTAGCATTACTAGGAAGGCTGAGGAGGAGGAGGCAACAGAAGGTAGGCTGGAAACTCACACAGAGCAGATGGTGATAAACTAAGAGACAGATCAGTGGTGTCAGCAGGGTGTGTTCCTCAGGTTTCTGCAGGCAGTGAGCTCACTGAAGGTTTGGCTACCTCCAGAGCTTAACATGGTACTTGGAAATAAGCCTGAAATATTCCACTACTGGGATGATTTTTACCTGTGTACTCCTCATCCTCGTCAATGCTATCTCAAAAGAAGAATTACTTCACAGATACCAGCATGATATACTGAGAGGGGGAGAGACAATGATAAAAGGAGAACAAAATTACATTAAATCATTTGGATTTTTTTTCATTGAAGGCAAAAAGAAAATGCTTTGTCAAAGGCAACTGTGTATTAGTAATTAGTAGATTTAAAACAAAAAATGAAAGCTTTGTCCATTGCCACACATTGCTACTCAGGTACTACCCCAACATTTGAGCTTGACAAAATGTTTTTATTGGAGACACCTTATTCTTACTAATATTTGGTTAAATTTCAAAAAATGGCCTGACTCTGTTTTCTTTCCAATTTTATATAAGGTTCAGTTTTAGATTGGGCAGTATCAGAAACTGTGTTACTGTTTTTGTGAAAAAGAAATAAGTTATTTTTAATTGGAAATGTCACTCAAAGAGCTTAAACAGTACTAATTTGAATGTCTAAATCTGGTCTGCATTAAACTATGCCAGATGAAGAAATGCCTAGAAAGAATACCCTGTTCAGAGAGATGGAACAAAATGCACACCAAACAGAAACCACATACAAGTTAAGATTCGGTATAAGGAGAAATTTCATATTAGTGAAGAAAGCAGACCCTGAAAGTGGCAGCTGAGCTTCTTGGACTTACAGTAAATAGTGCAAACTCTCTTGCCTCTGGAAAGCTTAGAGGGACATCTTTTACTTGCCTGATGGGCATGACATTCAGGAACTCACTTTCCAGAAAGCGACTCTCTTCAGACACTTGAATGTATGGTGCGGTCCATATAACTTTGCATTCAGATGAACTGAGATTTTGAGGTTTGCTGCATCCATTTTTTTTCTGACCATTGTAGCTTTTAACTATATAATAGAAAAAAAAAAGACAAAAAACTCCCAATCACTGTGTTTTTGTTGTGCTTGATTAGTTTAGCATTTAGAAATACCTCAAAACCAGCAAAGGATGTCACTTAACTTGGCTGATAGGAACTAAGACTTCATGGTTGTGTGGTACATGTACACAGTCTAGTCATCATTCCATGCTTGGAGCAACATTTTAAAAGTTACACAAAGCTCTGTAAGAGTTCACCAGTAATCTGGTGTTTATTTCATTCTGAAAGTAAAAAGGCTTATGCCTAACAATGTAAGTATTGTTAATAGATAATCAGATGGATCTGAAACACATTGCCTTGAAAGGAATAATTTCCTCTCACTTCAGCAGCTTTTAGATTAGGTTTGTAAACCCCCATGCACTCAAATGAGAATATAGGCTTGACTGTAAAAAGGGAAGCATTAATTTCTACTGTAAAAATAGTGCTGAACTGAAATATTGCTAGTATCAGTGGCATTGATCTACAAACCTTGCTTAGATCACTCTGCTCAAGAGCAAGTTTAATGCTTCCGTACAACATCAGGCAGGGGAATTTGGTAATGCAGCTGCAAATTGCAGCATATGTGATGTGTGTGCATGCAGGAAGAACTCTGCTCTTGATCTAGCTGTTCTTTTAGTACCATTTGTACTGAAAACAGCCAAGTGACACCTTATTTTAGAAACAGGTACATTAACCACCCCCAACACCACCATTGTTGAAAACTGTGTGCATGTTATCACCATGTCTGTTAGAAGATAGAGACTCAATAAGGCACAGTACCAGTAATTTTTTGCTAAATCAACAGTGCTGTTATATTGTCTGTGGTATACATGTGAAATAGTATTTCTGTTAGCATTTCAGGGGCTTGAGTAGGTATTTAAAGATGGATTTAAGAGTAATGTGAAAGTAATTAGGATCTTTCAAATTATCCTAATTTCAGACTAACAAGTAGAGCCCTTGGCATGTTGAGGTTTAATTTTGATTTTGAAAAATCACATTCTGTGGTGTAATCACAATTGCATTGCTGCCATTTTGCTGATAGATTTACTAGCTACAGGGAATTCCAGTATGCTCAGACAGTCACAGAATCACTAAGAAAGTGATAGCAACTCTTCTGCTTCCAGCAACATGCTGGAACTAGTAGGTACTTCACTAGTTCAGTGAAACATTTTTTCATGTTTTTCGTGTTGAGCTTGTCCAATTTTATGCCACAATGCAAAGTAGCATCGCTGACCAGAGACCACTCTGCAGTGTGGTCAGCACAGTTCCTCCAGGAGGACAGTCTGGAAGGAAATGAAACAAATGCCTACCTTGGACCTTAAGGATCATCTCATTCCAATCCCCCTGCCATGGGCGGGGACACCTTTCACAAAACCACATTGCTCAAGGCCCCATCCAGCTTGGCTTGGAACACTTCCAGAGATGAGGCGTCCACAACATCTCTGTGCAACCTGTTCCAGTGCTTCACCCTCACAGTAAAGTATTTTTCCTAATATCTAATCTAAACTTGCCCTCTTTCCATCTGAAGTCATTCCCCTTGTCCTATCACTACATGTCCTTGTGAAAAGTCCCTCTTTAGTTCTCTTGCAGGCCCCCTTTAGGTACTGCAAAGTGTTAAGATCTCCTCAGAGCCTTCTCTTCTCCAGGCTGGACAATCTCAACTTCCTCAGCTTTTCCTCAGAGGCGACGCGCTCCAGCTCTCTGATCATCTCTGTGACCCTCCTCTGGACTTGTTCTGACAAGTCTATGTCCTTCATAAGAAGGGGCCCCAGAACTGGATGCATTACTCCAGCTGCAGTCTCATGAGACCTCGGGGACAGAGTCCCCTCCCTTGACCTGCTGCCCAAGGTTTTTTGAGGCAATCCAGGATGCAGCTGGTCTTTTGGAAACACATCATCAGACCTTGTTGAGCTTCTTGTCCACCAACAGCCCCAAGTCCTTCTCTTCAGGGCTGTTCTTAATCCATTCTCCACTCAGCCTGTACCTGTGCTTGGAATTGCCCCAACCCAGGTGCAGAACCTTGCCCTGAACCTTGTTGAGCTTCATGAGGTTCCCACACACTAGGTTCTGAAGCTTTTTGAAGTCCCTTCTGATTTGCATGCTCTTCCTCATGAGTGTCAAATGCACCACACAGCTTGGTGTTGGTAGCAAGCATGCCATCAGCAGAAGTTCTTACTTTTTTCAGGACTTGTATTACACACATTGTATTTCTAATTCATGCTCTTCTCAACCTTGAAGAAGCAGTGCTGCAAGCAGAGAAGTAAGTCACTTATAGCACTGTTAATGCAGTGGTTAGCTGAATTTCACCCTGCCAGACTGTTACCACGCCACTAATGAGTGAGGGATAGGGACCTGGACCCTGGCCACAATGGGTACAGGAGACAACTGGCTTCTGCTGAATAAGCAAGAAGCCAGTGTGACTTTTAATATGGGGGCTGGCAAAAGGAGACCTTTGTCTGAACATCACCTCACAGCCAAGCCTTCTGAGGTTGTAAAAACCTGCTTCCTGTTCTTTCATG